ATAACCATGAAAAGAGATTGGGTTGTAAGAGAGGGTGCAAATATGTCATTGGGGATGGAGGTATATGTGACGTTTCGGATTTTCTGGAGGGCAACATTTTGTTTCAGAATACAGCAGCCTCCATAAGAGGGGTCTATTCAGTAAAGCCCTGTATTGCAAAGCATGAACTTCGTACAATGAATGCATATATCTTCCTAACAAGATTGGAGACAAGAAAATTATCTGGTCCAATCTTCTGTCTTCGCACCTTCTGACTAATTCATAGTGTTTGATTCAATACTTCAACTCTAGTTTAACTATCTTAATTAGTTATCTTTAGTCAAAGCCACTTAAAATAGAAAATAATAGTTCTATAAAACAACTATGCGATAACTAAATGGAAAATACTATTTTTTATATGACGAATAGCTTGTCGAGTTCATGTTGAGTACTTCGTGTTCATCTAATAAAGTAGGTTGGAAATCGTTTACACGTCTGTGCTCTCTGTCTTCCTCTACGCAAAGAAAATGTTGTAATTTCTCTAGTAAATTATTTTCAGGGCAGTCCTCGAAACTCATTTAGTATGATGACGCTAGAAAGTCGGTCGGTATGGAAGCAGATTTGCTTGGATTCAATTTCCATTCGCCAATGTCTATGCAGGGCGCCGTCACCCTCCGAAACGAGAGATACGTGGGAGGTCTACTCCATACCTGTTGGATGGGCGAAGGGAACGGACAAAAGCCTGGAATTCGGACCGGCTTGACAAAGTGGGGACATCGTATTCTCCAGGGGGGAAGTAATTCGTCTTTTCTCTATCTGCTTCTCGGCTCCCTTCGTCTTCCTGCGTCGATTTGGAGCCGTAACCCGGGGTCGGCGGGTAAGGATGACAATGAGGATTCCTCCCAGGGAATAGTTCCTTCATCGTTCGAAGTAGGGCATCTAAGTATGCAGATTGAGCCACATCGAAGGCTCTCTGATGGCTTGCGCTTAAACCAACGTTGAACGAGGTGCGAGGGACGGAATGCAACAGGGATTGAAGCCGAGTCATGTGACAGAATACTTGAGCTGCGGTGTCCAGGACTTCCGTGGCTCGGCAACTCGGAGCCAGACCAGGGACATTTTCATCCCAAGGAAGATGAAGGAAAGGGAAAGAAAAAGGCAAATAGGCAGTAGACGCAGAGATCCTCTTGTGGATGCTGACATCCAGATGTCCAGCAGCATAGCGGCTGTCTTGTATATCAGTTGCGATTGCGTTAGGACGATATCTCAAGCCCAAACTGGACAAGACCTGGTCGAAATGAGGGAGATGGACCTGAGACGAGAACGATCCTAGGTGACTTTGGACATCTTGTCGATTCAAAGTCATCGATTCTTCTGTTTCCGCTCTTAAACACACTTCTCCGTTCAATCCATCGAAGGCCGATGTTTCTGATATGCAATTTCTCCGGACTGAAAGGAAAAACTTTATCACAAAAGGCCTCTCATCAAGTCGTTTGGGCTCATTTTTTTCAGCGATACTTCAGAGTTTCTGAATATCAAGAAGTTTGGCGTATGGTTGGAGCAAACCTCCCACTAACGTATGATTGCTATCCATTTGGATAAGGACGTTGGGTAAACGTCACGGACCTACGTATGGGATCCATGACTCAGCCCAGAATTTTTCCCCGCTCTCGCGGTCAAGTGGTTGGGGTAAGGTAGATCCAGCTCAGTTTTTGCACTAAAGAGGTCATTTTATACAGGGTGGACTAAAAGTCTCTGTACACTAGTAACATAATAAAGATGAACAATTCAATGAAAGTAAGTGATACATATGAGAAGAAGTGATAAATGGAAGAACGCGATTATGAACTCAGGTGTCCGAACTGCAACCTACTGCAATGCAATGTAATTGCAATTCACATGCAGTATAAATTAGATTCAGGTACACAAGGACTCCTGGTCCACTCTGGTGCTTAAGATTCACTTATTACCTTTCAGTGCTATCGGTGCTAGTTGTCAATGAAATTTCGTCAAAACTCAGGAAGACGAGTGAGACAAAGCTTCAGGGGTAGGAAATATACCCCACCCCAACATTCAAGGATTAGATGTACGCACTCCCTATAAGGCCTTACTTCTACCACCGAGGAGAATTTCGCAGGATTTTCGAAAGGGGGGGGGGAGTTGAGGCGAGAAGAGGGGCAATGGGGGGTTATGGATCAAGCCTTTCGAAACGGAAAAAAGTTACCAATTTACCTCAAGCTGTAAATTTAATTTAATTTAAAAATAAAAGATAAAAAGAAATGAGAACGATTAGGAAACGGCACAGAGACTCGCAAAAGAAAAAATCACTTCACTGGTGGATGACGAAATTCAAACTACATTTATCAGAAAAGTCCCCAATGACTTCAGATTGCTCTAATTCAGAATAAATAACATAATTTTGCCTGGTAACGTATATCTTACCCAAATAGGTGTGATTGAAAAATAAAAGTGTTTTTCAGAAAAGAAGAAAAACAATTCTCCATATGTTTTATGAAAGCGCATAAGCAAATAAAATAAGCATTGGAAGACTTTGTGGGCGTTCCTCATGGACAAGCTGAATTGTGCACTTTCTTCGGAAGAGAGACGCGCGATTTTTGACGCTGATGATATTGAGAAGCATTCTATTATTGTAAATTTGAACTTGAAAGTTGAGCTACCGCATATGCATTCAGAATTTTAAGATAAATCCGATCTTATGTTGGCAGCAATTTCTTTGTCAATTAACATTTTTCAAGACATTCAAATATATAATTGTAAATTTATTGTAAATATGCTGAATGCATGGAAGGCTTTTGAAGGAATAAATTACAAGAATTCTTGACTAAGCGAAGAAATAATGTGACGTGAAATAAGATAATGCCTTTGAAGAAATTCACTAACAGTGCATAGTTATTTCTAAAGAGTTCCTTTTTAAGTATGATGTTTGCTATACGAGTGTATTGCTTCAATAAAGAAAAGGAGGGGGATGCTGGACGATGAAAGTGGGCTCCACAGATCACCTATTCGCTCACTCCTACCACCAGTTATTGGTGGTGGTGGGGGGGGGGGGGGGTTGGGGAGCTCATGCCACCTACTCTTCCCTCTGTGTACGCCACTGATTGTATGGGTACAATTCCCAGAGGTATTTGGACAGCACTCGAAGGTGCATTCGTCTGCACATAAGAGGTTCCGCGAAAGAAAGTCACTTTTCTTCATTTTGGGCGCCCCTGATGACTCATGTTTGGCACAGTGCTGTCCAATCAGAAAAGATGCCACTCCATTAACTTGGTCGCCTAAATATTCCTGAAAATCCTATCAAATACGCGTGAGATGCTTTTGAATCTAATTCACCACAATTTACTGTCAGGTGATAATCTTGGGCTGATCTTAATTTCGCAATATAGGCCAATGTGACTGATTGTTCGGTGTTGTCAGCGGAGGACGCAAATACAGTATGCAGAAGCCTCTGTTAGAATCGCATTTGAGATTAAAGCTAGGCCTCACTTGGATGGGAAGTGGAAGAGTAGGGAAGGGTGATCCCAGAAGCATTTCCCAAGTCCTTCTTGTCGCCCATTTCTCGATGGAACTAGAGCGGTGGATCCAGACTGGATGGAACAGGAGAGAGAAGCCTGGTTCTATCCGGCAACAAAGGGCTTCGCCTTCATGAACACTCTTGATAGAGCCATCGTCCAAGCTCTTAGCTGCAGGGGTCGGTGGCATCATCACAACGGTCGCAAGTACCCGCTTGGGATGCTATCTCGGAGCAAGCCTCATCATAGCCTTCTTTCTTTGCTACTTCATACCAACGGCAGTGCAACATGCTCGGAAATGGTGGGAGGCTACTCTTCGCGAACGTACTGGTTTAAAACCCGGGGGCTAAACTTGTCAAAATCGAATAAAGGTGGAGGGGAGCGGAAGAGGGGGGACCCTCTCCTCCCCACGCGCGGTTCTCCAGCCCTTCATTCAAACTTCGTATCCTACTTTTAATAATTTATTTCTCCCACTTAAAATAGCTAAATTCATTGAACACGCTGAAGCACAACTTCCTCTATGTGAAATGTACTGGCATCTCTGTTGTTAAAAGTCTGGCAATTGGTTCAACTTCTACGGTGATTTGCAATTGATTGCATTTCTCCTACTGGGATGAGAGCGGGAATCACTTATTTTTTTACCTCAGTCAGCCAAGGCCAGTTATTTTGAGACATGTCACTCGGTTGGATTTAATGTGTCGCCATTCAGAAGGGGGGGGGGGGGGGGGGGCAACCAGTCTAAAATCGCTGGAACTTTATGTATACCGTCCATGAAATTTTATAAAGAAATAATACCCTCTACTTTTTCAGCATCTTTATAGTAATGGATAACCTGGTCTGCATCAATGACATATAAATCAACTGTAACAGGGGGGGGGGCGCAATCAGTCTAAAATCGCTGTATCAACAAGATACCGCGTTCTGTAGATCTCAGGTAACTGTCTCCGTCATGAAAGACTTGATAGAACCTGATGGGTGACCACTCATTTGCATCCTTTCGATTGGGCAGTTTGAGAAACACCTTATGAAACGGATTGGAGGAAAGTCAGCCTAAGAACCTTCGGAATCCGCAAGCAAATATTTCTTAAGAGTTGGATGATTGTCCTTCAACAATTTTGGGCGGGGCTATGCACCGGTTATGGTCACATTGTAACTGGAGGAAAGTGAAGGAACAAAAGGTACTTCTTGTCCACATATCTAAAAAATTCAAGCGATGAGGATGGAGAGCATTTTCTCCCTGTCCCTACAATCCCTTTCATAAGTCAAATTGAAATAAAAAAATTTTTTTTTTTTAAATTAAACAAATCTATCATATTGAACCATATTCCAAGATGAGAGCAAGCACAAGCTGACTGAAATTTCATTTTGAGGGAATGGGGTGACAAAAGCGATGAACTTAGTCTCCAAATGTGCATGAGGCAGTCAGCAAAACGTATGCTCAAGGGACTAATTAATTACATGGATTCACCAAGTCATCTTGGAAGAAAATTCCTCCTTTATTCTAGGCTATAACATTCTGGGCTATAACATGCTCTTTCTCCAAGGGAGAACATTAGTTAAACCCAATAAAAATGATATGAAATGTCCAATGGTCTCTCTCTGTGCCTCATACATGGCTTCCATTAGCCATGCCATCATCTTCATCATCTCTATCTTCCCTTTTTCGTTTTGGAGCTGCCAATCTGGAGAAAGGATGGTCAGAATAACAGATGAAGACAGATAATAATAGAGAGAGGCAGACCAACATGAATAGAAAAAGCAGGGTAATAGTGACACTCACTGATGGATGGTGATAAGAGGGTTCTCCCCCACAATTGACAGGTCAAGAGGAGTGAGGAAAACATATTGCTTGTCTCGGTACTTCTGAGCCAGATTGAGGAGCAGCTGGATGACCACACGTCGGTTAACCATGTCCTACAAACCATGCCCAAAAGAATCATAAGGTATGATCAGGGACTCTGCTGTAGTGCAGAGGGAAGAAGACAGTGAGAAAGAACAGTCCTAATCATACCATGAAGACATCAAATTCATCAAGCATACGGAATGGAGAATCAATGCAGAGCCAGGATGCCATTAGAAAACAAGTGGTGAAGAAAGACCGTTCACCACCAGACAGACTCCCAACTTCCCGTTTCAGAGGCTGACTACTGCGGCTCTCCTTGTACATCTTCTCGGTTTCTGCTGTCGTGGCTCGAATCAGCACCAGGCCTTTCTCATGATCAAACTCCACAGTCCCCTTAGAAAATTGAAGGTGCACTCCAATTCTCCTCTATTTTCCAACAGGCATGCTCTCTAAAAAGTGCATTCTTTCCCATACCTCATATTGGTGACGAAATTGCAGAAAGTATGCAAAATGTGTATTGAGCTTGGACCCCATGAGAAGCTTGCATTGGCTGAAAACTTCTCTTCTCATCTTCAGCATATCACTCAGCCTCTATCAAAGTGACAGGGGAAAAGAAAGGTCGGAATGTGAACATACATGCATGATTATATGCAGCTTTGTGACCTACTGTGATGAGGAGTCGACAACGGGATAAGGAGGATCTGAACTGTTGGAATCGCTTGGAAATCTCTGTGCATTGTGTTCGCACCACATCTTCTGGTTCCATGGTTTCCTGAGAAGCCTTCAGCTGTCGTTCCACTCCCACCATCTCATTCTCAATGGCTGCCACTGTTCTGGAGAAATTATACAACAGGTGCTTCATGAAATTGGCCTTCCTTGTGAACTGGAACAAGAGACAACTGGGGCTCCTGGATATTATGGATTTTCTCTGTTTCATCATTAGGCAGATATCTCAGACTTGCTAATAAACAAGGCAGGACAGTTAAGTTCCAGGATTGAAGTCAGCAGATTAGCATGGTGATACTAATGTGAGACAGACTGGCAATGAAACAACAGTGTGTACTTGTCATATTTAAAAAAATGGAGCAATGCACAGCCCAACACTCAGAGCATTTGAGCAGAGAAAGTGATTTACTTTAGTGTTACTGAAGATGGAATAAATAAACTGGATGTTACATTAAGGTACCCTAGTATGGACACAGAAGTCACAGCTGAGTGAACTCTAAACAAAGATTGGGCAAAGAAAAACAATTTTCAGCAACTAGGCAGAGAAACTAAAAACTAAGAATAAAAAAAGAAGAATCAGTTAAACACATTGCCTGACAGAATTACTTAGAATGGTATCACAATGCACAACCACTAGAAAATCATTGCCCATGGAGAGAGTGTATTGTGGATATGAATAGTTTAAATTCACATTTGTTTTAACAATATAGGGATAGTTCGTGGCAGAATCTACATTGGCACTGACGAAGAATGAAGATCAGTAATGTACCTGGCTTTCTCTCCAGAAGCCAACACATAAAGAAGCACTGGCTTCTTTAATGTTCTTTCTACGTGCTAAGACCAGTCATTAAAAGTGGGAGATTTCTCAGAGATGCACATATTCAAGCTGATGAGGCAAAACTTGGAAGTACTCTGACTGAAATTTACCCACTACTTGCTGTATCATTTTAATGATACAGCATTACATTAATGATACAGGGTACAACACTGCTACAATTGAAATAAATATGGCTAAATTTGGAAAATTTGGAACAGCTTGTGCTAAATATAGTAAACTAATCTTACATATCTATTCTCAAGATCTAAGACCCACATTCACTGGCAGACATTCTCTCTCATACATGACACCTGTCACCCTAAGAGTGAATCTTCATCAGTAGTTAGTTTGACAGATCTTTGGATATACTACAGGGTGTCCACAAAGTCGTGCATCATAGGGAAATAGTCTATTCAATTTATTTTACTTAATTTATTTAATTTTAGTATTCTTTCAGCCCAGATATGTTGAGCAACATTCAAAGAACCTGATTTTCCGTTTACAACAAGTTTTGAGATTGGTGGTATGCATTTTGAACAATTGATGTAACCAACCTTAGAAATGAATATTGTTTTCCCTATGATGTGCGACTTTGTGGACACCCTGTAGATAAAGCACCTGAATCCATTTCCTGCCTTCTGAAGCCTACCTTCTAGTTCTGATGCGAGATACAGTCTTAGATGTCTCTTTAATTTGTGCATCAATGCGGGTTCTATACTCCTTCAGTTCTTTCTCGGCATCTTGAACAGCTTTCTCTGCTCTTTGGAGCTGACTTTTCCAGTGCTTCAAGCCATCATCTGATTGATTCATACGCTCTTCTAAGGCATCCATCTCAGCCTGGAATAAATCACATCCAGTCATCAACAACTTCACCATGCAAACACAACTATTCCATCCTTGAAAAAAGCAAGACTATGGGAAAGCCAGTGACTGAAAAGAAAAAATTTCCAAAGTTAGGACAAATACAAATTTTTGAGGGAGGAAAAGCATTCTATGAACTCACATATTGTTGCATTAATATTCTGACTAGTGCAGTCCTAGTAGTAAGTAGTAGTAGTAATACCCTGACTAGTGCATATCCATGCACCACCTGATCTTCATAAGTGTGCTACCCTAGAATGAAGGCACTATTCACACTTGTATACTAACAATGATAGGTGGATTAAAGATGATGGAGATTGCTAATGGATGTGAAGGCCTAATGAGCAATATTGGGTTCCAGCCCAACTCACCCTAAGTGCTGTGGATTTTTGGATTCCTTCTTGAATTTTTGGTTACTTTTTTTCCTCTTAAAGGTATTATTGGAAAAACCTCAGCCAAAATATCATCTTCCTATGACAAAATAGTTTTAAAATATCACATTTTTAAATTTGGGGGTAGAATCAAATTAGACTCTACCACCAAACCTTGATCTGTCATAAATTCTATAAGTAAGGCATAACAGGAAATGTAAGGGATGGATCATAAGAGATAACAGCAGTCATGAATGCATGGGCAGATTGAAGAAAACAGTATGGTATGAGGAAGGCTCACCTTGATGGGAGCCATATGGGTTTCCTGCAGGTCCTTCAATTCGATTTTAAACTCTGACAACACACAACGGACCCTTGCCAGCTCTCCTTTTTTCTCCATCAATGTCTTTTGGGACACTTCTTGTCGCTGTCTCAGCTCATTCAACTTAGCCTTTGTTCCATCAATTTCCTCTTGCTACAAGACCAGAAGCAAATACACCTAGATAAATATCTATAACTGTCACAATACCTTAATGCACCTATGTCACCACTTACTATAGATGCTGACAACCCTATGCATGAGCATAGTTAAAAGTAGATGATCATAAATATAATTATGGCTGCAAGATGAGCTGGGGGAGGGGGATCAAGGAGATGAAGGAGGAAAAAACAAAAGGGGAAATAACTTGCACCTTGGCAGTGATCTGACCCTCCCAAAGTGTAACTGGCCATAAAGAACCACATGCCTTTCACTTTATTTTCTGGTATCCACTGCTGTCTGCAGCCCATACACAGTAGTGGTTTTTGAAGGGCTCCAGGACAGGCTTAATATCTTCTGAGACACTTCTAAAATTTGTCTTGTGTCCCTGTCTTCATTAGTCATTGCTCACCAATGAATCCATATTTTGGAAATGCACCAATGTACCACTGATGGCTTTTGTGGACAAATCAAATGTCTTAAAACTAGCAATTGTGACAGTCCCATCAGAAACCTTAATCAAATTGTTGTCCAATCAATCCCACCAAAAATGAAAAATAGCAGCCACAAGAGATAAGTACTTACAATGGCAGTGAGGCTGCATGATTGGCTTCTGTGGGGCTGCATATCTACATTAGATATCTCCATCTGAATCCTCCCAAGTTCCCTGCGTAAGTTTCTCAATTGGAGTTCAGTGGCGGATACTTCTCGATTCTGTGCCTGCACTTCCATCTGAGAAGCATCCAGGTCTCTCCTCAAAACCTGTCGACGCCCCTCCAGTTCACGTAACTCTTCCCTCTTGTACCTATGTGGTTGAAGCATCTTTTCACAATTCCCTCTTTCTATCAGGGCAAGTACACAGAAACATAAATGAGAATCATAGGATACTACTACTAACCGAACAGCTTCCTTGATGTCCACAGAAAGGATCTCTGGCCGAGGGATGTTGTGACTGTAAGAACGATAAGCTGGATCTGGGAAAAACAGATTGCCATCCAAAGTGAAGACTCGTTCCAGATTTTTTGGAACAGCAGTCCGATGACTAGTGAGTGCACGTGCTGCTTCTCCATTGGGAACAATGAGGGTGTTCTCTGGTCGCAATAGGTCAATGATGTAATTTCCAGCAACAGGATTTGTAATTTCCAACACATCCAGAAGAGTTGGATGACGGGTGTCCATGACACGCATCTTTGATACATCATAGAACTGAAAAATGAATGGAGAAAATGAAAAAAGTTTCTATTTTGTCACATTTTCCATTTACAAGCAGTCTATGTGAGAGGAAGGGAGACTGATCAAATAGTCCAAATAAGGGAGTGGGAGACTGACCTGGTCCTGGAATCCAGTAACAGAGATGGTGGGACGGCAAACATTTTTAGGTACCACTCGGTCCATGATTGCCTTCAACACATTGATATCTTTCTCATGGTTGATGCAAAAACCTCTCAATGCCCTTCCTAAAATGCTCTCTACCAGAGGCAAGAACCTATCTTCCTTCACCTTCACATATGCTCCTTAAAAAAGAGATAAATTCAAAACATTCATAGGACAGCAACACCTGTTTTTTATTTGGAGATGAAAAGGAAATAGGAAGCATGTACAAAGGAACTGGGCCTTTTGGCAGGCACTTGCTAATTTGCTCATTGGTGCACAAGAAGTACTCCATCTTCTTTATCCCTTTGAGGAGTTAGCCTCTATGTATGTAGGGTACCAAAAGCGAGAAAGGAGTGGTACTGAAAAAGTACAATACCTACTGTGCATCCTCCATGCGAATCATAGGCTCAAGCAGATTGAGACATGAACCACTGAACTTCTTACTCCCTCAGGACAACCTCTCAATGCAATGGATCTTTGCTGAATTTTTTTTTTCCTTCTTTCTTTTATTTATTTACTTACTGACACCTGATTATAGTATTTCTGCTTCCAATGCTGACTGCCATACCCATACACTGTACCCCAGAATTCCTTCACGTAAAATAAAACAATGATAAGGCTGATGGCTATGCCTGGCCTGGGAGAAACCTACTCCTCAAAGGGTTAAGGAAAAGGTAGTTACCAAAATCCAGTTGGTAGGAAGGCATTTATAAGCTAGCTGGTTCATCTGACATCCATTCACAGTACTTCAGAATGTCAACTTCCTTATCAAAGTAAGTTGGAACCATGAGGACCTGGACAGCAATTGGTGGTGTTATCTTCAAATAGGAAATCATTCCCAACAGAAAATTTATTTGTTGTGAGGTGGTAATTAATGCCAACTGATGTTGTCCCATGTATCTGACATGAAACTCCTTCTTCAAAAATAATTTAAATAAGATAGGCAAGCCCAGTCCAGTAGTGGGCCTCCTTTCATTTTAGGAGACCTGTATTTTGGCATCTAATTGAACAAAATGCCAACTCTTTCTGGGCTTTGGCCACCAGAAACATCATTTTTCATTGAAAATTTCCCTTGATGCCCATGAAATGATGATGGGAGGTTGGAGGGTTGTGCATGCTTGGAATCATCCACCACAAAGATTGAGAGGGAACTGACAGCTCTGGTCACTGACATGGCACTGTGCCCAAGGCCTGGGTCATACACACATGTGCATTGTGATCCATATCCTGAAGGGCTCATGGGTACTCATGCCTTCCCCTCCCTTAGCAAATTAAAAATCCAAAATTTGCAATAAAAATGCCAATTTTGGAGAAAATTCGCCACAAAAACTCAGCCTGTATCTTTTTCATATCTACCTGCTTGCTAATTTTTGCATTGGTCAGGCCAATATTTTTCAGTTATCATGGGACAACCAAAGTGTGACACATGGATGGACAGGATGGGACCATAAGTGGTCTCTTTCCTTTCAGGAAAGGAGGCCCACTAAAAAGCAAAATAGAAAGATGGCCTCTTAAGAGTTCGATGTATTGAATTTCGATCCTAGTCCCATCAGGGCAAAAGTAATTGCAGGTAAGTGCACTTTTCAAGTGCTACCTCTGTTTCTCTGTGCATAACTGCATCAGAATGATGGAATGGATCTTCAATTTTGTGACAGCAGTGGAAAGCTAGATAAATGTTCTAAATAGAGATGCTATTGCAATATTTTCAAACTTTTGAGAAACTACACTTTGAAGCATTAAAAATAATGAAAGATTTTTTTGGCCCACCCTGTAAAAGAGGATACTGCAGAATGGGGAAGAGGAGGATAGAAGAGGATGCCTGCAGACAGTAAGATGATGGTTGGAGCAAAGGATGGACAACCATCCACTGAACTGTTCCCATCTATAAGAGTTTCTAAATTTCACATTTATTTCACAATAAATTTCTTTGCATCACTCAACTTTAAAATGAAATGCTTTCTCTTTCCAGTTACTGTACCTTTGGCTACTTCTATGCCACATTTCACACTCATTGTCCATAGTTCCAAAGAATACTTTGAGCCTACATCAATCTACTCATTCCCTCTGCTTTCGCATAGATGATATACAGAAATAAAATTACGTAAAAGGGTAACTCTTAAAAGAAGGTGAAGAATCAGCCATGCCATTACCAATTGGGCCAACAGGCTTGCAAGTGAATTTCCCTTTTTGATCAGCCTCTTCAATGCATCTCACCAACTCAGGCATCCACTGTCCATAGAGACTCAGCTCACCACTTTCTTTGGCTTCAAGGCTCCGGATTGCTCTCTTTTGATCATCTGGAATAAATATAAGATAAACTTAATTTACTTCAGAAAGGTGCTAAACACAATTGAAAATTATTTTCTGTCCTCTTGTAATATAAAAATCCACTGACAAAAGTATGGTAGGGTAAAGCCATCTAAGTTTGGACACTATTACATACATTGTTGCAAAACCAAGCATCGGTGAGCTCTCCCTCAGAACAGTTATTTGCAGCTTGGAAGACCTGTTGTAAGCATGACCACACAAAAGCTTTGTTTTAGAAAAATTTATTTTATGGTGTCCAAACTTAGGTACTTGCCCGAACTTAGATGGTTTTACCCTGATGATGAGAAAACAATTTTGCATACTGCCAGGAGTCAACTATCATGCAATGTGTATTTCTGTGGAACTTAACTCAATGCTTGATTATGAATAGATAGCTACAGCATTAATTCTAGCATATCAGTACTTGCCAGAGACACTACAAGTACAATTCACCTCTAATAGACTCCTCCACTGCTGCTGTTGGAATATTAAGAGTTATGTAATAAGTATCAAAATAACTTATTTCATCTAAATCCTGGTCAATTTGAGGCATCAGGCTAATGTATGCATCTCAATCAGCTGATGTTGATGTAACACTTGAAAAAATTGGCAAAATTGCCTTTAGAGATGTAAGCCTGAATGCAGAAACCTTATATAGGTGGGATAAAGGGGTGTTTTAGTTAAAGAGCTCCTTTTCCTCTAAAGGAGTCCATGTATTCTTAAAGGACCATTAATTAGAGGTTTCAGCATTTGTGCCTAAGTCTCTGAAGGCAATTTTTTGGCTCATGGCAAACTTTGTGGCTTCATGGCAAAAGTTTCATGGTTTCACAAACAATCAATGATCAATGAAGAGGCTTAAGAGGAAGAAAAGTATAGGAGAACCTCTTACCTCTTTCTCTATGCTTCAGGCCCATAGGAAGTTATTTCTATATTGCCTTAAACTATGGCTTTAAAACATTCCTCAATGTTCTCAGATACTATTAGAAGTTTCAATTCCACATTTAATAACATTATAGAACACCTTCTTGGTGCTTCTTTTGAGTGATCAGTAGGCCCCTCCTCACCCACACCTGTCCTTTGAATGAGGGCCTTTGGTGAATATTATTTGGGAAGGATCATTGATTACATAATGCAGTTCAGTTCATGCATCAAATTCCATCAATATCTCTCGACTCTTTTTTTGTGCTATATTTTCAATGGCGGACTGTATGTAGTTAGGGCTCACCAATTTTCCGCTGAAGGTCATGTTCCTGTTGTAGAAGATCATGAGCCTTTTCTGAGAGCTTATGTGCAGCCATGCTCAACTGCTCTTTGTGATGACATGTTGTATCAATCTGTGCCTGCAGAGCATCACCATTTTGCTTTAGCTGAGCCAGCTTCACTTTCTGTCTCTCCTTTTCCTTTAATGCCTCTTCCTCGCTGAAAAGCCAATCAAATTACCTTTGACACCATGCTTTCACTCATAATAAATTGCTTTGACAAAATAGATTATAATGAGTTGATGGCTACAGAGACATTTTTTATAAAGCAACATTTCTAGTCATGTAGATTGCTTAATTACATAAAATGATACCCACTTGGGGCAGGTGCTCCATCACTGCTACAAAGGCAGTGCAGTTCATGACTAGCTTAGTCCAGCAATGAAAAAGGAACTTTAGAGGGGGGGGAAGGGAAGCAATACATCTGTAAGATGGCCACTTCCACAAACTCCAGGCAAACCTTCAAGGCAATCTACTCTGAACAGTCAAGATTTAAGCAATCATCAAGCTTGTCAAGATGATTCTGCATAACAAGGAAATTTTAGCCAAGGTAAAGCCTTGATATCCAGTTGGTGACCTTAGTACCAAATAAAGTTAAAGAGGAGAAGTGAGAATGCCTGTGTTTGAAACAAATAAGATAAGAGTGAGAATCTCAAATTATTCCAGAAGTGATTAATTTCATTTGCTGAGTCATAAATTCTATTTTATTTTTCATTTCTTGGACAAAAGTAATAGCAGTTTCACTCTTTCATAACATTGACTAATAGCAATGTACCTACTGCACTGAAGGTGTCCAATATAGAAAGATCATAAATAGGGCCTTTTTTTTCCTAACTAGCCACAGGTTAAGATCTGCTGTCTCTGATTTTATGGAAATTGGAAGAGAAGAAGTATTCCTCTTATGAAACCAATTTGAATCATTTTTGTTTGACATCTTGAACTGCTCACTGGATATCTGGAATTGAACATCATTTGTTTTTTGCCAAAGCACCCATTCAGATAAGAAATGTGAAAGTGTTATAACAATGATCTTGACTTCTTTGTATCATTCTAGAATCAATTTAATGTGAAACTGTCCCCTTTCTAATGATACAACATAGAAACCTCCAAAGCAGATATAAAATTCCAACTTAACCAAATAAAAAGGGGCACCTTCAGCAAAAGGTTCTACTATGTGCTGAACCCATGCTAATACTCATGCATATGAGATGCACACAGATGAAAGACATTTTAAAAAATTCCCCAAAACTATTCCTTCCATTTAAGAAGAAAAAGAATTAAGGGCAGAGAGAAATGATTACCCGCATTGGAGTCGCTCTTCCTCCCGTGAAAGTCTGTCCAAATCCTTCTGCTGTTCCTCCACTCTCTCCATCACAGTACGATGATCAGCCATGAGCTTCTGGATTTCTCTTGACAGTGTTTGCACATCATTCTCTGCTTCTCTTTGCTTTGGTTGGAGATCTTGTATTTTGGCTTCATACTCCCTCAGCTTTTCCTGCAGTGATCTGAAGAAATCCTATGGCACACAGCATTATGGCAGTAAGAATGGAGAATGAAAGATATTCAAAGCTTACTGTTTCTGGTTCTCATAACTATCAACCAATTGAGTTTGAGTCTGGAGCTTCTTTAGTGCCTGTTCCTTGACTTTCTTGTGCTTCTCCAGGGATGCCTCCTCTTCTTGAAAAGAGGACTCCATAGCTTCAATCTGAATGCATAAAAATGATAAAAATTATTTGAATTCCCATCATCATACTGGATAACTAAATGAGAATTACCCATCACTATTATTAATCCAGACATAAATAGGCCAACTCAGTCAGTCAGAGAGCATCCCATCCTGTGGTGGGTAAAGGCTAACATAAGATTAATATATAGGGTGTTAAAAAAAAATAAGCTCCACTCATTTCTCAAGAAATGATGAGGAATAGATAGCACTAATTTCCATGGGGGAAAAAAATCAGACCAGGCTTCATTCTGGTTGCTACCTACCTTCTTAAAAGTAGAACATCTTGAGATTAAAGCAGAGAAGGCCCAATCTGTCTCACAGTTTGATTTAAGCTGTGAACTATTGATTTAATATGGGATTTGCCTTTCAATTCCAGATTAGTCTCCAAGGAACAAGGATTGAGTCAACCCATATGTGAATGATGCAAATTTAATGTGAGATTCTGATGTGAGGGTACAAATATGATATGTAGCACAATAATTTACTCTGAAAAAAGTGAATTCTTAACTCTGATACTGAAAAAAAGACACCACTTGAAAAGAACTGAGGTTCCTCTGGAATACTAAGTAAATTTTAAAATTGTTCAGTGTGATTAGAACAAGACTTAATGTAATTAGAACAAACTATTATTGCTGATCTTCAGCAGAAAGAATTCCTCAAAAGTCTAACAATGTACACATCACAAGTACACATCTGCCCACCAGGGTAATTAGCCTCTCAACATAAATAGATGTTTTGGGTTCAAAGTGCACAGAAAAAAGCACAAAAAATGTTCAGTTCTAAATGAACAAGAACTTGACTACTTTGAAATGTTCTTTTTCAACAATAGACTGTGAAGGAAAAAGGAAATGAGCTGAGGGTGCTATGAAAATCCTCAGTACAGCCACAACGAATTCCTACTGGATACAAAGCATAGATGGCATGGTAAAAAAAAAAAATGATGGACTTGGGGTCATTCCATCTCAGGACTACTTCAATCAAATCTCATCAACTTTGATGAGAAACTAAATAGCTTCTTTTCATAGTATGCTTGAAAAGCTGTCTAAAATCCATTACTTTATGTGAACTTTATGACTACAGCTTTATGAAAAGTTGGAAACCTAAAATGAACAAAAGCACCTATGTATTGAAAATGACTCCAGAATGCTTGAAATTTTCATGTGATTTTTTAGCTTGAAAACAAGCAGTGTAGGACAACGCAAGTGAAAAATTAAGTCTCTCAAGCAATACAATATTGCATGACATGAAAAAGACAGAGGGCCAGATCAAATTACTTTTGGTAAGTACTGTAGTATTCCAAACACCTGTCTGCAATCAACATAGCCAGTGCAGTGTCCCCATAGGCCTTCATTGAAGTTGTCCATTTTTTATTTCTGACTCTCTACAGAATATAAGTTATGTAGAGTATAAGTTAAGTAGAGTGACCCAATAATTGATCATAAACCCTACACTATAACATTCCCTAACCCAGAGCTACTCAACCTACCTGGATGGCAAATCCCTCTTTGGTGGTACCACACCATGGCAGTACAGACAACACTTAATTGGCAATTATGATTGAAAAGTATTTATGTAATGGTTTTCTTTCACCCTTCAAGTACTGTGACTGTGTATATGCTGTCTGCAGATGATTTAATAGACTGTGCCTACATATATGTGTTTTTCATAATTTAACTATTGGGTGCTGCCATCATGCATACATGATTGCTGAGAATTGTCTGTGAGCTTACAGAGCTGATGTAAAAAATGATACTTAGATGATTTTGATGATTTCACGAAACACTGTCAAAATAGCAAGTGTCAGAATGCATACCTTGACTAGATGTTCTAATGTTGCTTGACTGAAGATTGGCATGTCCCATTGTGCATGAACAACCAGCCTGGGCTTGGACTCTGACATACACTGGTGGACAAAATTAAGGTAACAATCGCAAAAACCAGAATAACGTTTTTATTCAAGAGGTATATAAATGAAAATTTGTATAGAGATACAATTTATCATTACTGATAAGTGTATAAAAAAGGAGAAACTTTGGACAGGTAATAACAGAGATATGATAATTGCATCATGAATGGAAAGTTACATATTCCAACAGACATGCTTAGAAGAAGTCAATAGCCATCGCCTTTTTATAGGCTTCATTAATTTGCATGTTGCAAAGCAAGTAGATTGAATATTTGGAATCTGCATGTAAAATTATGTATAGTAACATATTTTCACCATCTAATTTACTATTGTAATTAAAATATTGACGAAAAACAGTGTTACCTTAATTTTGTCCACCAGGGTATTTGCTACTTTCAAATTACACAATTAAAATAGTTACTGTCGTTTGGGCTCATGACAACCATTATTGTTGAAAGTTCCTGACAAATATCTAATATGGTGTTCTTTCTCCAGGTAAAAAATTGAGAAATTTTTTAGGCCATCCAGTAACACTACATTTCTGTAGCTATACTACAAAGTGGTTTCATTCCATGTGGACCCCACCATATTTCAAGATGATACTTACCTGATAACTTGCACTGTGGCATCCAATCAGCCAGAAATTAAGGGGCAATATCATTCTACATTTTTTAGTTTTAGTTTTACAAAAAAAGTTTTTACAAAAAACCATCTTTCAGCTGAGTTGACAAAAAGCACAAATGAACATTCCTTCTTCCTGCAAGGGTGGGGAAGCTTAATCTCCTTCTGCAGGTTTTTGACCAGGTTAATAATGCAGTTTACCAAAAGCTACTGAGTTTTTTCTCTTCCCTGAAGTTGATGGTTATGTTGGAATGGAGACAAACCACTGAACATATATACAAGCTGGCTACTTTATGCTTTCATCCCCTTCTCATAAAAATATGCATGCCTCTTCTTGGTAATCTTTAATGCAATCAAGGAAGACTTGAAAAGTGGCCTTGAATCAGGTCTGACAAATGTGTTGATTTATGCTGGAATGTGGCTGGGGAATGTTGACTCAACTGCAGCTCTGTGATAGCAGGATGCTAGGAATATTTTATATTTTTCCCTCTTTTCTAGAGAAAGGTCAACCAATGATGTCTCCTCCTCTCCTTTCAGTGAACAGGAACAACATAGTGATAACATAGATTTTTCTGAAAATTTTGAACAGAGAGCAAACAACCAAAGTATTGAAGTTACTTACAACAGGATTCCTTGCAAAGCATATCAATCCAATAAGCTTTTGTCACCTGCCAACATGCTTACCCCAGGAATTACTCATGCTCATACAATCCCTGGTTTCATATGTCTTAAGGTTGGTCACTCTTGTGTGCCAGCTGTCAACATTTTGTTTCTCTCCAGTAAGGCATGCTTCCAGTCATGGCTTGTCTGCTTCCCAATTTTTATTATTTTTAATCTTTCTTGCTATGGTTTAAAAAGAGCCACTGACTCATTTTGACACACAGTATGAATAGCTTCAACTGATCTGTGCTGTGTTCTCTGTCATGGTTACTTCTGGAAAATGTGAGGCTCCAAAATGAAAAAAAGTTGTACTGATGGACTAGACTCTTCCTCAGGGAATGTACATTTTGAACTTGAAATATCAATAGCTGTTCTATAAAATATACTGGCCAGATAAGGAATCTCCTTCAAACTCAGGGACATGCATGCTTTTCATTTGAGAGGAGCATTGCATGGGATGGAACAAAGAAAAGGTGAGAGTCTACAGTGGCAGGCTACAGAATGTTCAGTTATTGCCATTATGGATCTCACCTCAGCCCAGAGTTTTTCATATTCCAAATGCACCAACTTTTCTTTCATTGCCTCCCAAGACTCAATAGCACGCAGCTTAATCTTCCAGAGCTCTGCTTTCCTCTCCAACCCTGGCAATAAGCACTCCTTCTGTTTTAATATCTCTTCAGCTTGCTTCATCAGCTGATGGGAATCATTCAGGTTTGCCTGAATCTGAATAAAGAAAGAGCATTGAATAGTAATTTGAGCCAAGTAAGCCCCTAGTACAAACAGAAGAATCTCAAGGAACCTTTTCCAAGAGGGTTGCTTTGAGAAAGAACCTATACTTGTCTCTGGGGTCTGTGGCATTCAGGAAATTTTTTGACACCTCTTGGTTCAAAATGGAAATGGGATTCTCTACATCAATGCAGAAATGGTTCACTATCTTCATGACCTCCTCTCGCTTCTGTGAAACCACATGCCCTGGGGAACAGAAACAAGAGACTCCAGCATTGTATGACTGTAGCTTTCCAAGAGAACAATTGAAGGGCTGGAAGGCAAAGTGATCCATCAGCAAAAAATTATTTCCTCTATTTCCATGCGGAGAGTGAATATTCCAGTGACCACATTAAAAGTGAGGAAAAGTGGCATGTCTTGATAGATCAGTTCATCATTTACATAATTCCAAAAATAATTATTTTCTATGAAAGAAACAAGGTTCTATGAGCACAAAACCAACCATACTTTTTAAATAAATTTTTTGCAGATAGACAACTTCATTTTTCAGCCTTTCAATTATGTACCTGGCTAGGAATAGGGCCATTAATTTTGTCATTCTTTTTTCCCCCATCATTTTCTGCCTTTGAAATTATGATATCCTTAAATTTTAGCACTTCCAGCTAAGAAATCCTACTTTCTTTTTTCAAGGTTAAAATGCATTTTTTATGGTAAAATTAAATTTTTACCATAACTTACAGGTTCATTAATATGCTAACCAACTTATTGTGATTGCACTCTATATCATTGCATGGCAGGGTGGGGGAAACAATGAAATCTCACTGACTGATGAAGTAAAGATAACCTAATAGTAGTATTTAGAGATCTCCAATAAAAATTGTGATAAATAATTCTAGAGTAAGAATTTTGAAATGCTGTTGAGAATTTAATTGTTCCATAAATTTATTTATTGCAAGTACAAACTCAGTTTTCCACAAAATATGGACTTCTCACTTCTTGGCTGAAGATCAGCTTTAAAATTCCATATTTCCATGAAAACTGGAAATAGAGAACTCTTAGATATGAGTGCTGCAAGAATGCATGAAGGAGTAAATTGCTCCAAAACATTAACTTCTCCAGGATGAGTTAAATGCTCCTGACACACCTTACCTGATTTCCAGTAATTACAGCACCTACAGACATGCACACCAAGTATTCACTGGCACCCAGGTGTCAAAAAAATTGCTTGCAACATTCAGCTTCAAGGAAACAGATTACTTATTGGACTGGTGCTGGAAAAATTTACATTTAATATAATAAAAAGACGGCAACTAACCAACAGCATTTTTGATCTTGTACCCTCCAGAAGAAGCCTTCAGGATGCGAACAATGGTGATCAAATCCCCATAATCATGACGTTTCCATGAGGCAGGGCCCCTGTTATTCAGTGTGATATGGACCTGAGCAGAAGTCTCACCTTTCTTGATCAAATCTACAACATAAATCAGCAAAGGGGCATTAAAAAATATCACATGAATGTCATATACTTAAAGGGATTCATAAACAAGCAAAAGCATCATTTTCAAAGGACTGTATCTCTCATATCAATAAAAAAAGAAACTTATAATTTGCAGGACTGAGCACACATATAGGGTCATTAACCCATCTAGACCAACAGACATATATATGCTAGAATGTTCTTTTAGCCCATCCAAAATCACCACAGACCACAGTATGCTGCACAGCACCCATCCAATATCATCCAGTGTACACTGGTATGCAGTGTTCTTTAAAACATTGACTGCCAGATTGACATTCTATAGCAGAAAAGTATCATACATATATAAACAAGGTATTCTTCACATAAATCGATTCCTCAAAATCTCTTTCTGATAAAAAAAAGTTCCATCAAAAATTGAACACTAAGTTTGGAAGTTAAGGCTCATCAGAGTTGGGCTGCTTTTTATTAGGCCCCACCCTAAAATGTTAATATGAAGCTGCCAGAAGATGCTCCCTTGGGCTCTGGCCATTCTTGAAACATAATCACAGCTGCACACTTCAACATCAAGGCATCCATAACACAAACTGATAAAAAGGACAAGATTAAACTTTCATCCACATATGTGTGCATGTTGCTTAGAACAAATGGGCCAACAATAGATTTAGTTACACATATCTTGAATCCTATTAACTTCTATTAATACAGTCAACACTTGGTACAATGAACCTCTATATAACAAATTTTCCTCATAAAAATTTTTTAGCCTGTCCCTTCGAGTTTGTTATATTTAATGTCAACTGTAGTTGCAAGAGATATTATGGCTCACCCAATATTGGGCATGAATATCATCACACCTCTATTTTTCATCAGTTTATCATTATCTTAATAGGACTCACATTACCATGCTATGTTTGTGCCAACTGGTCCCTTGGCAGGTATCAGTACCTTTCTCCAACTCAATCAAACCATGATTTACTGAAATAGGTAAATCTAGCCACTCCTTGGATGTGAACAACAATGCCATGGAAACAGAAACATCCTTGAATCTGGTTGATATTTCTTTCATAAGACTCCCAAAACTGTCTGCCCTTCAAGAATGAAGCTTTCTCCTGATGTTCAAAATACCATGGCCCAAATGATGCAGATCAAAACAGCAAGGAACTTACAAACACCATGATCCAACAGTAACACCTTAGTTCAACTATAAATCTCAGAAAGCAAATGTAATCCTCTCCATTCAGGCAATGAAAAATCCCCAAGACCATCTACACACAAGACTTAACCCTTTGAGCCCTGAGTTCCTGAGCAATTTTGAGCCTTCTGCCTGAGCTCCTGGGCCAAAATTTGCTAATAATGGGTATACAATGTTTGTGCAAATATCATAGTTGTAATAAAAGAGATGAGATTGATGCTTTGCATGCAAATAGCAGGATGACGTACCTTCATTTTAACGCCAGAATTCTTTCTTTGTGTGCCAATCAGGCAATACGTCATTTCTCTCTACCACCAGTAAAGCGGTGGTGAGGGCTCAAAGGGTTAATTCATGTAAGCCACATAAGCCCATAGACTTAAACTAGGATTTCTATTGCCAGTAAGATCAAAAAAGGGAGATGGTCATCCCAAAAAATGTATAACCCAAAAAATATATTAACCACTCAGTACAGTTAACACTCAATTAAATGAACCTCAATATAAGGAATTTTCTTTTTCACTCATTTTTTCCCAGTTCCTTGGAACATGCTAATTCAAATGCACATTGAATAGTTTATCTGTAATAAAGTTCTGAATAATGACTTGTTTGGGTTCAAGAGGTCATTTTTCCATCAGAAGAAACAAAACTGTTCTGTAATATACTTCAATCTGCTGCACATGTCAAAGCTACAGTCTTTTATACATTCCTGGAAAATCTTGTACCATATGTAAATTTAGCATTCTCCACCCAATTATGGGTGTGGCCATGGGGAGTAAGGAAGCTTGTCAATCAGTCTTAATCTTTTCAATGAGTAAGATGGGGAAACAAAAGGATCTCTCCTTTGAAGAGAAACAAAAAAATAATCCTTATTATTTGCAAAGGTAGCAAGGACAACATCACACAGAACTTTGATCTACCATCAACCTCTTTGGCAACAATTCTCAAATAAGAAGCATTCATCAAAGCAACTGTGAAAAGGAGAAAGAGGGCAAGCAGTATGAAGAATGTTCCCTAGAATTGTTTCCTTGTGCTAAAGCATGGGAATTTGCCATAAAATTGAGAGGAAGGATTTTCAGGGAAAAGAGATTGGTTGATGAAGTTCAAGACTGGCATGGCAAGGTATACAAAAAGATGATGGAAGAAAGTGCTGATATTTACAGTGTTGATTGCCAGACATGGATAGAAACTTTTACAAACTACCAGAGGAATACAATCCAAAGAACATCTTCAACTAAGACAAGACTGGCCTGTTTTTCTAATCTTTTTTTTAATGTTTACCAGATAAGACCATTTGCTTCCAAGGTGACACATGACACGGCACAAAAAGCAGTCCAATGAGCATATCCCTCTTCAGGTTGAATGGAAACAAAAAGCTGTCTCTTCTCCTTGGCAAGTCAAAATATCCCCAGTGTTTTAAAGACATCAAGAGCCCCCTGCTTCTTCATGAAGCCAACAAGAAAGTATGGACAGTAAGGGATTTCTGGTGTTTCTATCTGCAGAAACAGGACAGGAAGCTCCATTCTGAGAATCTTAAAGTGAGGGTTTCAAAAATGTTGGTTTCACCATCTTTTATCCTGCACTTGACTGAATGACAGAGGAATGGATTCAAAGGATTACATGCTGCCTGTGCTGGATCAAATTCACATGGTTTATTCATTATGGCAAGAAATCTTTAGTGCCACTCTACAACATGGACTCAAAAAAAGGCAAATGTGAATGTAGCAAAAGAAATTTCAGAAAGTGGTGGGAGTGATGAAGATGAAGATCAGGATAAGGATCAGGATCAATCTGAGTCAAAAATTCTCCTTGGTCAGGCATTTGAAGCCTTTAACTATCTGCTGCTTTTCAATCAAAAGCTGAATGCTGTCCTTAAACTTTTCCAACATTGAGTGCTCTGCAGACCATAACTCAAAGAATCATCCAGGAAGAAGCATGGCAGACAATGATTTGGAACTTTGTTTCTGATGAACAGATAGTTTTGGCGACTCATCCAATTTATATTACACCCACAAAAGTACACACTGCTGTGCATACCCATTTAGGTACATACTTCAATATCTTGAAAGTTGTATTTTTCTAATATGGCACATACTTAAATCTTCCCATATTTCATGAATAGACAACTACCTGCTTTTATGCAATAAAGGAGACATTGAAGCGATACTGACATGAGCTTAACAGGTCTCTTTCTTCCAGCAAAATGTGAGAGATTCCCAAAAATGAATTTTCCTTATACTTAAATTGTTTAACCTGTCCCTTGAGTCCATTACATCAAGCATCAACTGTAATTATAAAAATTTGGCTTGACTACATAATAAATTTGGAGAACCTTTGCATGTGGCAAAAATGAACAGCATTGTGAATCTCATTAAGAATAAAATTATTTGGAATGATAAGAACTCAAGTTAGAATCAGTAAATTTATCATTCATGACTCATGTTCAAGTTTCCATGGTTGCTCCATATCTTACAGTCTGCTGAATAGCATGTAAATTTATCAGCAATTTAATTACCAAAGCAGGGAGTCACCTATCATTTGACAATTTAGTCACTGAACATGTACTTTAGTTCCAATTTGGTGACTGGTGACTGTTTACATGTAAGGTTAACAATTCCTAGCTCACTTCAAAGTCATTCAAACCTCAAACCAGTAAAATTCTTTATTAGGCAATAACACTTTTTACGCATCAAAATAGGCATTTGAGGCTATTAAGGTGCAATGGCCTGGAAAAAGAAAACTTGGTTGTCAACTCACTAAGACTTCTCAAACCATCATATTCAAAACTTTCAGGAATATCCCTGGTTTTTTAATTATAAAAAACCATGAAAATGAGACATTTGTAGAAACTCACTCTGCAGGGTATTTCCTCTGTCAGTAGCTCTAGCTGAGCCTCCCAGGCCAACAACAACAGCAGTCAGGATAGCTGATTTCCCACTTCCATTGCGGCCCATTACAAAATTGATATTTGGACCAAAGTGCACCAACAGCTTTTTGTGACACATGAAATTCTCGAGATACACCTTCTCAATGATGCCACATCTGGATTCTTCAGGCTATTGAAATAGAAGATTAGCATATGTGTGATCTAATTTCAGGAACAATAAGACAAGATTTTGATAGAAGTTATGAAAATCATGAAGCAATCCCATGTGAAAATTTCATATAAGACCACAGGGTTCATACTAGCTTTTTTAAATCTTGAGTCCTGGTGCCTAGTTTCTACTCAGTGGAAACATGTTCAGGTGGTTGTCAATGAGTCCCATGGACTTGGATATTTTGAAAATATGAGTCCCTCCAAGAAATACGAGTCAGGGACTTGCTATAGTGAGTTAATGTGAACCGTGGGCCATATATGTAATGTTCATATATTTAGCCAGTCTAACATATATATGTGACATATATGATACATATATGGGGTTTGACACAAGTCACATAAATCATATAAGAATGAAAATATAAAGTCCCATAAATTTTCATACTTTATATTTTTATAAATTTCAAAAATGCCTGCATTAAAAAAAAGTATTTAAAAAGTATGAAAAAAAAATTTGATGAAATAAATTTATAAAAGGTAAAATATCTAATGATTATATGATGAAACATTGTATTTCAATTCATGAGCAAGCCTTTGCAGTATAGTGACACTTAAAATTTATTTGACTAACTATAAATGTTACTATGGAAGCCATCTGGTAAAGCAAGTGCTTGCGACATCTGATTTAAATTTTCATTACAGTGGGGGACATATTTTCTCCAAAAATTATAGTGCATTCAAAAAAAAAAAAAGAAATAAATGCCACTTATGCATGTAATGGGATAGATATATGCTAAAATGCAGAAACATGCATTCTCCTTTTGAAACAGGAATTTACTAGAGCCTCTCTATCTCAGGTGCATTGCAAATCTTCCAGCAGAAAACCAAGGTAATATTGATATATGGCCTTCATGAAACCTCTAATGGGTTGAGCATATGCCACCATATGTCATCAACATAATAACTTCAGCTCTTCAGAGCATATTTTATCAAGCCTTTATTTCTATATTTTTCTATATATTTCTATAAAAAATGCTTGATTTCACTTAAATGAATCAACCACTCCACTTATGCCATGATCTTGGAATACAAATGTCAGCAGCAGGATTCATGCACAGTGCAAGTTTCATGAATGAAGCTCCATGAGAACAGAGACATATAGTTAAAATTTATCAGTCTTTTTTATTTTACCATGCTCTGTGTAAAAGAGGAGTGGTCCAAAATCAATGGGAAATAACTTATTCCAATGCAACTCAATTTGGCATGGAAATACATATTCATGTGAGTGACACCCAGACTGGGGATTAAATGGATCAGTTCAAGCTTGCAATCCATGGAAGCAAAGCAATCATATCCACTATGCTGTCACTGCAACAGTCATTCAAAACTAACAACGATCATGAAGCTCCTGCATATATTTAGGAGAAAGAGTCAACAGCCAATGTGTCAAGATAAGTAAAATGTAGCATCTATCAAAAGAGTGTAACTTCTTGTTACAAGAAGTACTTCTCTATTTCAGCTAAGTAAATTTAGACATTGAACATTCCAAACACCCGATTAAGTCTGACTAGAGCATTGCATTCTGAATGTACACAGAAGTGGCCTACCAGGATAATAAGTGGGAGTTTACCATGCTAAGATACTATACACTAACAAACCACTCTTCTGCTATGGGACCCAGAAAGGTTCAAACCAGAAGAGCCAACCACATTTCTCATGTCTCATGACTAGCCTTTTCTGAAATTGCTTCTTGCATTACTATTCCCTTGACCTCACAATCTTCTAAGATGTGTCAGCCCCCCATATCACTAGCTTTTTATAGCTTCACCATGAACTGCACCTGCAATACTCTTATTGGACACTTCTGTACACTGCTTTACACCCATTGCAGACTGGAAAATTTGCTTGCTTCCAGTAAAATGCAATTTTCAATGTTGATACCTGATGTAGCTATATTTTGGGAAGGTGTACAGGTATCTTCATCATGCAAACAGCATTTGTATTTGCACATACCTAGTCCTGCCATAAATACTGTTACAAGGTTTTTTTGTAATAACTTTGTTAATATAAAACATACGCTGTACTCGCTAACTGCATTTATTTCCCAACATAATTACTAACAGATTACAGAAACATTATTCAAAAATTCCACCACTGGCCTTCACACACAACTTTAAACGATCAGGCCACTCATCATTCGCAGTACGCACCATGTCCATTGAGATATTGGCTGCTGATTTTGGAAGGGCTCGCTTGAGACTTTCAATATTTGGATGTCTTCTGTGGCAGACCATCAGCTCCAACTCTGCCCACAGTTTGTAAGCCAGTGGGTTCAACTTAGGGGTCCCAGATGGCCAATCTGAGGCCTAGATGAACTTGGGGACAATGTTGGTTAGCCACTCCTGCGTTGTCTTAGCCTTTTGAGCAGATGCAGAGTCTTGCTGAAAGATCCAGTTGCCCCCATTGAACATTGCTTGGCTGTGAGACTTTACCGTCTTTAAGACGTCTTCCTGGTACACCTTGGCAGATATCTTCACTCCTTGCTCGTAAAAATGCAGCTCGGTGACACCTTCATAGCTTATCCCCCACCAAACCATGATGGAAGCAGGACGGTGACCTCTCTCCACCTTATGGATGAATTCTGCAGCTTCCAGAGTCATGGGCATACACTTGGTCATTTTGCTGGTTGAATTTTTCTTCAATTGGGAAGATTTTCTCATCAGTAAAGAGGATTTTGTGGTGTCTGTTTTGAGCGTACCTCCACAGCAACACTTTTGATCGCGACCTTCTGATTTCTTTCAGAGATGGAGTCAGCATGTGTCCTGTGCTTCTTCGGTAAGCACCCATTCTTAGGTCTGATTTAATCAACCGAGACATGCTTCTAGTTGAGATGGCCATTTTCCTGGCCATCACTTTCTGCCTGCTGAGAGGATTTTGCCGAATCCTGTTGCTATTCTGCTTTCATGACTCATGGTGTTCTGGCAGTGCATGGATGTCCAGATCTAGGGCGGTCTGGTACTCCCTGAGTATCAGTGTAACATTTGATAGCTTGGGAAACAAACTGCCGACTGATTCCAAGTGGCTGCAAAGTCTTGAAAATGGTTGCAGGTTTCTGTTCCACTTTGTGCAGGGCAATCACTGCTATGCGATTCTCTTGGTCACCCCACTCCATCTTTACTGCACGCAACACAACAGCCAAAATGCTACCAAACAATACAGTGGATAATACACTGCACGATTACTAGGTTACAATATTCTAGCTTCTTTTGCTAGAATGCAAGGAACATGTAAATCTTGTAACAGTATTTATGGCAGAACTAGGTAAATCTGAGCAGTTATGACAAACCAAACTCAATCATGCGGCCAGTTCTCATGCCAGGTCACTTACCTGTAAACATTGTCTCTTTCCTGGTGTTTCACCTGAGGTCTCATTGGCAGCTGTAGGAGAGAGGCGAGTCTTTCGAACTCGCTTCACTGGCTTATTCATGTCTCTTGGAATGCAACAATGGGCTTCAATTATGAACACACCAGTCAAGATAACTCATTCACTGGTAATGAAGACATTCTTCAGGAGAATTCACACAATCCTTACAGATTTCCCAACAGCCTACACCTAGAAAACAGGATGAATCAAAATTATGACTAAAATAATAATGAGGCATAGACCTAGGCCTAAAACTTCTTTGGGATCAATGTTTGTCATGAGGTATAACCTGGAACCAAAAAATATTCAAAACATCTTAAGTTCAAGACAATATTACCCAAATTCATTCAGCAGATCATGCCTCATCTCTGTCAGTTTGTAACTTTGACAATAGTTTTTAGAATGAACAACACGATCTAGGATGAAAAGTCAAGTTCAAATGCTCTGATATCCTCAGAGACAGTGATAGGGATACCCCTAGTGGTAGGGATAACAACACTCAATTACTAAACACCTCAAAATAAAAGTCATAATTCAAGGTGCACCAGTTTGAAAAAAAGCCAGTATTAAAAAAACTGATGTTTCAGCTCAAAGTTGGTTCATAATATTAATACAGCAATGGCATTGGTAGATCAGCTGTTGAGTCAACTCTTGCTTCCTCTCTGGGGTCTTTTCTGACACCATTTCTCAAAAAAAAATTATTTTTTCCTGACTGCCTATGAAATTTTAAAAAGTATTCACCTTTGTGTGTACTTTTAAAACCTTGTGAATGGTGTAATACTCTTGAGGATAATATACCTTAGCAGTGAAACAATTCATGATTACTCAGAACACACTGGGATAAAAAAATACTAGAGAGAATGTAGGTATTTTTAAAGCTGATAGGAAGCAAGGGTGAAAAGGAAAAACAACCAAAATTATCAATTAAAATTAATCAAATCAAACTAAATCCAATTTAAGTTAAAATGCAAGATTTTGAAAATTATGGCATGAATTCACCTCTCAAGGCCCATGTCATTAGGCCTATGATTTGAAGTTTCTTTCAGGTGGCTTCCAAGTGTACCTTGAGTGTTAGTCAAATCAAGGCATTGGTATGTCACATGATACGTCAACATCTTCCTGCAACATCATGAACCTGGAATGGGTTCCTACCCTTGGATTTGAGGGCACCTGCAACCTGCAAGTCAACTGGGACTTTTAGAGACAATGAAAAAAAAAACAGGTTTTCATATTACTACAAAATGTACTGTGGCAAAAGAACCCCGCCTGTCAAATGTTCAAGAGGATATATCAGAGGTCTCTCCTAATATGCATGAATTTTTAAATGTAGGCCTAATGCATATGGAGCAATGTTGGTCTACCACAGGCTCAGAATCTATATGAAGCAGTTTTAGAACTTGGCTAACCTGCAAGTTACTGATCCTTGCTTGCCTTTTCAATGGAGGATGACAATCCCTTAGAAAAGCAAATAAAAACTTGGATTTTTCCATGTCTCTATACAGGTCAAGGCATATTGGCTTCTTGGAGTATTAACACTCAAAGGATGCAAAATAATAGGAACTGTGCATGATGGTAGGCTGAATTACCTCAGATTCCACAATACTGCATCCATGCAGGCATCTCATATCATATATCAGTCAGCAGCAATAACTAAGCATCATCACCTTTTGCCAATATAGGGAGTCCTTCAAGTTTGGTAACACTTTCAAAAACTTATTTACATAAAAGTAAGAAGTATTCAAAACTGAAATGTGACACTCTAATAGAAGAAAGTAGAAATTTACTTCATGATAAAAATGCACTTTTTGCTCACTGAATAGTATCTCAATGGTGATTATGTAAGAAAAAAGCCTTACTTCTTCATGAACATTATTGAATTCCTCAATCAAGGTTCAAACAAAGTCATCTTAGTTTATATCAGATCCTGCACACTTTGCAGATGGATTCAATTGCAAATCCCCTTCAGCGATTTCTGATTGAATCCACCTCCCATACTACTCCCTGAAAGATGCCAGATTTGTGCTAAATCTACCTTCTCAAAATGACTAACCCCAGCCATATCAAGGATTGATACAGAACTGACACAGGTAACCATTGCAAATGAGATCAGCAAGAAAACTATGATCACAGCATCATCTCCTATTATAGAGCAGATGTTCTTTACTTCCCAATGCTACTGCATTAGGGGGAATAAATTCAAATAATAATCACTGCAAGTCTAGGACAGGGCCCCCACGATCTTCCTGTATCATTTTCCCAGGGCCCTGCTCCTGCAAGACCCTTTTTCTTACAACAGCCAATGATTCGCCTTCTCAACTGCTCAAAGCGGAACTAAGGTCATCGGTAACAGTGAAACTGTTACCGATATGAGTGAAACTCATACCCCCTAAAGAATTAGCACTCCCGCAGTCTCCAATATTTCCAGTTGAATTCAACTGAAAACACACCACATCCATTGGGATTCCTTTTATCAACACCAACCCAATCCAACCTAACGTTTCTAGGCTTACACTGGCCTAAGCCCAGGTCACGGAGTATCTCCGGATAAGTTTAAAGGTTATACCTTCCTTCTTTTTCGACCAAGAATCTCGACCTGTGAGATTTGGACCATTGACGGCAGTGAAAGGCCTATCTATCTCGAGTTTCTCGCGCCAATCCAAAGTTCTATGCAGATCGCTCCTGGTCCTCCGCCAACGTGTGGAGCGCCATGCTGTTCTCTGTCCAGTGGTCCATCGTCGGTCAAGATTCAAGATTCAAGATAGTCAAAGGGGCATAGGCAGCGATTCATAGGGGCTCAGGAGGCTCGAGCCCCCCCAAAAAAATTTGGCAGAAGAATAAGGAATACTTGGAGTACCGCCTCTGAGCCCCCCCAAATTTCTCAACAAATCGCTGCCTATGCAAAGTGGTATGGGCTGTTTCATTCCTTATAACTTAGCATTGCTTCAGTCTCAACTCGTTGCAACTAAATAACGGAGGCATGCCGACAGTACCGTGCGAATTGAAGAATCAAACATCGATATGAAAGCAAGTTACTGACAGAATTACATGCTGCAGCCGGCAACCATGGGACATATCAGAAGCCTATATGCTGTTTATGCATTGAATTCGTACCCCCCTATAGGAGCGCTGCCATCGATTGCAGGTAGTAACATCTTACACGTGGATGGTTATGTCTATCACCTGATGAAGCGGAACCTCTGGAAATTCGTGTTTTCTTCATTCTCCACTATTAGAGGGGTAGTACGAATTCAATCCTGAAACAGTGTACTATGGAATCCAAGGGTAGATTATTGAATCGAGTATTATCCCATAATGCTTCATTAATCTTAGAGCAAATACTCTATCACCGAATAAGCGATCTTTGAACCGCATACTTTCTATAGCAGTCTAATCAGGACGTCTGGTCAACTTCATAATATTGCGTTAAATTTAGACACTGGTTCGTGATTATAATAGAGTAGATCTGAAAGTCCTATTTCCTCGATAATGCTTGATTATTTTCATCTTTCGCAATGAATGGGCTGCACGGGTTGCATCGCGCGTCTAATGGTATCGCTTTGCGTTGAACCACCATGATGCTTACACGGACGAGTCAATGTGTACAGATTTGAGGTCTTTAATAAAGTAGATTTTCAGAAACTGACCCACTTCATGAAGATAGTCGTCATGCACTACGTTGATTTTCACCCCGGCCTGAGATTGTGAAGAACAACTGGAGTGCCCCCACTTCTGCAAGAGGTCGTTGCTCTCCGTTTCTGAGCACAATCTCATTTCGCAGTCATTGGTTATTGAAACGTGATCAGTGCTGGAGCGGCGTTCACTATTATTCATGAGTTGAATTTCAGCAGCAACAGGTAATGAAAAAACTGGCAAGGGTTATGGAGGACACCGACAAGAGTCTTTTCCTTAAAGGGCATCGAGAAAACGTGTTTCTCACATAGCGTGCAAGAGAAGTAAGCTTTCTAACAATCGGTTGGGGACGGATTTTAATTGTTTCACGCTGAAAAACCGATTCTGAGTCAAATTTTGGATAAACGATGGCAAAAACCTTGACATGAGTGGGCGATTTACAAAAGTAACAGATTAAGCTGTCAGAGGATACAAAAATTTTCGCATATGATGCCATAGGTGCTGAGACTTCCGCTCACGAAAGAGTGTTACCAGACTTTTGGAGGGTAGTATACTTCTAGTCTTCGCTTGCAATGCACTTTCTAGATTTTTTATGACTTTTGAGAAATCCATAATAAATTTCTGGCAGAATACCATAAATAGCCCTATACCTTCTTTTTTTTTGGTTTAGCAATTTTTATTATTATTTGACATTGCACTATTTGACTTTCTTTCCTGAGTTTCTGAGTTTATTCAATAGAAATGTCAACTTATCGGCAGTGTTTGTTGAGAGTTTATGATGTGTCCATCATGCCCATGCTCTTTGATTTGACAACTGAACTGACATGGGCAAACCAATGTTAAATCACATAAGAGTACATTGACCATGATTGCCCTGTAAGATGTGATGCTGCCACAGTTTCTGAGGTTTCAACTCTTGTTTCCCTATGCCAAGTGATTCTTTAGGAAATTTATTATTCTGATTAATTTATGCAATGCGCACCTCTACCTTTAAAACTCATTCGATTTTGCTTTCTTTTGTCTGACATGCGACGTTGCCGTCATCAACCATGATTGAAAATATTAAATGATTATGATTATAGAGACCCAAGTAGCAAGTAGGTGGTGGCCTACATTTGAGGAAGAGAGCTGGTGGCCCACCAACTTCCCCGGGTTGAGGGTCACCAGGTACATGTCCCACTTGCCAGCACTAGCCCGCCACCTTCCGGGCCGCTAAAGGGCCAGCACATTACCAGTTAGCTCGTTTGGGGTGTACCGCCAGCTAATGCCTTCATGTATATCCGATTCATCTCTAAATCTGGCTTCTAGAGCCTACTCAGAAGAGTACCAAGCTGGCCCACCGCTCTCATCTTCCGCATCCTATACGGGCACCTAGAGTGATGAGCAGAAGTTTACGAGTATCAAGACTTTTCATATACATGATATGTTATTAAAAACTTCGGTCTCTCTACCCTCCCCTAGTCCTGTACACTTCTGAATTCCCATACTTAACTTCAGCGTTTAATAACTCCCCGAGTCCAAATAAAAACATAATAATTCCACACTTTCCTAATATCTGGTTAAAAATTGCACATTAAGAAGAGGAAAAAAGAGGAAGAAACCCTTTTGCTAAATCAGGAAGGCAGGTACTTCATTGCATTTTTAGGGTGCAGGGGAACCATCTAGAAGAGACTCTTGATACTGTATCTAGGGGAGTGCCGGCTACATGCACTACCCTGAGCTGGTGGAGGGCCATCAGCCAATAGGTAGCGGGCCAACAACCGCATGTCCCCTTGTCACGTTCCCACCCCCGGCAGAAATCCGCCAGTGTAGTGCCTGGGCCGCTTATAGTCCACTACTTTTGCGCTACTTAGGTAATCTTGCAAGTTCAAAAGTTGAAAAATTACTGCACCCTATAATGCAGTATTTCCTGATAATACTGGATAATTTCAGTCATCGATTCAAAAATCTACCTTAAATTTCTCTCGCCTACACGAAACTGCAGGTCGCTAACGAATCAAATGTTATCCTACTGTGGCGTATATTGGTTGAAGAGTCAGGGGAGACAAGGCAGCAGCACGAGGACGCCAAACCCCACTCGAGCGATTTCAGGGGAGAAAATCATTACCTCCAAGGGGGTGCCAAGCTCTGTCCAGGGGGTGCCCCCCTTAAAATACGCCACTGTTATCCTAGTTTCTGCACACCCCCAGGAAGAAGGAACTGCTGAAGATTCCAAGGCAGGCATGAAGCAAGGTGATTTCATTCCTTCTAGTGTTATCAGAATGGCATTTGAGACGATTTATCAAAAAACAAGATAAAGAAACGCCTTAGATACCATTGTGTCAATTGATCATGGTTATCATGATACAGGGTGTCCATAAAGTGACTACCTATGGGCAACTTTTTTCATACTGAATCTAGGGGAACCAACTTTTTTATTTTTGTAGGCTGTCAGACTTCGGAAGGGTATCACATCTTTTGTTTCTACACTCTATTGTCGCTAAAAAAAAATTAATTTACCAAACCCTTGTTTTAATTCCAAGTTCATACGTATGGAGCGTAGCATTCCGAATCGTCAGCCAGGGCAAATGGCCTTCACGATCTCCAGATTTTGACCCCTGGTGATTTTTTTCTATGGGGCTATTTAAAAGGCATTGTTTACTAGGAGAAGCCCACAGATCTGAACAACCGGAAAGAGAATAAGTCTTATCTCTAGTGCCAGTTGCCAGAAAAGTGATGGAATTCTCATGGATGGAGCCAACAATGGTCTCAGAAATGTCTGGAAATCGGCGGCCGACACATTGAGCCAATTTGTCGTGTAAATTCCTAATTTTTATGATTTTGAATTCCCAAAACTCTCTAATATTCAATCAATACCGTGATAACTGCAATAAGTTTTTGCAATAGGGTCGAACGGCAAGATTTGCCTCGAATCGTTGTCTGAATTTCTTCTCCATTCAAATGAAAAAAAAAAATTATGAAGCACCAGATGTGGGAAACTAATTCTCGGCCGTGCCAAAGTGGTAGGAGAAAAAATCTGACACTATTCCGAGGTTGGTACGTTGTCAGTTTGCAAAATTAAAAAATGACTACTTCAGGGTCTATAATAAAAAATTCGCCCATAGGTAGTCACTTTATGGACACCCTGTAGTTTGTGGATGCACCTTTACTTAGTTTTCTGAGGAGGCTTGACAAAAAGGAACCGAGAGGAGAGTGAGTGATCACATGCATAAACTATCAGATCATGGAGTGAGATATCTTCCAAGGAATGAGGGGTATTGTGGAAAATTGAGTTGATAAAATTCGACGTCCATGGCTTTTTTTCACGATGCACAGGATTGTCTGGCATGGGAGAAGAAAGCTTTTAGGACGGGAAGTCATATGCTCGATGCAAAACGTTCTGGTCGTCCTGCATCACGCGTGGAGCACATCGACACTGTTCCAGTTCATCGCAAATATCAAGGAAACGTCATACAACGTCAAACATCAACGAAACAGAATTTGAGGTTCTTTCTCGTGCAAAGGGACTTAGTGGCCACTCTGTACGTGATTTGATCCATGATTTTTTCGGGCTTATGCCACGTTACAGGAGGGCTCTTTCTTTCGATTCCTAGGCCCCTATTCATAGTGGGCGACTTTAAAAACTCGGGGGCTCAGAGACCTGCGACCATCCATCAGTCATGGCTATCCTTTAGGGTGGTTCGGAGACTTTGTGTATGTGCCATGATGTTCTGCTACTGGGTACTACCCAGGCACTCAAATAGTTTTGGGTCTCAAAATGTACTGATATGACATTTTGAAGGTTCCATGTTCTCAAAATAATCAATGTGATGTGGCCTTCGTAACCCTTTCTCCGGTGCAGGAGCTGCAAAAAAATCCTGCTCATCTTGGTGGGCAATTAGATTAAAATGTTATAAAAGCACAAACTTGTGCTCATTATCTTATCACGAAAAACTACTGAATCTATAATCAATAAAGGGTAGTTGAATGTATTACAAGCAAGTAAAATAAATATATTTTTACCTTCAAGGAAATGGTTTGTCCTGCTTGACAGGATATCACAGAGATACCATAGGAAGGATTAACAACTGTGCTCACAACAAATTACTTGATTTAAATGAAAATTTCTGGTTGTGCATGAATTAATAGCACAAGTAATGGAATTTAACAATTTGAAACATCATTAAGATGATTCTTCTTAGTGGGCAGAATATCTGACTGACATTTTTCAAGCCTTGTGACAAATAATAAGAGCTTGTTGGATTATTCTCAAATCCCAATGCTTATTGCACAGCTATTCATCTACTTATACCCAAGTATTTAATCAAATTTGAAGCAATTTGAGGACATGAATGTCAAGATGTGTAAAATTGCATTACCATGGATTTCTTAGGGTAATGGAGAGAGGACATGGATGGGGTTAATCTCTAGGGACAGAACATCATGACATTCTGGATGACCACAGCAGAAATGACAAGTCAATCATAAGGGCACAAAGATGTTCATTTCCTTGAAATGGAAGTACATGGTAAATCCACTCCAAAGCAGGATACAGTATCACAGGAGCTGCAAGAATGACACCTTCACACTACACTCTCATTCTTCCTCATTCTCTCCACTTTCAACCCTAGTCCTAATTGGATGAAAATCCAGCCGAACTCTGGTTGAAAATATCAGTTGAACCAAAACAGAGATAGAATGCATGCAGAGTATCAAATAGCTTTAAACAAGAAGAGAAAAGGGGATTCAGGCTAAGCTATTCACACTTCTGATGTTTTGGCTCCACAGCAGAATCAGTCTGTTTGGCCTTGTCAATACGGGAGGACAAACAGGTTTCCAGAGCATCTGCATCACGAGAAGAGCTGACTTTGACCAAGAAGACTTTGATTCCAGTTTTGTTTTCAAGGTCAGGAGCTGTGAAGCGGATCTGCTTTGTGCTTGCACGATCCACAGACATATTGGAGAAAATTTTAGAGTTTAGCATCAGGCGCAGAGATCCTTGGGATCGCATCACAATCCGAGATGCAGAGGAATTTTTGAAATCATTCAGTCTCACTGTCCCCATCCCACGCTCCACCCAGATGCCACCTTCAAAGATGTAAAGCTTGGCTTTCACCTGGAGGATGTTCTCCTCTTCCTCTTCCCCTGTTTTCACCTAAACAAGTCAACAATCATATATTGTCTTAATCCCTATTGATTTTTTGGTATTTTCTTCTAATTAAACTTGATTTGCTGACACATGTACAATCAAAATGTTACACATTTTAATGTCTATATGCTTTTCTTTTTTTCTCCTTCATTTTTAAGCTGGCTCTTTGATATACTTGTTTTCTGCTTTGCATTATATTGAAGAAATAAGAGGTCATTAGTTCATTTGAACAATGATCATGACTCAAAACATTGAGATACTGGATTTCCCAATGTCCCAGATTGCTTTTACTCAGCTACAAGTGGGTGAACTTTGAATTTCAAAGCAGCATCAGCTGTCACAGGGGTTGGAAAAACAAGGCCTTCCTTGATTGACTACCATGATGGGATTCCTGGTTTAGTCCAATAAAAAAAATAAATAGTACATAAATAATTTTTGAACAAAGTTGCCAGACTCCTCTAAAATTAGCACACAAGACAAGACAGTCTCTTATTGTCTAATTCTTCTGATATGCCTTGTGTGCAGGGGGGAGAAATGAGCTCAGAAGTTTGGCAGAATGTCTACATTCTCTACTAATGTCTACTTGAGATGTCATGAGTACACAAGAGAAGGTGCTCCAAAAAGCTTTCAAGCACTTGGAGTTTATCCCATGAACTCCACTTTTTCCACACGATGAACACTTTTCTTGTTTTTTTTTTTATAACTTTTTTTCTGTGACTCATCTAAATGGAAGCAACAGTGAAGCTTAAAAAAAAAACTTATATACAGGATAATGGGGTTCAGTCAGTTGAGTTTAAAAAATGTCAGGATGTTTGACATGAGCTGAACTCAAGTGATCCATGATTCTGTCATATAGGTAATATTTCTAATTATTGCCATCAAATCATGAATAATCTTATCTTCATGGATAGACCATCCTTAACATATATGTGAAAGAGCTGATGAATATGTCCACCAGAGACAGAGAAAAGAAGGACATGAGCTGACTGGGGAACTGTGCTGGGCAAGTTATGCTTTGAAGCACAAGCTACAGTAGGAGTTACTTTGATGAACTTGTAACTAGTTATGAGTAAAAGCTAATTTCCATGGAGCACCATTACAAGCAAAAATTTAGTTTTTTGTTGTTGTTTCACTCTGGGCTCTTGTAGTCCCTTTTACCTGCTAACAGACTTTCAGTCTCCTTATCTAAAAGTCTGCTAGCAGAAGAAGGGAGAACAAAAACCCACCATAAATTTTTGTCAGCTTAATCACAATATCTGATACAATTAAAAATAAAATGGCAAAGCTTTCATGAGAATATGAATGCAAATAGTGCTCAAGGTGGAAATGGGAATAGAAAATGACCAAAAAGAGAGTGCAAAAAGGAAATTACATCTCCCTATTTTGAAGGAACAGAATTTACTTTAGCATCAACATAACAATTCCTGCTAAATGTTTTCTGGGTGTCAAATGAAAATAGTTATAATTCAGGTGAAGTAAAATGTCATTCATTATTTTGAGATGTCATATTTAATGACAGCTGGCACTGGGAGTCAGCCCTAGCAGAAGAGAATCAAGTCAGAACTGGTTAAATATTGAATTTAAGTGAAGTAGCTGATACTGAATGGATATCATTGGTGGGTTTTGAGTAAAAAGGGACTCAGATTGAAAGATGCCTGAATACCATACCAAGGCCAAGCCATGAAAAAAAACTTGGCACCCTGAAAGCTTGCCCTTTCAAACCAACCTCCCTCAGTTGTAAACCTAATCTCAAAACAAAATCTTTCATCAATCCTTTCAGATATGTTGCTTCCTTGAATTGTACTGTAGCTAAAAAAAAATATAAAAAAGGGCCCCTCAATCTGAAAAATGGGGAGCGGTTACCTCCCTTAATCTTCCAACTGCTATGCCTCTGACCATGGATGCCTCCATGACAGGACTTACCTCCACTTCCTCAAACTTGCGCTTCTGGGCTGAGCAGGTATCTTGGTAATGTCTAGCACTCTCGCTCAATGTCCTGGGTGTTGATGTCCCTGTGGTAACTGGTGCAACATCTTTTGAGGAGGAACAGGAAGGGGATTGGTCAGCTGAAGATGAGCATTGTTTGTCATCTTGAGGATTCCCCAATGTGGGCTGGGCTTTTCTCAATGCTTCAGTGAACAGCATCCCATTCTTTTCATCACCACCTCCACCAGTACTACTTGTACATTCCTCAGTCTTCTCATTATCTTCTGCGAAATGACAGTAAAAAAAAGATGAGTATAATTGGCCCACATAGCCAGCTCAAAAAAAAATAAAACAAAGCAAATAACTCAACATAAACATAACCAAAACCTTATCTGAGTCTGAGTAAAAACAATCAGCCTCTTTCCAGGTTTGTATTCAGTTCAGGTTCATTGATGAAAAATTCAGTTTGATATTGGCTCACCTAAAAGGTTTCTATAAGTTTGGGCTTCCTACATATCCTATGTGTCATGTGCTATACAATTACCTCAGAGGAACCTTCCCCATTATTTTCTTTCTGAGTGACCAAACAATTTCCAGAGTTTCCCAAGCATCCACTGACCATCAACGTCATCCTCAAGAAATTATTATTTTCATCCTCACCTTCTTGTACCACTTACATAGGATTAGGGATGTTACAGATTATAGTTCATATCAGTTTAAGCGGAAAACTGATGCAACTAGCCCACCAATAAACTGATATCCAAGGATTCCTTTTAAACATCAGTTTTTAGTAGTGCTTGAACCAACAAGAATATTGACTAGGCACAGGGAAGAAAAAGCAAAGAATCCAAAGGCAAAGGCCTTCCATTTTTTAAATGTATTTTTAATTCTCTGACAGTGGTGCAGTTGACCTGATGGTGAGCAGGAGGCAGGGATACCTAAAGAAACTGAAAAACACATGCAAGGGATATGTGTGCATGTGTGATTGTCACAGCAGGAAATTTCATGATGATCTGGCTCAAATGCCAATATTGCCCTGCAATACTTGTACCTGAATCTCCTCAGGATGGCCCTGTGGGGTCATCCTTAGGATGACCCACATGCATCTTCACCTCCTTCCCACCACTGCTTCTATGCTCACTGCTCACCTTTCCCACATCCTTTCCAAGTCCATTGATAAACACTCCCCTCTCTGTCGACTGAGTGTCTCCTTTCCTCGGAGAATCCGCAATATCTTGTATCAGTATCATTCTAGAGTTCGCGTGTGGGCATATACATTGCTCTGACTAGGCCTGGATGCTGAAACCTTGTTTAACACATTGACCCACATGTGACATGCCAGCATGTCACACACAATGACAAGTGGCAGCCTTGGCTGTCAAAATGTTAAGCAAGATAAAAGGGGCTTCAAGATAAATATTTCTTTATTCCTTAGAGGAGTCCATGGACAGTAAACCAAAGGAGGTTTCAGCATTCAGGCCTCAAACTTCCGTCTTTATAGGGTTTGGGAGTGTGTGAATCAACTTTAGCTCCCCCTGGCAGATACATACTGAGGATTATGGTTTAGGAACAAGAGGAAATGCTATGCCAACTTTCAGTCAGAGATGGTCTCCACACACACTTCCTCCACTTTTTTGTGCTTGATCTAAATTCCAATTTGAAAAACCAAGGGTGGGATTTTTGAACAGAGAACTATCTGATAATGCAATGTTATTTCAGGGAAAGTACATTATATTTTCTGAAAATATAGCTGCATTATTGGATAGTGCTGTTCAAAAATCCACCCAAACTATAGAGGCTCACCTTCCATTTTCCTTCCTTTTCCAAAAGCTATATAGGTTAGCCTACAATATACATTATGAGTATGCCTTCCAGTCCCATGGGATAACATTGAACTGTGAGATATTCATAATTATTGGTTTATCAGTATTGGTTATAGATAGACCCCTCTAGATGAATATCAGTATATCAGACATCAGTAAAATCCCTACATAGGATAAAGGATTTTACAAGGAACTTAAGACATTTCATTGCTCTGCTCATGTAGGAAGTCTCAGTGGGGTTCAAGGAGTCTCATTATAGTAAAATGACAAACCTGAATGCCTCCATCAAGGTAATGGTTAAGTTAATGCAAAATGTCAACTCATGCATGCTATGTGATGTATCAAATGTGCTCTTTGTACCATTATATATCACAGTAAAACTTTGCAAGCTTCTTGTGGACCATATAGCTCGATTACTGGGACAAAAGACATCATCTCTGTAATGAAAATTATATACTCTGAAAATAAGATAAGGTTACAAAGAAGGTGACCTGAATTTCAGTCCGACAATATACAGAGCTATGGCTGTTAGACTCAAACTGCACCTATGGCATTCAAACAATACTCAAATGTTAGTGATTGGGTTAATCTTCATTGGATGGAGGATGCATCCATAACTAGAACCATCAATTTCCCCAAAATTGAAATTGACCAGAAATTATTTTCTTAGCTTTTGGTGAGTCGATATTTCTCATGCGTCAATTTTTGTGCATCTGCATTGACAGCTGTTTATTGAGGCATTATAGTGCTCTGAAGTGGGATACTTTATTTATAATCACCCTATATCTCAGGGTTCTAGCTAAGATTATGCTTCATTCCCTTCGCCATCATTTGTAGAAGAGTCTAAAAATGTTTGAAGTGATCCACATATGAGGGGGGATCCAAATGTTTTTGTCCTGAGGTAGTAAAATGATTGGAGGATCATAGAAGTTGGTACCCATATTCCTTCTTCCTGTTGAGTAATTCCAGGTGTCAACAACTGCTTTTAACTGTTTTTTTTTTAGGTCAATAATGAAGAATTGTGCAGCCTGGCTATTAGAATTGGAAAATTTGAATTGAGCAGAGATGCAATACTTATTGATGTCTTGTCCCATCAATGGCATAAGATTAGACATCGAAGGGTATCATGTCAGAAAAAGATGTATGTTTCATGAGCCTATCACTCTTCATTATATCTCAGGGCAGAAACTTTTGGATCCTACCTACTTAGTACTTGGCTAAAAACAAACATATGCATAAATATGATGTATTACAAGAGAATGTGGAAATTCCAGTTAACCTGTTGAAGAAGAGGAATCAGCTGGCACAGGGATGACACTTGTATGTCCATCTTTCTTTGAATCAACATTGAGGACCTTTTCATCCAATCTCTGTCCAAAGATATAGGCTGTTTTTTCAGTGATCCCATCCTGGACTTTTTCTGCACTACCACCCTGCAATGATTGCCATGAAACCTGTCCACTGCATTTCACATAAAAGGTTTAAAGTAACAACAACAACAACAAAAAAACCACCATCTTTTCATATAAATGTAAAAAATGATGTTTCCAAGGTAATGTGTACTGTGTAGGTGGATGTGATAATGCATAGGGGAGCCAACCTCCAAGCAATAGCCAAAGATAAATTATGCTCTGGTTGACTTTCAGCAACATGAGAATGAGCTCTCTCCAGCTAATGGAGTATGCTCTTTTGATGGTTGTGGGATGGGCTTAAGCTGCAGTTACAGTCACCTGACAGCCTTTCAGCCATAATCTTTTCATTTTTCTTCTAACTCTATCAGGAATTCTGAAAAAGATTTATCTGCATTGAAGGTTTTAGCAGGGCTGTGCCCCTAATGAGGACACTGCTGAGCTTTCAGCACCTAATGGCTAACTTTTATATCACTTCCTTTAAACCATTGTCTTCTTACTTAGTTATGGTGCTTTTGGCGTTCAATTCTTGCTCGACAGAGTTACATGCCTTATTTTCACATTTTCATAGTCAACAAGCACAGGTATCTATAGCTGATGGCTAAATATGCTCAGTACCTTGTTTGGGAATGGTAATAGAAGTTTGACTTGGTTGACCTTTGGTCAACTGTTTTTTGAACACACATATATGCTAGAGATAAGAATTGCCAATTAGTCAACCCTCAATACAGGGTGACCCAAAAGTCTGGACACATTGGCAAAAATGTAGTAATTTTATTCAATAACATCTTCAACATGGCGCCCATCATTAGCAATGCAAAGTACCACCCCTCACGTCCACTCAGCAGTACCAATTCAATATGTTCTTCTTTCAACAAATTCATATTCAATCTGGGGGAAAAACAGAATATTAGTAATATTACCTATGTGTCCAGATTTTTGGGTCATCCTGTGTAACACCATAGTTGGTCATCACTGATTTTGGTGGCATAATGGATTAAGCGTATACTGTATTATGATCATATGAGATTTGTCCACAGCCAAGAGGTTTATGATATGCAAGGGTGATGCTATATTGAGTGGCTGGAAAACAAGAGTTGACTGTATCACTAATACTCACTGGTTTCTGAGGCTGAATGATGGAGGGCTGATGATCCTGAGTTCTCTGCTCACTTTCTGACACAGCTTTCTCCTCTTTTTTCTCCTCACTATGTTCCTGCAGCCCAGGAGAACTATAGTATTCCAGCTGAGCTGCCTGATTCTCCAGACGAGATGGTCTCAGCACAATTTTTGACATCTTCCTTTATAACGGACAGGTACTGAAATGCCAAGACACCTTTCTGGGGTGGGTCTTACATTCAAGCAACAGAATCTTGCTGAATATAAGCTATCCTTCAATTTTTGCTGTAGTGACACTATTATCTGATACCATCCCCTTAGACCTGTTCATCAGGGACAAAGAAGTAGAACCATGATCAGAGGGTCTCACTACTCCTAGAAGAGAACACTGTAACTCCATTTCTTATCATCATCATATGTCTACCTCATACATTTGCAGTCCTATTGATGCTTGCACATATTCAATTGAAGATATTTTAGGGCTTAATGGATTCATCACATAATTGCAACCCTTACATGGGAGGATCTAACTCTTTAATATGGGTGCAAAAGCTACAAGAGTTACTAAGCTCAAGGAGAACCAGATGCAGGCTATGATATTCCCAATGTGAATTGAGGTTGACTTAAGCACTGATTGATTATTGTCAGCCTACTTCATTGGAATCAAAGGATCATATTGAACAAACTGCTCCTGTACTACTTATGAAGTGAATCATTCTCTTTCAACTATCAGCTAAAACAGTGAACTTAGGCAGATCTACTACCAGAAATTACGGGTCAACTAAGAATGATAAGTTAAATTATATCCTTATTCATATTAGTAAGCAATTCATAGCTCAACTGCCATATCATCTGCACAAAATATCGTACTACTTATCCATACAGTTACAATGTGTGAAGCGGTCCCAGGTGTGGGGCAGGCAAGAAAGAAGAGCAAGAAGGGAAATAAAGTATACACAGAGAGGGTAGGTGGATGTGTAACAGAGCCTGGGTAGTCAAGGTAGTTGTAAGAAATTCAACTGGTAGTACAAATTCAATCCAGTAGTACAGGATTTTGTTAAGAGATCATTTCACTCAACCATTGTTCTTTGCTAGAAAAAGATTCTACTGGTCCACTTGTGCAGACATGTTATAGCAGGAATAGAATTAGTAGAGCAATGAGACATTCCTGTTTCTGTGTCCCTTCCATCAGGGTCAAGCTGGGTTTGCCAGATATTGACTCATACAACAAAACAAGGCAATGATTCTTATATTTTCTAGTTCAAAAGTTACCATTAAAAAATTAGAATATTTGCGCCAAACATAGTCACTAAATGCAAACTGATGTTAGTTTCAGCATCTTTTCAAGCAATGCTTCCTAACCCTCAATAACACTTGCATGATTCCACCATAAAAGTATTGCTATTTTCTTCCTGGGTTTCCCAGTGGCAATGATCCCAAGAGGGGTGGGTTGAGGGATGGCAAGTTTAATTTTAAGTAGGGATCGGTTCTTTTGAATGATTCCAATGTTCCAATCAACTTAAAGGCGAAAAAGTATTCTAGGAATAAAGCAACATTGATACATAACTGCTCCAGCAGATAACAAAAAAGTGAAGGTCTGGCAGCTTTTGCTAGTTCAATTTGTGCTAGGCACTAAGCAATCCCTGTAACCTAAGTGAGGTGTATCATAGATTATTTGATAATACTGTACTGATACTGACCTAGCATGCCTCCACTTGTTCAGTTTGAACTTATGGAACTTGAGAGGAGCTATGTCTTCTCCCCAATTTCAAACAAGTCTTATATTTCAGAGGTTTTATTATATTAGAGGCGAGATAAGCCCCTAGGACTACCGTAACGCGTAATGTTACACAGAGGAACGAACGAAAAACGATCTCAGCTTAGGAGCAAGTGAGCGAAGTGAGCAGCCATCTTGAACTGGATTGGGGGCACGGCATGCAAGAGGTACGCTTTACATGGTTCTCATGTTGAAGCCACAAAATCAAATGTCCTTAAAATTTCAACGTTTTATTGAAATGACATTCACCTGGATTATTAGGTTTGCGCTGTTTTGATTTATTTGCAATAAATTCCCCAGTTCATAGTTTTGTATTGTTCGTTTTTTTGGCTCATTCTGAGCAATCTAATATATATAACGATCGTGACTGACTGACTGACGCTAATTCTAACCATGTTCTAGAAGGGCTAGAAATCTGAAACTTGGTACACATGTACCTTTTGGGATGCAGAGTTCAGAAAAAAAAATCCCACTTTGGAGGTACATGCCCTGGGGGTACACATTTTGGGGGGAAAAGTTTTTCTTAAATATATTTTGTGACAGATGAGGATTGCATTCAGAGAACCGACTGGTTATGCTGGGTTCGGTGGTGTAGTAGTAGCATCTCTGACTAACAATCGGAAAGTCCGGGTTCAATTCTTGGCCATTCCTTGGCTTTCTTTTGGCTTTTTTTGCCTTCCATGTCCCGTTACTCATTCCCCCACCATAACATTATTTTTGCTTGAGTAAAACGGAGAGACATGGAAAGCTGAAACCTGGCATGGGCGTGCCTACCGAGACGATGAGTTCAGGAGAAATGAAAAATTTTAGATCCATGCCCTGGGGGCATATTTTTGTGAGCCGACGTTTTCAAGTATTTCTTTTTGTCCTGGCCTATTGAGCTAGTGTTGGAAAGATGAAACTTGGTACATAACTACCTATTGGGATGCTGCAGAAAACTTCAGACTTTAGAAGTAAATGCCATGGGGGCAAAAATTTCAAAGGCAGATGTTTTCAGCTCATTTTTTTTTGCATCAGTTAAACTGATGAACATGGAAAGCTGAAACTTTGCATGAATGTGACTACTGAGACAAATAGTTAAATAAACATGTTAAGTCTCGATACATCCCCAGGGGGGAATTTTTTCGAGGAGCGATGTTTTGAAAAAAAAAATTGTTGTGGCGAATTGGACAGAAATGGAAAGGTGAAACTTGGCACACNGTTCAGTGATTTTTTTTTCCACTTCAAGATCAGCTTACACACATTAATGCATCATATTCAACTTACGAGGATGGAGAATCGGAACCATTCCATATTCCAATTGAAAAGGGCAGCATGGAAATAGCTTTTGGCGTTTGGTTCCTGAACTTGACTTTAGTTATCTGGCGCCTTCTTCGAAATGGCTTCATGCGGCATCTGTGCAGGGCTACTCGAACCACTGTCTTCAGTGCAGAATATCAACACGACTAACATCGACACACTTCATATTGATAGGAATAAAATCGGCACAGAAGTAGCTCGACAAGAAATGCTGCGACGCAGAATAACATCGATAAAAAAAAGTACGCAGACAGAAATCGACCGAAATGGAACTGCTTCGACAAATGACTCTCGGATTTATACCGACACCGAACAACATCGGAAGTAACAGAGCCGACACGGAATTACCTCGACCGCATTTTTTCGTTCCGAGATCAAGGTTAGGCCGATATCTAATGTGTCGACGTTGTTCCTGTCGTCGTCAATCCTTCGTTCTTCAGATGTAGAAGCAGTTCTGTGTCGATGAAATACTTTTCGGCGTTATTCTGCGACACCCTTTCATCCCCAAGAATAAAGATTGGGGAAATAGGAACCTGTGTTGGTATAGCCCCAGGGCAGAAGCAGACACTGGTGACATCTGACGAAACATGGGTAAAGGAATAATGAAATTTTCCCCGCTGTCTCCAAAGCCGTTCCTGAGAACATAAAATATCCTCACCGACTGCAACAATAAGCTGTATGATTGGGAATCAAATGGATGTCTAGTTTAGGCGGGAGAGAAAATACAAAATGCGTACAAGATCACTTCGATATCGTCTGAAACCCGAGTCTGCCTTCCTCCAGTGCCTCAATAGTCCCGGGAAACTGCATCAGAACTCTCCAGAAGATCTCCGAATCCCTCAAGGGTAGATGAGCGTGGGGTAACCTTTCATTTCTTCCAATTCAGAATAACAGATCTGGCTGTATAAGTCCAAAATAACTATTGGTTCCTCCTATTCTTGAAGTCCTGCAGACAGCCCAAGTCCAGCCCATGACACCGGAACCCTCATGAGGCACTCAAACCAATCTGAGGCTCGCTGTGAGGTCTGGACCGCATGACAGGATGAGTGTTCTCAGCTCCTTCCGGAGCTTTCTCCTACTCTCGGCAATATCAGACCTGTATAGGACTAGTCCAGGCTTGGATCGAGAAGGCTTGTGGATCTCCCGGACCTTGCATTTCCAGGAGGGAATTAATCTCTGATTAAACGGTATCCTGATTTCGAAGACGATAGTACCGAGGGAGCAGTGGTAGTGGATGCTTATCTTGCATTTCTATATAATAAAAAAAGCGACTCCAGACCCAAGGGGCGATCTCCTCACGAATCTTCTCTCTCGAAGTCTGTTGATTATGATGAGTTCAGAGCGCCACAAAAAACGCATTCTTGAAGAAGTTATCTTGACCTTTCACTCTCCTTATATGATCTACTGCTGTCTGGTTCCAATAGTTTATTCTGTAATTACCACATTTTTATTTTAAATTCACTTCTAAATTCTCATCAGATGCTATATTGGATGAGATTCGAACAATTACACCTAACGTCAATCCAACCTGCACCAAAGGATTAATTTCTGGTCAATCAATGGTTGAGAGTATCTTGTGTCCACATTGATCCATTGTCCAGATTGAATCTGGACAAAAAATCAATCTGGACAATGGATCAACTGAGCTATGAACTCATCCTTACCACCTCATGTACCTCTCGTGTCTCATCTTTCAGAAGACAGAAGCCCTAGAAAAATGGTTCACGTGTTGCTGGTCTCACTGTACTTGCCCACATTATTACTGTCTATAAGCTGTATGCAATCTTGGGAAGGTGAAGGGCCTATTTCATCCGTATGGAAATGCCGAAGACCATGTGGGAAAAAAAATCACTGAAAGTATTCCCTCCATGCAACTGACACTGCTACAGACTCATTCTCTGTATCGACTCTGTAAAAGTAGAAATCTGAACGGACCAAATTGCTCTACTTAGTGAAACGTTCTGGGGTGAGGAATTCTGTTCTCTGTCAACTCATTTTCATCTCATCCTTGGGAGGTTTGACTTTTACATTAATTGAAAGGATAGGCACTCTAGAGTTTTTCCGCTCTAATATAAACTTAATCTGCTTGTTTCAACAGGTCCGTGCTGCCTATTCCACTGTGTCTCTAATAAAATCTCGATACTGCATTTGCAAAACCGCCTCCCGAAATCTCTGTGTGGTAAAACTAAGTCACATGGTCACTAACTTTCTTTCAGCACTCAATTACAAATAACTTAAGAATAAATATCAAACTGTCTCCATTGATGCTACCATTATAAAAAAAAATATATATATATAGGCAATGAAGTCAGTGTGTTATGTAACTTGTGGTTGGCGCGAAGGAAGAATTTAGCAATGGATCGGACCGGGATCTCATTCAAATCAAGATTCAGGTCTTATTAGGGATGTCTCAACGAACACTCTAGAGTTTTTCCGCTCTAATATAAACTTAATCTGCTTGTTTCAACAGGTCCGTGCTGCCTATTCCACTGTGTCTCTAATAAAATCTCGATACTGCATTTGCAAAACCGCCTCCCGAAATCTCCGTGTGGTAAAACTAAGTCACATGGTCACAAACTTTCTTTCAGCACTCAATTACAAATAACTTAAGAATAAATATCAAACTGTCTCCATTGATGCTACCATTATAATATATACAGGGTGTCCCACATATCGCGGACCATTTTAATCGCGTATGAAATTCTTCCTACTTGAGCAAACTAAACAAAATTTTCACAACATTTAGACAACTATTTAGCATTTATTGTGACAAAGTTTCAGCGAAACTAAATGCACCAATTACAAGCTATGAACTTCAACGTAGCCCCCATCGATTTCAATGACTTTTTCCAATCATTTGTGGTATTCAAGCAGCGTTTTCTCGCGCATTTCAACAGTAACGTCTACAAACGCAGCGGTAATTCGTTCCTTCAGTTTGAGGATGTCCCTTGGTTTGGTCGAGTAGACTTTCGACTTGACAAAGCCCCACATGAAGAAGTCGCACGGCGTCAAGTCCGGCCTGCCCCAACTCATTTTGGCAAAGAAGTTCGTGCCTGGCTGAAAAAAAAAGTTTCCGGATCGATGGATGGGTCGCGGATTGCCTTTTCCCCGGACTTGACGCCTTGCGACTTCTTCATGTGGGGCTTTGTCAAGTCGAAAGTCTACGCGACCAAATCGAGGGACATCCCCAAACTGAAGGAACGAATTACCGCTGCGTTTGTAAGACGTTACTGTTGAAATGCGCGAGAAATTGCTGCTTGAATACCACAAATGATTGGAAAAAGTCATTGAAATCGATGGGGGCTACGTTGAAGTTCATAGCTTGTAATTGGTGCATTTAGTTTCGCTGAAACTTTGTCACAATAAATGCTAAACAGTTGTCTAAATGTTGTGAAAATTTTGTTTAGTTTGCTCAAGTAGGAAGAATTTCATACGCGATTAAAATCGTCCGCGATATGTGGGACACCCTGTATATATAGGCAATGAAGTCAGTGTGTTATGTAACTTGTGGTTGGCGCGAAGGAAGAATTTAGCAATGGATCGGACCGGGATCTCATTCAAATCAAGATTCAGGTCTTATTAGGGATGTCTCAACGAACTCGTCTAGTTTTCAAGTTTTAAATTCATTATTCCGAAGAATTTGAGGCTTGCAATATCTTTTACTAACATTAATGAAATAATTGAAGTTTCTATCTATCATCACAAATACTTTACCTTCTCCGTCGACATATCGTAGGGTAATCCATGCGAAACATCGATGGATGTCTATCAGGTCATTATTTCCCTGAGCAAATTATTAGGTCGCTCTCAAAGGCATCAGGATTTCGAAATCGAAGAAAACGATCTGATTCGAGTCATCTCCGAAGCCCCCATGGCGGAGGTCAATGGTGTCGCACAGTGGCGTGCCCAGGAAATCCGAATGGGGGGGGGGGGGGAGGGTTAACATATGAGAAAACTGATAACCCACCCTGTATTTGTGTCCAAATAAAAATTTTGTTGAGAATCGAGCCTGTAAAATTGACCCCAAGGGGGGGAGGGGGGTTATGACCCCCAAAACCCCCCCTTGGGCACGCCACTGGTGTCGCAGAATAAGCAGCTGATCACCCAGCCTGTAATTCCTATCGATTCCATTCCGTGTCATTGTTCTTCCTTTCGATACTATTCTTTTCGCGTTATTCTGACGTACCTCATTTCTCCAAGGATCGAACTTCCACACCAAACTTAACCAAACTCAGGCGGATAACTCATACTTGGGCTTCTCAGGAGTTCGTTGGCTTTGCACGGAATTACCCAATGGTTACAAACCAAGTAATCATTGGTTTGTAATCATTGTAAGTGTTTGCACTTTACAGATTTACATTGTAAATCTGTAAAGTGCAAACGCAGATTTCTCTCTGATTTAAGTTACAACATCTCAGGAAAGTGCGCTTACAATTGGGAAATTTAATTATGGGCTTCTATAGGAAGCGTCGTGTCTAGTATCCTTGTATCATCCTCCAACACCCTCAATCTCGTGCTGTATTTGTGCTGCCTTTCTGGCAGCCACTTGAAATATATTTAAAAAAATAACTGAAGAGAAAAAAGACCAGCATGGAAACAAACAGGTTCATTCCAAACTGAACACAAACAAGACTGGATGACTGGATGTGCATGATTGAGGATGGAGTCACTAGCACTATTGCGATCCATGCAAAGCGAAGTTCAAAAAACCTCATGTGAAGGAGTTAATCACAGGACCATATACAACATACAATGCAGCCACAGAGAAAACAACTTCCGAAAAGAATTCTTAAGTGATGGCATTTGCACTGGCAATAATACTGGGCACTGCTGCACATCAGGGCCCACTATCCTCTCCAGATGAAACAAGACAGGCTGACTGTGCCAAGTCAACCCAAGCACATCCTGGATGCAAAATTTGTTCGTGACCTTGACCTGAACATCCAAATGATGGATGGTTTGCAGCAAGATCATGGCACCATCCCAAGTGATCTGACATAGACCAGCCTTGTTTTGTAGTGCCACACAGGGCATTTGACCATATTACAAGACACAAGTTCTATATACACAATGGAACAGGATTGCTTTACATCTCAGGTCACAGTTTGGTTGCATGTATGCATGTGTAAAGCAGCAAATCCCAAAGGGGGGGAGAGGGAAAGGGGTGGGGGGATCACAATAGTCCCCCCTCCCCAGGTCCCAGAAATGACTCAAATACAGGCATAAAGAATTAATTAGACAGCTGCTGAAAAAAAACCAACAAAATGACATCAAAAAGGCTATTATCACACATAGGGTACCTCCTGATTCCCTTGCTTACAGTCCTTCAAGTAAGGTCAAGACCAGAGCTATTGTATGGCCTCTGTCTCTGACTTCATAACTATGCCTACATATGAATTGGTGTGGGCAAGAGCAAGAAAAACAAAAAAGAAAGAAAGAAGGAAAGATAAAGGTAGGACAGAAAATCGACAGAAGGAAAGGTGACTCTTCCTACTGATCGAATCCTGCCAGCTGACATCACATCACACAAGGATCAACAGCCGTCAATATGAGGCAACATTCTCTGGAGGACAATTAAGATCTGTCACTCTCTCTTTCTTTAGTGCCATCCACCAGAATCTGAATGCCTATGCATTTTTCTAGGAGCCCCACTACTATCACTATAATACACAATGGTTATAGATAAAATCCTTCTTGTTTTGACAGTCAGCTTGAAACTTTCAAAAGCCACAGAGGAGAGAAATAGCAAAAGAGAGAGTAGGGGAGGATCAGCATCAACTAGAGAAATGAAGGAATGGTCAAGAGACTGCAGTATGGTGCAATTGAAATGTACTGGATGCACTCAGTTGCAACGTGGGTCATAACCCATGGTTCAAGGTTAAGGATGTCAAATGCGATCTTTGCCCATTACCTCGACGGTGTCATGTCTAAAACCTGTCAACATCCTTATCCCAACTGTGAACTTTGAGTCATAAGTCAGGCCACAATTGATACATCCATAGTATTATGAAAGGGCCAAAACAGAAAAAAAAAATAGATTGAGTTGATTTAACTGGACTACCTTACTTAATAGATAAATTTAACTTGACTCCTATGTTTACTCAATTGATTCAGAATTTCATGACATATTTCAATGTAATTGTCAATAAATTGGATAGACCTAAAAAATGCAAAAACTTATTTAAAAACAAGTGGATATTAGGAAAACGATTAACTCCAAATGGCATAATGGCTCCACAGCCAAAATCCTACATTCCCACTTCCATCCTCATTTCTCCCAGGAAGTGCCAAAAGAACAAAGCCCAAACAAGCATTCATGGAAACCCAACTCAGGTCTGGACCCATCAGTATGAAGAAATCCATGAGCATATTCTGAAATTGATTAATGGGACACCTTTTTCAATATGATAATGGGTAACATATACCAGATTGATGGAAGAAAATCTGATACTTCCATGGGACTCAAGCTGTATTGATCTTCCAACAGAGTCCCAGTCAAATTAAATTTTAGTTAAACCAGTGAAGTGAATGCCACCAAATCAATAAGTAAAAAAAATCCCCATCAAAGCCCTACTTGACGATACAGCATCTCTAATGATACTGCCCATGCCCCCCAACACATTCATGACTGATGACAAGAGCTGGTCATGTGGAGAGGATCCCCAAATGGGATCAATGACAAGACTTTTTGTCCTGCAATGGCATATTAATTTCCTTTGGTAAAATGTGACCAAATGAAGAAAAAGGGTTGTTATGTCTGTATGAGCAGCACAAGCTTAACATTTGAGCTAGGGCCAATTCTTTTTCATCACACACAAGGGAGCTTTGAAGGAATGTCATGTGCAGGCACCTAACTTTAAAATCACACAGCATGAGGAAGGACCAAGCATCAAATCAGTAGGTCATGAATGTGTTAAAAAAAAAAAGAGAGAGACTAATAAAGTGCAGAGGAAAGGCAATGCCCAACCAATCAATCCCTGAATGTCTGACTGCAGAAATGAAATATCAACAGTCATGGAAGTGCATGGCCACTAGAGATGGGAACATGGATTAGATGGGGGATCATTGATAAGCAGTGAAAATGATCACAAACATCACTTAAAAATAAAACACTATACAATGAAACTATTCTAGACATGAGGTAACAATCTAGCAAATTGTGACATTGAATGACACCACAGTGAAAAAAACCAAGAACCTTGAAGTATTGGAATATGATTCATATACAAAGGCAGGCTTATACTTTCTCTCAAAGAGGCACATCATCCACGGGGACTAAAAATCAGTTCATGCACATTATCATGCTCCTCTTCATGATCCCTGATTCTTGGAAAAACAGAGTGACAAGGAGGCTGATAAGCAAATAACATGACTGCAAGAGTGGAAGAGAGGCAGAAAAACCAGGGCTGTTGATGTTAAAGTCGGAACTTCTCAGGATGATTCTGAGCATGAGAGATATGGTACCACATGGTGGAGTACTCCACACCCAGCATTTCTGCTCCTTTCTTGATTGTGATCACCTGTAGAGATGGATAGCAAGGGAAAAATTATGTGCATCAATGGGTAATATAGGCCACTTGGCTACAGTAACTGACAGAATAGCCCAATGGCAAGAAATTCCTGACTCTTAACATCAGACTTTCCTTAACACTCCCAAAATATCCTATGCTAATACCTCCCTAGACAGATTATTCAAACGATAACATTATAAACGATAACAACTTCATAACTGGTTGGTTTCTTATCTGTCTGGTAAAACTCAGTCACATTTCAAGCAGTTACTTAGGTCAGTGTGTGCTTGTGGAATGGAGTATGTTCCATCTCAGAAGGGAAGAGACAAATTGATCATGGACTCCTTCCACCTTTACCTACAAATCTTCAATTTCCCCAGAAAGAATTCAAGAGAAACAGCTTGGCGGTCTGATGTAATTTGGTACAATGTCTGTCTGAAGTGACCAATGGTCAATTTTGAAAGATTGGTGAGCATTGCCATGCTTCTGACTCAGCCAAAGTTCACATGAAACTGAAGTCATTGTAGAGAGCTATTGTGTCCAGCTACCACAATAGACCAACTGAAGATTTCCTTCAGGGTGTCACCCTCAACCTTGGCAAACTCATATGAATCTCATGACCTCAACCCTTCTTCATGAATCTTCAACATTTAACACCCCCATTTTCTCTCCTATGTGACCTAATTTCTCATTACTTTTGATTGAGGCCTGACATCGAGAAATGATACACATGTGAGGAAAATTTCATCACCATTTGAGCAAACTTTGAACCGTCCTGGAATTAAAAGTCATGTTCTCATAAGTCGTTCAGATGTTTTAAATGGAATTTTTTTGTCAGTGGGATATTATGTTGGGGTTTTTCTGCCTGGAATTATTAGTCATGGAATATTCTGTTGCCCACACACTTGGCTAGGGATGGGGTATCAAATGGGAATGGGTGTAAGCATCTATCCACCCAAATCACAATTACTTCCTTCTCCTCCATTTATGCTCAGTCCATGGTGGAAGATATTGGACTGTATTCTGTGCAATCATCATTTGACCCAAGCCCAAAGACAAACAAAGTTTCTCTGCCACTATGTGAGGCCTAAAAATAAGAATCCAATTAACCAAAGTTCCAATTCAGCCCCTGAATAATGAATGCAGTAACTCTCATTTTGTACCTCTAATATAGTTAAAAAAGGAGGAGATAAAAGGCTGAAAAACACTCAATGATTTGAATTATAAAAGGTGTCCAAAAAGAGAGTACCTACAGGCAAATTTTTAATTTATGACAGTGAAGAAGCCAATTTTTTATGATTGCAGACTGACAATGTGTCAACCTCAGAATAGGTCAGATCTTTCCTAGTTCCACTTTGTAATGGGTGAAAATTAATTCTCCAAATCAGGTGCTTTTGGATTTTTTTATTATTCATTTGAATGGTAAATAAATTGAAACAAAAATTGAAATAAAATTTTGGCATTTGACCTTGTAGCAAAAGCTTCTGTTAACCCTTCAAGCAGTTTTCACGTACACTGTTTGTACATACACACATTTTCACGTACACAGTTCATCACTAAGGAGGTCAGGTCAAAACTCAGCACTTGAAGGGTTAATCATCATGGTATTGAAAGAATAATTGAGTACTTTGGGAATTCAAAATATCAACAATTGAGAACTTACTTACAAATGTTTGAATGTGTTGACCACCAACTCCAAAACATTTCTGAGTCAAGGCCAATTGCCAAATACATTGTCAGAAAAATCCATGAAAATTCCATCACTCATCTGGCACAAAGCACGAGAGATATTCTCTTTTAAGTTTTTCTGATCTGTTGCTTGTCTTTGTAAACAATGCATTTCTCTCACTCATTTGGGAATTCTGTACTCCATACATCTGAATATGTAATTGAGGAGTACACTGGAAAAGGGGCATATATGCTCATATGCCCTTTTTCTATACCTGTGTCCATGTGCTGCTTTAGGTGACTATTCACAGGATAGGGTGGTCAGCTAGTATTTAAGATGTGCATTCAGCAAAGGAGAAGCAGACTTTCCTATGCTCTCACTAAATAGCAGGCCAACTGCCTGGCAATTTCAATATGGCTGCCTCCATGAATATTCCATTAGCACTTGCATGCTGAACGATTTTGGTGGAATTATTTTGTCCTTAACTGAAAGTGAAAATGAGTAAGAAACCAGACATTAGGAAAGGGAAAGAAAGAGGCCCAGTCATTCAAGCTTCTGGAAGGATGTGAGAAGTTAGAGATATCCATGAAATAGTTGAAGATTCAGATGATGAATACTTAAGTAATGGATCACTGCAAGTAATTGGTGAATGAAACGCATCCAGACTATTCACATTTTCATTGATATTTTTCAAGTAAGAGTTTCTTTGAAATCTGTATATGCATATATTGATTAATTATCTTTTTTAACTAGAAAGAAGTGAAGGACTCGGAAAAAGTTTCAGAATTGCGGATATGGAAAAGGGGCGATGTGCATGAACACTTTCTGCCAGCATCCCAGCAATGTGAGAAATAAAAATTCATTCAAACCCCAAGTTCAATTGGAAAAAGGTCTAAGATACCATTTTATTGATAATTAAGATCTGACCAGCTTCAGATTAGCTATGGGAAGTTTTTATGTTTATCTCGAATTGCATCTTTTGCACATATGCCCTTTTTCTAGAGAACTCCTCAATTGTAAAAAGGATCTGACAAATGAATTCTCTGTCACACTGGAATAAAGGAACAAAAGATGTGACACCATTCTGAGGTCTATCAATAAACAGGCTACAAAAGCATAAAAGGGGGTTCCTTAGATTCACTATTAAAAAAGTTGCTCATAGATAGTCACTATGGACACCTGTATTTGCCTGGGACAAAAAAATGCATAATTGTTCCATAAATAGCATTTTCCTCAAATAGAACAAGGTAGGTTTATCAAGAGGCACCTGATACAATTGGCTTATGCAAATTTTCAACTTAACCTGTAACTGTTACTTCAACCATTACTCAGAAATAAATTTTGGTCTAAGTATCTCATCTTTTTAAAAGACAACTGGACAGCACAATATATGAACATGATTTTTTCTTTTGTTCAACTGTGATGAAAAAAAAGAGGGCCTCAAATACATTTGATACAGCATATAGAGGAGTCTACTTAGAAGTTCTCAATTGACTTAAAACAAATTCTCAATTTATCTTTAAGTTTTGATTCCTTGCTCATGCAGGAAATTTTTTAGTGAAGTTACAATCAACATCTTAAACATTGGGTCCTCTAGGGCTACATCAAGTTCTCAATGCAACAACAAAAAAAACAACAAAATCTGACATATTTGATTATTTTAGACATGAAAAATAATTTTAAATCACTATTTTCCATTCTCACAAAGACTGGAGAATCAATATCCCTGACTTGCCAGGTTTTCAAGTTAACTTCCAGACCAAAATTTTAATATCTAACCTCCACATCCTGCATATGAGGTGATGCATAAAAAATGTGCAGCTCTTGGACATTCCTTGGTTTTTACAATAATGACAAAAAAAAGTTTTTCTGGTCTTTATCTCTATCCTATAAACACCCTAAAATTGGTCTATCTCCACCACACCAGCACTTTTGCAAAAGCAACTTGAATTTCATTTTTGACAATCATACTGACAAAGACAAAAGTCTTTGTCAGTCATACTGACAAGTATCAAAAGTCATACTGACAAGGGGTGGCAATTTCTTAAAAGGCTTTTTTTTTTAATTATAAGCAAAGGATTTCTTAAGTGGATATCATTCTCAAAGCCATAGGCTTGGTATTCATTATTAGTTCCTCTTCAATGGGCTCAAATGTATATCATACTTCTGTCCATCCATATTGCCTCCTCCCTTTAAACTAAGGGAAGAGAATCTAATATGCATGTTTGGTGAATGTATGGAAGCAAATGCCCTCCAACTATCAAAGAACAGTAGACTCACCAACAAATGGTACAGTCAATGGGGTTTAAAGTACAACAGCAAAATTCCATCTTGCCATTTTATGCATAAGCAAGCACATTTTATGGTTTGCAAAGTGAAAAGCAAGCAAATAATCAACCCTCGCTTTCCTGAATTTTCTATCCTCCTTTGTGTATAAATTTAATATTCTCCCTACCCCCTCATGAGTTTCCATCCCTCTGCATTGCTCATTGGAATACAGTAGATAGATATTTCAGTTGGCAAATCTGCATAGAAACTGCATTTTTTTTGTATAGGGAGGGCAGGGGATGTGAAAAATTTTCCTGACTGGCAAAAGTTGAGACAATTATTGCAGGGCTAGGTTACATGAATTGCAATACTACAATACATGACAATGCAATTAGTAACCAAAATAGACTTCCATGGAATCTCAATGATACCTTTTTTTAAATTGGAAAGATTCTGGGCATTCTCAAACCTCATCACCAAATTACAATTAGCTATGATGCAACAGTCACAATGCTTTTCTTTCTAGTTTGGTCAAAGTTGGATACTATATCCAGAGCAATCAAACTGAGCTTTTAGGCTGACAGGGACTGTCAGCCTAAAATAAGTACTTGTTTTGATAGGAAAAGGAGATAAAAATAATTTAGAAAGATGATAACAATACTGCATATATGCTCTAGGATCTGACATTTCAGGTAATAAGTTAATCACAGGGGCTCCAGACAGGAAGAATTTCAAGACCAGATTATCATGGTGTAGAAATAATGTAAATGGAAAAATGGGGGGGGGGGGTAAAAAATTCATGCTTCCATCAAGTTTGACTTGATGAACAATGATTTTGATTTGGGAAGAGAGAGAATGAGGCAATGAAGTAATCATTAAGACATATCTCTAAGGAAGGAGAAGGAATCCAACCTTATCAGCAATCATCCTCATGACCTGCCGGGTACTCTCATCACTCCAGTCAATGGCAGATCGTCTCCCAGTACGGGGGGAGCGCTGATCAGAAGAACGCTGGTTTAAATAACCATGTGCCTCTCGATATCGGGTATAGATGTTTGCATATGAGACTCCTAGGAGGTCTGCACCTGTCTTCAGGTCAATCACATTGTTCGATATGAAATCCAGGACCATCTTGCTTGAGGGTTCATCCCAGAATTCCCGACGAGTCTTTCCAAGCTGCATATAATCATCCATCTTGATGATTTGGGAGGGGTCCAGTGGGAGAAGGTCTAAAATGAAAATCCAGGATCTCATGAATACAACATAACCATAACCAATATTGATGTTCTCAAATGAGTCACAGTTTAGACCCACAAGGCAAGCGTGCCCATATGTTGAACTTCCACCTGCTTCAATTATTATTTATAAGTTTCAAGACTCTTCAAATACAATTTTAAATGCCCCTGTTCTTCATGAGAAGCAAATAAAGGACTAAGTTTTGGTCTAGGTATGTTCCTCTCAGTCAACAAGTAGATCAATAAAATAAAAAAGAAGCAAGGGCTAGAAACTGAAATAAACATTGGGAAAGAGATATGGATGCATGTGTTCCCTCTCCTTTGGTGAGACAGGTCAGACGGAAGATCCTTTTGCACACGGAGAGGTCATCACTTCATCATACTTTGCATCCTTTTTCCCCCCAGCTGATTCATAACTTCACTGTGCCATATTTATTTCCAAGCTACATTTCTTCATAAGTGACAAAATAATATATGCAAATTACTTTGTGAGTGCAAGGGGTGTCCAGAAAATTTGTGACAAACCACTTCTTTATGTCCCAATGATATGAAATGCTACAAGGATACGAGAGGCACTCCAATAGTTTTTTCCAGATAGCATTTAATGTCCCCTGATCCCAACAACATTTTTTATAATTTTTTCTGGGGATTAAAAAATATCCTGGGATTTTGTGAAATTTTTTGGGCAAAATGGTGACACACAGCATAAGGCCGAATGAGATCACCCCCAGGACAGATGACCTTGACCCAAAGAGATCTGCAAGTGCTGAATAGGTATGGTTTCCAAAGGCTCCTAACTGCAAAACAGTTTTGCAAAGATGGAATCATAACTGGGTGATCTTGCCCCATCTACATGCTTTGTGGATGACTAGTTTCAAAAGTTCAGATGTAGACCTGGAGGACAAGCCCTGTGAAGATAGTCTAATTTCAGAAGTGACAAAATAAATGTGGCTGAAGTGAAGGTCATGACTGAGGAAGATCAAAATGTGACATATGCTGTTATAGAGAAGACCCTTGGGATTGAAGCATCTGCAATTAAAAATTTATGCATGAAATTCTTGGGGTGCAGAAATTTTGTTCTTTTTTGGTTCCCCATACCCAAACTAAGGAGCAAAATAATGGCTTGAAGCAATTTCTGCCAAGAAATGCTGCATAAATTCTATAGCAGAACTTCAAATTTTGTGCAGCATTGGCAAGATCATCTAGGGAATATTTCATCTCTTAAAAACACTGTTTCACATGAAACCATCTTTAGAAACCATACCCAATTAGCAGTTGTAATCTCTTTGGGTCAAGGTCATCTGGTGGGGGGGGGGTGACCTCATTTGGCCTTATATTATGCATCACCATATTGGCAAAAGATAACTCCTCAAAGCTATTTTATTGCAGGAATTATGCAAGAGACCAGATTCCACAGGTTTAATACTTCGTAAGATTGAAAGACACATGCTCCCAAGTACCTTTTTTGATACATAAAACCAGATTATTGTTATTTGTAGACAATGAAGGCTTACATGTCCCTATGCAAATATTTTTGAGTGGTGTGGTCTCCCTTTCTTCATTTAACAAGCCCATCACTGATTTACACTTTTACAAATAACTGACAAGAGAGAGGTCATTACAGAACATGCTTTGAGTCTTAGAAGTCTAACCTGAAAGTGGCACAGTGGAGCCTCCTTTCTTAGCTGGTGATTTCTGCATTGATGGTGCAGGTGCAGGTGAAGCAGAAGGGGAAACAGAGACAGGAGTTGAAACATTAGATGACTCTTGTACCATCAAGGATGAATTCTCCCCTTCTTCTAAATTCTGCAACAACAAAAAAAACATGGAGGCTTCAGTTGCTCATGGTGAAATGATAAAATCCAACATTTAAAAGAAAAGTTCATCATTTATACTAGTTATCATAAGCAAGTCTCAAAATGCCCAATGAGAATCTTCTTTTGGGCTCAGGGCATTCTACAGGGTGTTTCAAAAGTTTCTGCTGCACCCACACAAAATATGGCTTAATGCTTTGTCAGCCACTGTGAAAACATCCTGCTTATATACACAGGTTACATAAATATCTGGGTGATCTGCTCAGGCCAAAAAAAGGCTGTGCTGATGCAGGACAGAGCCCCATGCCACACGGTTGGTCTTGCATTCCACATCATCAAAGAGACTAAAATAAAGGTCTCAAAAAAGTTACCAAGGAACTGTCTGGACCTCAACACCTGGAAACCCAATGGCACAGGTTCCAGAGAGTGCTTTTTTTTATCTATCAGCCCCACCCTATAAATTGGGCATCAGTCAATACTGAGGTTCTAAGAGGAGTGAGAAACCAACGCAATGGGTGTCATCCATCAGGTGGTTGAGAGCTTTGGGACACTAATTTGAGGTTCCAGGAAGTCTGCAGAAGTCATATCAAGTATTGATGTAGGAGTTGGAACCTAGGGTATTCTTGGCCAAGTGGCAAATAATAAAATCAATATATTCCTGTTAATCTCATCTCTGTCTTTATATTAGCAGGTCAGAAACTTTCAAAACACCCTGTAGAAGAAGATATTGATAATGAACCAATCTAAAGTACCATAGAAAATAACAGGAAATGAAAACATACATCCTAGAGATTACAACAACACCCAACATCATTCACACTACTCTATACAATTATGGATGATTGGCTTGTGCATTGACATCAGAAACTTCCTGAAAACAAATTCTGGGAACAGAATTTGCTTTCTCTAGAACAAGTCAAAATCAAAACAAGAATCTCTAGAACAAGTCAAAATTTAGCAAAAGGAAAAGATTTTGATCACAATTATGCTAAGAAGCAACTTTAGAAAATTAATAGATATCAAAGAAACCTCATCAATAAAAAAAAGGAGCATCATAAGAAATGCCTTGTGTGAGAGCCAGGTCAAGTTCACAAGTTGAAAGTCTTGAATATATTGTTTTGTGGCTGTGAATTATGTATGAATTGAAGAACATCTTCATATTTTTCCAAAAATTGTCTTTTTGTTTTAGTGTTTTCAGGGATTAATAACACCTTATCAACTCTAGAAACATGCAAATAAATGTGTACCAACCTTCACTTGTGGCATTGCCACTTCAACATGCACACCCATCCTTCATTGTAAGATTAGAGTTTGGCTAACCTGATCAGAGGAAGATGCATGGGATGCCTGGCCATCATCTTCTTCAACCTGGTCCAGGGTGTTCATTGGATCAACTTCTACTTCCACTTTGGCCTCCTCTCCATCCTCTTTTTGCATTTCAGCATCCTCAGGTGTTTCCTATAAACACACATACTACACATGTAGCTAAGGAAACCACATTCCTGACTGAAATGAAGCTACCCCACAGTGTCCATTAATATAAAGAGCCAGTAATACTATTTTGAGAATAAATATTAGTACTCTTCCATGACTGACTGAAATTCATCTGAAGGAAATATGAAAAATAGGTTCTTTTTTTTTTCATTGCACAAGGTAAAAGATAACATTTATGCAGATATTATGTCTTCAACATACAAGGATGCACACCCTAATTTCTCATTTTTCTATGAAAAATACTTTACAAGCTTATATATACAAGGGGGAGTCAATAAATAAGGTAAATTTAGGTATAGCTTCAAAACAGTTTTTCCCAGAAACATGAACATACACTATTTTTCAATGTAATCATTTCCTACCTCAACACATTTATTACAGTGACTGACAAGCTTTCTGATTAAATCAGAGAAAAAAGTTTTGGGGAAAGAGCAAAAAATTTTGCACCACATTTTGAGCATCTCTTTCATCCCTGAACTTGATCTTTTCTGAATAGTTTCTGAATAATTCACACCACTTGTACACATTTTTTTTTAATGATAAACAACTGTCCCCGTATTGTGCACATGTTCTCCTAAATTTAACTTGGTTTAACTATTTCTAATAGTAAAAATTGAATGACATTTTATGTGTCAGCGACAATGTTGCCAACTTTATATCGTGGAGTACTACATGTTCAGACATGCAGTAATGAGGGTATGTGGTAATGCAAACATGTTGGGTACATAATGTCTGTGAAAAATGTAAATTCACCTTAGCTAATGACTCAACCTCGTACAAGCTTGAAAAAAGTAAGGTCCAAATGCACGAACCTCATTTAGGGGAAACAAAGGGCCCTTTAATCTAAAGAGCTCTTTTTCTCCAAAAGGAGTTCATATTTTCTTAAAGGACCATTAACTAAAGGGGGTTTCAGCATTTGGGCCTTAGGATTTACATTACCCATAATTATTGAAAGATATGTTCAGTGTGCCCTCCCTTGCTTGACAGTCACTCAAATCATTGTTCAATCATTTCTAGTCAGCTGCCTGGAGAATATTTATCTTAGCATGTCAGAGTAACAATAATTGCATAACTATTACTAATTACTTTACACCCTAATAAAATTGTGCAATAATTTATTGTCATATTTCCTTGAAATGAATAGCACTTGATCAGGAATAGGTAGTGTAAACTATCCTCTGAATTGCTCAGGTGCTTCTTTCTTAGCAAGGATGATGCAATTGAATGGAAGAAGGTAACATTTTTTTGGTCCCTGTATAGTATTCATGATGGCACAAGGAACATCCAATATGATTTTTGGAACCCAGCATACAAAAGCAACAAAGTTCATATCTTCAAATCACTTCACAATATTCTTCCCCAAAACACACCTGGCATTGCATCCTAATCCCATTTCAAAGCATCCATGATATTCTGAGCAAGGTTGATTTTTTTTTTTTTGGCTATGACTGAAACCATGAGCCATTGCACAAAATGTTCAGTTTTAGCAAACTGCACATTGAGGATATTTGAAATTGATCATGATTACTAGGGGGGAAACTGGTGTGCTATAAAAGGCAGAGTGACTGACATGACAGTTTTGTAATGTCAATACACCTAATTTCCTGAGAATTCACCAGCACTTCATGATTGGAGTCCACTTTTGACTTTTATAATAAGAGAATGAAGAACTTTCAATGAAGGGGATTGCAAAAGAAGAAATAGACATTAGAAACATACCTTCTTTGTATCTGGCTCCATTTCAGCATCTCCTTGTGAAGGTCTTTTTCTTCTATACACTTTGACAGTATCTAAAGGCTTTTCAATGATCTTCTTAGTCTGTACTATTGTGGAGGTGTTGATATTTGCATTGGCACTATTTGTTGTGGCTTGAATGATCCCTTTGCCTTTCTCCACAAGTCCAAGGGTTGAAAAGAATCCTTGTACTTGCCCCTGGCTTGCAGTGGTAGTTACTGTCATTGGAAGGATGATTCCAGGTGTAACAGTGTTTCCCTGAATTGCTGTCGGCTTTGGTGTACCCCGTGATGATGTTTCAGCCAAGCCTTTGATCTTAAGGCTCTCTGCTGTGCGAAGAAGGGATTCCAACCGTTGCTAAATAATTGAAAGATGGGATCAAGATTAGATAGAAAGTAGTGCTGCATGTGTCAGGGAGAATGAATATTTGATCAGTGTATCAAATCTCACCTGAGACACATTGATTTCACCTCTATACATGAATTCCACAACTGACTTTATATCTGCGAATGATGTGTCCCGCAGGATGATCACTGGATGCTTCTCTGAGTGCAGGGAAAAGAGTGTCTCAAAGTAGGTGCTACAAGCTGACAGCACTATCTGCAAAAGGCAATAAAGCACAAAACATGTCATCACAGTGATACAAACAATGATGAATCTGCCATGTAAAAAGTATGTACAGGGTAGTACAAAAATAATTTTTGTTCCTTTAGGCAGCTGTGGAGAGCACATGGAGTGGAGTAAGACAGGGAAAATTGGGTGCTAGATCAATGTGATCATGTGGAGGCTGATGTACATAAAAAAAATTATGTGGTGTTATGAACATAAACAAATGAGGATAGTACCACTATCATGTCATGTACCATACAAGTGCAATATATAAGCAAGGTAATTAGAGCAATGTGGGTTCCGTTAGTTTTAAGGATGGTCTCCAGACACAGCAGCACATTCCACACTGCTGGATATAGGATTTAAGGGGAATGAAGAGAACCTCTAGGAATGTGGTATCTTTCACCTTCCCTGTGAGACCTAATGGCATGATGGCAGCACCATCACAACACAAGATTTGCTCAGGCACAAAAACATCCACACAGTAAAATTGTTCTGGCACCTGATTTTAGGCATCTCATGTCACTCTGTGTGAACTCCACAACTGTCTAAGCACCATGACTGATTTTTTTAATACTCTGTATAAGAATATAATAAAGAGGCTGAATATTACAATTTTCCTGAGTCAATTCTGGCAGGGTAGGATAGTGATTCATACAGGTACATGTATGACAAGTTTTAGGAAAAACTATATTATAATTAGCAGCATTCAAGCTATTTCCAAGAATGGCATCATATGAAACAAGGCAGACTTCAAAAGGAAACTGAAATCAAAGAAACATTGTTTCACTTCTGATTCAAAGGCATTGCCCTCATTGATCCAGTTCAACAAGCCAATTTGTTCAGTTCTTGTGATCAGTTCTCTACTTCCAGCACTGCCCCAATTCTGTCAGACAAGTATATACTTGCTGCTGGTTTGAAACCATTAAAAATTGATTTGGTTTGACTGTCTGAAATTGTTGGTTTTCATGAAAATCTGGGGGGAATGAAACACCACATGTCACATTTTTGTCAGCAGATTGGCAAATCCAAATATGAGCATATTTGCCTTCAAAAACATAATAACCTCCAGGAACCCCATCCCCTTCCTCCAAATAACTTTTCTTTTTTTTTTAGTAAATCCCCAATGACTAGTCTGATAGCTCCTGCTTTTTAGCTCTGTGTCTCAAATTGGAAATTGTAACAGCTTTTTTGCACTCAATAATAGTTTTAGGACAAGACCCATATTCAAGTATCTTGTCATACTCCAAGGCATTATTTTTACCATGCTGAAAGAGGTAAAGATTTTGGCAAATTTCTCAAAGAAAACATGGTATGGAAAGAAATATTGTGTCATTATGTGAGGATGCCAAGATCATACTGCAGACTATACTTTAAAATATAATATAAATAAAGCAGTCAAGGTCAGACATAAAGGGTGACATGCACCAGATCCGTTTAACTTTGAACTGATTTGTTTTCATAATGGGTGTCTATGGGAATACGTTTATCTTGGTTAAACTGATTCCCATAGGGAACCATTGTGAGATCAGATTTGCTTAGCTTAAACGGATTCGGTGCATGTCACCCAAAGGGTCACAAAGGGAAAAAAACTTGGATAATAAACCTACCAACTCTTTAAAGTTCACTGGGAAGGTCAAATATTGATTTTTTTCATGAACTTCCAGTCTTTTCTCCTATAAAGGGTTTACCTCACTTCTATGAGTATGAGGGGTAACCTATGCAGAATATGGCATAGTGACAATGAATAAGATCATCGTAGACAGTATGAGCAATATGATTGACTTTAGCAAAAGGTGCAAATAAACGAATTGGCAGCAATTTCTAAGATGTTTTGAAAACACAAATTGTTATATTTAAAAAAATTGGGAGACTATGATGTGGTAAATGACTAAAACATTCCCCACCTAACTTTTTGGACATGAAAGAGTCTATGATATAGCATGAGGTACTCAGCAGATGATAGATTCATTGGCAGTTATTTTCAACAATTAGAAGCAAGTTTGCAAACAGCATTCACAATCAAAATAATCAGGAAGAAGTAATTATAATCTTGCCTTCCCACTTCATAAACTCTATAGTCAATCCTTGATATAATGCTACTGTTGCTCATTGCTAAATTTGGCACTAAGATGCAGGTGGTGTCATATTGAATGAATTGCAGTATGCTGATGGTTATAATACTGAAATCTCCAAAGGATTAATTGATTAAATGGATGTGAAGCTTATGTTGTCCCCTATAGTCCCCTGCAATACTCCACACTTTCCCTATGCACTATCCATTCTATGGGTTTGAGTCCCTCTCACAGTCTCCCTATTTGTCATGCAATCAAGTGGACGGTTGGCAACACTTAGGTATGTACATACTGAATAAGGGTCATGACAAGTATGCCACTTTGCACAAAATCAAGGAGCATTTACATGGAAAAAAGAATGTTTGTAAAAATAATGGTATTGGGTTGTGAAGGTGGCACTATAACAGGGAATAGCCATTAACACTTCAAGTCAATAATTTTACTCTGGGTACTGGTGCTGGCTAATGCACAAGGTTGCAGGTACATACTTGTGATACTAGCTTGAGGGGTTAATAATCTTACAGGGATGATTCTCAGAAAAGTTCCCAGGAAAGTGCTGGCAAAGAGCAAGGAAGGTGGAAAATTGAGGATTGACTGTACCTCTTATGCCAAAAGCCAAAGAAGTTGAAGGCATTATTCAATCCCTTGATCCTATAAATATATTTGGGCTTGACAATACAAACATCCTTAACCTAATATAGAGTACATCCAGACCTTAAGCCCAGAGATCTTGAAGCTAACAGCAACCATCACTGCTGGGTGTTTGACAAACTTGATAATTCTATCCTTTGAAACTGGATACAAAGATTTACTGACATGCAGTGTGCCACCACCTTTACTCATTCTCAACTCCTTCTGGATAACAAATCCACTCCATGAACTTATAATATATAGATGCCCCATTGTAACATCACCCTTGCATGCTGCCACTTGCCAACATCATTTTTAATATGAATGTGCTTTTTCATGTAAATTCCCTTTGATTTTGTCCCAAGTAGTATACCAGCTACAATCCCAGTCCAGTATATATAAAATTAAATATTTCTTGCTGAATGTCCATCTGATCATGAAACAGACAGTGAGACTCAGAGAGGTAGCTTGTACCCATGGAATGAATAGTTCATAGGAATAGCATGGAGTATCAAAGGGGTTAAAAGTGACAAAGAAGATTCACATCCATTTAGTCCCTTTAGAATATTTCAGTATCATGGCCATCAGCATGCTGCAGTTCATTTGATATAACACAAAAATCAGCAATGACCAATAATGGTGTCATATCGATGATCGACTGTACATGAATGACCTTCCAAGGCAGATATGGTGATGCTGATGATATCAACATCTCCTATTTTGATCTTTCTAAAATATGAAGCTGCAAGCAGAGTAACACATAAAAAATCTGACTCTGTGGTTCTTGCTCAACTAGCTTGTTTTTAACATAGATAACACTTACTATTTTTTTTTCAGTCCAAAAGACTAACTTCACAGAATATATGTTCTTGGAAATTTAATGGAAAAGAACTGCAAGGGATGGAAGTAGCAAAATTTATGAAAGCATGTCTTGATGGATATTTAACTTCTAGTCATCATATCCATATACAGGGGTTGCAACAAGCTTCTTGTCCTGGCCTCCTGCATATGCATCCTGGGGTTCCAGGACTCCCAGGATGCACAGATGGAAAGCCAAAGACTGCTGGATTGAATATCATACTACTTGATTGAGTTAAGTTGGCAAATAAACATGGATTGCTGGACTTTTACTTTTAGGGAACCCTTCAATATTCCCTTGTGCTTCACTTGGAAAATAACCCCCCTAAATTATCAGGGGACCTTTCCATATCAGACCTGAGGGTCCCGGGGACTCCTATGGCAAGAAACCTAGTGCAATCCTGATATACCAACAGAGAATCACCACAATATATCCATTTCATAAATTTGGGAAAACATTATTTCCATTAGGAAATCATGAATATGTATGCCATAGTGCAATCACATTTGGATGATTGCATCTTAATATGGGGATTGCCATAACCATCATACTTAAACAAACTGATCATGCTTCAGAAATGATTATAAAGGTGGAGTTTCACTGACAAAAATTAACACTTGCATCCACTTTTAAGCTATGGAGACCCATATCTCTCAATAAGCCATTAAAAAAAAATTTTTTCATGTATCATTTATCAAAAACAAAACTCAATATATTTCCTATGATAGAGATCCTTTGCATTTTGTGGAGGACCCACACATACATTATTACAAATTTATGTCTTATAAGCTGTTAATAATCCCACTCATACTCACATGTTTATGTCAATTCACCTTCAAATGTCAAGGAATAGAAGAATATAATGCCCAGCCATAATATATTTGTTCCTTGCCAAGCTCTTCTACTTCCAAGCCTACATTGTTTGATATCTTGGTAAGTGAAGGATTCTGTGATTCTTACATGGTCTATTAATGTTTTCTTTCCCTATTCTTACTTACATTTCTTGTTTATTCTCATTGTTACTCATTCCCTTCTTCCATACTCATGCTTAAGTTCACTAGCCTTTCTATTATTGAAAGACTTGAGATTAAAACATATATATGTTATTTCTATAGAAACTTGAGCACTGGAAGCATTCTTGGAGTTCTTAGAGATCAAACCAATACAAATTTCAGATATATATATTTATCCATTTGTAGTTGATCTTTTATTTCATTTTAAATTCCCAATACTTTTTCTCCAAAATTTTAAATAAAACCTCCATGGTAGGAGAAATATCCTTGGCTAAGCTAGACAATCCTACAAAGGTACTTATCAAAGTCAAATTAGAAGATAATGGGAGATTCTGACTTCACCTTATGGGCTTTGAGGAATTTCCCCTCACATGATAGGGTACAATCTGTGAAGGCTTGAGAAGTCCACAGGCGAGTGAAAACATGCACCAAATTGCTTTGGTGGTTGTTCCATGTCAAGCAATATTGCTGTGATGGATTCATCATAGTTTTCAGTAATCTGTGAATAAAGTTGTGGATGGACTGGCCTGAAGAGATGCTCTAAAGACACATGAATATTTCAGGTGACAAAACACAGGACCAGCAATACATGAAATATGCCAGTATGGATAATTCTACAGATATCTGCAAGTGGATCAGAATGGGCTTACATTTAAGTCACAACTAAAATGAAAGAAACTAGGCCTAAAAAGATTATCGTAGTGAAATGGGACTGCCAGAACTTTTACTGCAACTCTTCTGGACTAAGAGTGATATTTAAACAAGACAATTAAACAAAAGAATCAACCTTTTCACTTGAAAGTCAGAAACACATTATCTGTGCTTTCCCTAAATGAAATAGGGCAAAACATATTTTAATTTTGAATATACTACAGAAACTGACTAGAGGATGTGGGCAATGTTTTGCCCACTAAAGTGCTTCAGGAGATAGGTTTATTATCTTCCAGGCCTTGAAGGCCCTTCATTTCTCTTGTTCACTGAACTCAGCTGATAATTCATGTTATGAACATGGTGTGGGGCTGCATACTCCTCTTGCCAGGATGCATTACTCTATCTCCTTTGACATATGCTTTGGCCAACATGCCTAGAATCGTCATGAATATTGTTAAAAATGGTAGGTGTGGGTCTCTTCTTATCTGTTGACCAATTGAATTTAGATTCTGCAAAACTCAGCTTCATTCCACTCTTCAAGGCCAAGACCTTAACGTTAGACCTTTTAAAGGCAGAAAATTGGCCAAATGCCTAGTCCCATATAGGACCCAGATGCATTTCAGCCAGAGAATTAGTCATGCGGTTACGCCTATACATATCCTCAAGGTAGTCTATCCATAAAAATTAGTCATATATTACTCACCTTTAGATTTGGCCAAATTTTAAATGTATTTATTCGTCGAAAGCTAATCTCGTATAGGCCTATGTCTAGAACCCTAGTTATCAGCAAAGAACAGCTATTATTTCATAAGCTATGCCGATATTACTTTATGATGAAAGGGTGCCTTAGTTTTAGGCCTGACTTGGGAAAGGGCTTGGGACTCGGGCTCATCAATGAATGGGCTGCAGGGATGTCGGATCAATGGAACTGACTTAATATTGATATTCAATGAAACTTTTGAGATTCATAGATATTCCACTGAAATTGTCAGAATCAATTTAAAAAGAAATACTTGCGTTTTCAGAAATATTCAGACACTTCCTTCACTTAGACAGAGTACGATTACGTTTACTCTCCCGAAAAAATTGTATAATCGGTGTGGAAAATTTCGGGGTGAATCAGAGTGACTCGCGGATTAACATCCCTGATTTCAATACGTGACGGCATTGGCTATTGAAAGCCGTAGCAGCAGCAGCAGCAGAAGGCGACGATGGGCGACTGGCGTTCTTCCTGCACTATCCGGCTTCAGCTATCCAAGCCGGCTTGTTAGGATATCAAGAACTTGCACATCCTGTTGACCTCACAGCTTTTTTATTCCATTCCGTTAAGAGCACTATGATAGTGATGGGCGTTGGAGTGTGTTCCGGTCTGTCATAGGCATGAGCTAATCTAAGTCCACTGTAAAACTTTCCAGACCTCCTTATTCAGGAAGAACCCATGAAGTCGTCAGTGTCTGAGAAACACGTCTGAGTGAAATTAGGAGAGTATATACTCAGTGCAGAGAGAAGAGGAAACAACGTCTGGATTGCTGATGCTATCACAAGACGGTGTGTCAAGATGTGTTCAAATGATTGCAATTTAAAATGGAAACAAGGTTAAGAAGAGGAAGTCAAGCAGTTTACTGATGCTATAAAATGCGTTCCCAATTAGGATAAACTGTAGTCTGAATTTAAGACGCTAAGGATTTAAGTTGGTGAGAATTGAAGGTAGGCTATTTTAGAGTTTTACTTAATCATACATAAGGTACCTCTAAAATTGGTTATGATTCTCTGAATTGCTATGACATTGCTGTACCTAATTGAGTGTTGATGTCTTTTCCCCATGGTATATAGTGACCAATCTAATTTCATTTTGTAAGTGACCAAACAAGTTTCAATGAAAAAGATTAACTGTCAGCATGCTACTATCTTTGAAGAGATTGTAGCATGAGCTCAGCTCACTTTTGACATAGATCACTCAAGCAGTCCATTTTTTAATTTACATAGTTCTAACCAGTAGCTGGTATGCTGTAAAGCCTCAGACCACAACTTCTTATATGCTTGAATCACATTATGATAGATGTTCAGGAGGATACACCATTCATGCACCATTCATGTTCATGGACCATTGACACATACCCATGGATACTGTTAGACCTTGCTTGATTGGCAGTTATTCTTTGGAGCTCTTTCCATGAAATACTCATCTGGCCAAGGTTATGAGATATTATTTGAAAGAAGTTGAATATTGTAATGATACAGGAGCTCATGCTGGTGGGTGGGAGAAAATGCCCTCATGTTGCAGTTCCATATATTCTAGCAAGATCAAGTATCTTTCTCATTGAGATTCATCTTTTGGTTTGATCATTTGTCATAGATTGTTTTCATGCACCTTTTTCCCAGCTAATAACTGGTAAACCAATGTTGTCTTTATAGAGAATTAACTGGATGGTTATTGGGGTTTCCCCATATTTACATTGGGAGAAGTGACAGGTGGAGATTAGTCTCCAGAAGGACTGGAATCGGGTGTAATTTTTCTTTTTCACAATCCATTGAATAAGAGCTTATGACTTGGCTTCAGCACAATGAATTTAAATGAAATTTTAAATCCCAAAGGCTGTTGGGAAAAAATCAGTCAAGCACAACATGTAGATATCTCAAAGAATTGTGTAAGTATGAAAAGTTGGAGTCTTTTTATGCCATACCTCATGATTCTCTCATACATGCTACTCACTTTCATGTCTTTGTTCTCAAATTTATGAGATGTGCATATTTAATGGAGCCTTGAAAAAACATCACCCAACTTTGGCCAGCCATGCAACATTTTCTTCCTGGCTTCCCTTCAGCAGAAAAGGTAGCCTCTGCATGAATAGGCCTTTGTAAATATATATCTTGAGGATTACAATTGGCAATGCATACTTGCATGGGGGGGGGGTGTACTACTTTGCTTCATTTTCCCTTGCCAAACTGCAAGACTGCTGGTGTGGGCAAGTGTGAATTCTGCAGGCCTGGTTTAATATGATCATGTTTGAACTCTTATGCCAAATAAAATGTTTTATTGCACTTTGGAATAACTGCCACTGCATAATCCACCAATGGGAGCCATGTTGTGACCTTGGCTTGAGAGCTGTATCTGATCCAGTTCATGCTTCCTTTGCAGGATATGAATTTCTTGAGTTAAGTTCAATGCATTTCTGGAAATATAGCTAATGGTCAGCGTTGATAATGGCATCGAGACATGGTGGTTGTCAGTGTGAATGGCTAATGCATTCTTCATCGTGAAATCATCTTTTGAGTCTATAAAGAGGAAAGTCATGGAACATTATAGTCAAGGTAATGTTAATGAAGTCCTAATGCTCAAAGAGTTTAGTCTAAATCAGTTAACTTTCCATACTGCCCCCATTCTTATGCCACAAATGCATTTGAAGCTCTGCTGATCTGCTGAATAGCTTGTCTGCAAAAGAGGAGGCTAACCAATATTTTGCAATCCAGGTGAACAACAGTCTATACCTGACCAGCATGTCACTCCAGGCTGTGAATGTGTATTCCACAAATGTTGGAACTGACAATCTCAGCAGGCATGATTATTTGAGATGGGTGAATGAGTGCTTACAAACTGACTTGAAAAAGATTGAGGAAATATGCACTGGAGCACTCTATTGTCAGTTCATGGATATGCTCTTCCCTGGAAGTGTGAATCTGAAGAAAGTCAAGTTCAAAACCAACCTGGAGCATGAATACATTCAGAACTTCAAGCTTCTACAGGCATCATTCAAGAAATATAATGTGGACAAAGTTGTTCCTGTGGATAAGTTGGTGAAAGGAAAATTCCAGGTGAGCCTATGGGCTAGGGTAATAAAATAGTGTTACCTCATGAAAGGGGTTTGATGTTGAATTTAAAGGCTTTCATCAGTTTGTTCATCATTGCACTTCTCATAAGACTTTAAGAAATTGCAATACTAAATACATTCCATCCAAGGCCTGCTGTCAAAACACCTGGGGGAGAGGGGCACAATGGGAAAAAGAACCATGAAAATCACTGCATGTTCTAATTCATTTTTTGCCTTTGTTCAATAAAAAAAAGTAGAGAGATCTAGTCTCATGTCATTGAAAATCTCATTGTTCACATCATACTGACTTATACATTTTGTGGTGATACTTTAACCAACACCTGGGAGTGGGAGAGGAAGTTCTGGCATCATTCATTGCACAACTGGTGTGATCTTCATTGGAGTTACACTCTTGATTATTCATTCCATCATTAAAAATATATGATATCATTACTGTGTTTGAGCCTGTGATTCTTTCACTCCACTAATCTACTCACTGGTATGCCTCTCCTTCCCCATTACATAGAGATCATTTGCTTGGAATATTCACTGTAACAGAGTTCTGTTGAAATTCAACATGAATAGGTCATGTAATGTAATACATATATTGAATCAGGGATTTTTCTCTCAAAATAAGCAAGGAGCCAAGGAATCCATAGCCGAAAAGTGGATCCTCTTCTGTCCCCTCTTCTCCATCACCTTCGCTTGTTTCCTCTTCCGAATGTTAGAAACTGATGCCAGGCTGACCATCAAAATCTGCGCTGTGTCGTGAATTGTCCTCTTCTCTTTTTGCATATTAAGGATGGCCTGCTGTTCTTGAAGGGTCAATGATTTTCCCCTACTCCGACACATTGACGTGATGTCGAAGGGAGTAAAGTGGACTCAACCATAGGGCCATTGTTACCCCAAGTATGGGAAGTAATACGTATTACAGTGACATCTTTCTAAAAAATTTGTGGATGTACTATACTTGAGTACTTGGAAAGAATAGCTTCCAGTCCTGGAAGTTGATGATGCTCCTGTACAAGCTTCCCATTTTTCATTTTTGTCATAATGAAAAGTGAAGAAATTTCTATCATGAACATTTACAATCACATTTTTGTTGAAAAAAAATCATTGCCACTCTAGTTAAATGACTAATGAAATCACATCCTCAGACATTATTAAAAGAAATAAACTTTTTGCCTTATGTTTCATGGCTTTTATCCATTGATATTTTACCCAAGAAATTCAACTAATTTAATATGATAAGTAATGTAGTTGGGTTCCATAGTCATGAAGGTAGCTCTAAACGTTTTTATATACAGGTTGAGTAGTTTATTGTCTGGCTGTTCTACTTTGCAGTAGTTGCCCCACCTTGGTGACCAAATGACAACCCGATATCTAGTACATATTCAGTGGGGAGTGAAGCCAAATCTCATCACATGTTTTCCTTATTTTTTCTCACCTTTTTGCTTTTTGGTTTTATGATTTTTATTATTCCTCTCATTGAATTTATTCACATATTTACCATATTTACTTGTCCTACACTAATAGTGAAGGGTTATTTAAGAGGTCCTGCATATAAGAGTGTTAAATGGAGATGACTCTTGGAGTGAATAGTCTGCTTGGTAGTTTTGTGTGTTTAACCTCAGTGTCAGAATTAATCCCTCTCCAGCATTAAAACCAAATCTCCTGCTCTTTTATTGCCTTCTGAAATGTTATGATTCTCTCAAAATTCAGACTTCAGGGTGAACCCTGTCAGCCTCTTAATTTGTTTCAATTGGATAATCCCAAAGGTGAGGGAATGTCAAGTACTTATCAATGCTTTTTTTCTTTAGTTCTTCTGTGGAAACTCAAAAGCTACTAATGCTACTTAGTGATACTAATGCCAAGGTGGATAGCATTTGGCAATGCCCACCCTGGCATAGTCAGTTCAAGATACAAGAAGCAGCATTCTGGAGAAGCTGACAATGACCACATTGGGGATGCTTGTTTGAAAATTTCCAAAAATTTAAGGAGGCAAGGGAAATAAATGAGATAATGTAATATTTGTCAATCATGCATTGGCCTATCCTTTATTGAATGTTCAACTTGAGTGTTTGTTTCTTTCTTAGGACAATTTTGAATTTCTCCAATGGTTCAAGAAGTTCTTTGATGCCAATCATGATGCCCAAGTTCACTATGATGCTCTGGAAGCCCGAGGAGGAGAAGAGGTTGGTGTTAAGTCTTCTGCTGTTGCTGCAACTGGAAAGCAAGCTGCCTCCCGCATTGCTCAGTCACGCCCATCATACACTGGCATAGCCAGCAGACCTCCTGTGAAGAAAGCACCTCCTGTGAAGAAGGAACCTATCCCAGGTATACCTTCAAGGGAGGCCACCTCTCTAGCCATTCAAACTGCCCATCCTGTCCTGTGAGGGAAAAAAATGATAGAGGTGCAATAGAAAACTGGTTGTGTGTCTCCACATTCCAGATTTTTTCTCATGCTATAAATTGCTGATTCTAAACATGGGAACTGGACCTCCAGAACAGAATGAGAATCTCCCCTCTTAAGCTAGACTTCCACTCTGAGGGATGAATCAGGTATGAAAGACTTGAAAATAGCCTAATCAGTAATGAGCCCAGACGAACTATGAGTTGCCAATGATGGACTTTATATCCAGATTCATAAATTCACTGTAACTTTAAGAAAATGTTCATGGTGATGGAAGAAAACCCTTTTGTATGTTTAAGTTCAAGGCCAATATTAAATGCTTTTAATGGTATAGAGCACATCCATTGACATTATACTAATTCAACATATTGTTCAATTCCTTAGCATTCCAGTTGTGCATTTAAAAATTTCAGTGGGAACATTAATAATGCAAGAGGAAATAGAAAGCTTTTCTTACTTGCTAGCTTGTATCTTGATTATTCCCAGAGGTGAAAATTGCATTATTTTTTAATAGTCTTGGCTTTTATTATTTCTTGTTTTACTTCTTAGATACTGGTAATTTGAAAAGTTGAAATTTCTTCCATCAGTATATTGGAGTTTCGTTTATTAGTATATGTGCAAGAATGATAATGTTCTTAAATTACATTTCTAACTTTATTTTTAAATGACAACAATTGTGGCTTCTATCATGCATGGGTAACCAAGGGTCTCAATTTCCAGTTAACTCATTAACTGGCAATGGGAAAAACTATCTATTACATTAAAGAGAAAGGGGACTGCACAAAGAGGGAAAAAGTAGGGGGAGGGAAGTTGAAACAGAACTATAAGGGAGATGCTAAAGGAATGGAGTTGCCCTTTTTCCAAGGAAGAAGGTAATTCTATCATTTAATTTTTACAAATAATTAAAAGCACAGGGATGATAAAGGAGAATAGATGAGAGAAAGAGAACAAGGTGATGAAATTAAATTGTAGCTTTTGGGATGGAGACCCTCCATTCTCTCTCCTTGAGCCTGTTTCTTCAACTGGGCATTTGAAGGAATGTAACCAATGTGCTGCAATTAGAAGAAAGTTCTATCATGTGAGGGGTATGATGTTGCAATTGCCTTGAGTTGTCAATTTTTTAAATTTATTGTCAGTTTTTAGCTTATAGGTGTGGAACCCAAAGCATTGTCCTGTATTTTAAATTGTGGTCATCATTCGAGTTTCCCAATTAAAAGTAAGTAGGTTGATAATGCTAAGTGTCCTAATACTTACCTCTATATGGAAGGTTGAAAACCACTGGATGAACCCCTCAAGCATATGCTGTTTTCAGAAAAGTCACACTTAGAGGATTAATGTGTGACCTGTGTGCTTTAGCTTCCTCATTTCTGGTGACATCTGAGATCATAATTTGCTGTATCTAACTCAAAAATTGATTGTTGCTATCAGCCAAACAAGTATGAAGAAAAAGACCATCTTCATCAGTGATGTGTGATGGTCAGTCATCAAGAAGCCTTTAACTGGCCCTCCAGTCCCTTGAGGTCCTTCAGATGGGTGCTTTGAGGGAAATGCATTCATTTTGCATGCTGCCATACAAAGACAGACTATCTCATAGGGTGTCTCTTCATAACATAGCAACAAAAGGACCAACAAGGATAGCAACAGATTAATTTTTATTGTACATACATGCACTTTCTATCGATTTCCTCATCTTCATAAGCTTTTATCATAAAAGAGATGGTAAAATTTATTTGTTTCCCCTGCTTGCTCTCTCTTTTCTCCTTTACGCCTCTCTTCCTAGTCTGCTAATGTGCTGAAAGACTGGTTGATACCATTGATGTTACCATTTATCATCCAATGATGGCAACCTCATCTAATATCAACTGGAATGTCTTAAGTTCATGGGTGAAATAAATAAGAAATCTGTTTTTTGTTGCACTTTCTGCCACCTCTTTCCTTGATGCCACCTGTTTAGTAGGGTAAAACCACCAATGTTCAGGCAGTTAAGTCGGGATAGGATTGTAATTCACTCACCACACCTTAATGGTATAACACAGATACTTTTTTTTGTGTCCCAGAAGCACAATATGAGTAGGTAGGAGTCTGATAAAGATAATGACCATGGAAACCTTATAGCTTCCAGGAATTCCAATTAAGTGGGTGTCTGAACTTAGATGCGAAAAAATGAAATTTGAACAGAATGTGGTTCAGGCACACAAAATTTGCTCATGGCACACATATTCCTTTTCCAATAGTAGTGCTCTACATTCCCTAGTTTCCTGTGGGATATTTGATCATGTGTGAGTGGATGATGGTTATGTCCAAGCAAGAACATTTTCTTTGCAGGGGCAAGGAATACCATGGATGCCCAATATCAAGCTGAAGTTCAGTCATTGAATATCCAACTGGCAGAATTAAGGATGACTGTGGAAGGGTTGGAGAAGGAAAGAAACTTCTACTTTGGCAAATTGAGGGATATTGAATTGCTTTGCCAACAGCATGAAGAGGAAGATAATGAAGTTGTGAGACAGGTAAGAGATTCCTGTTGTAATATTTATCTTTTTATATATTTGTTCCTGTAAGATAGGTAGACTGTGAGGTTTCATTTTTGAATTACCTAATATTAATGCAATTTTTTTCCAATTGAATGGGGGAATATCTGCAGGATCTGACTGGAAAGTCCCAAATGGGCATGTTTCCAGCTGTGCTCAGTCCCATTCTGTAAATGCAGTGTATTCCATGCTATTCAGTGAGGATATGATATTTAAAAAAAAAGAACTTTAGTTTGGAAAATACCCTAGAGATATTTGAGAAGACTGTAATCTCAAGTTTAAAAAAATCACAATTGATTCCTTAAACATCTTTTAGTGCTAGTTGCCTTGGATCTTTTTTTGTTGTGAAATTGAATTCTGATCACATAGAACACTTGGTTGGCAGCCTCAGAAACTACCTTTCTGAAGGATGGTGATATCAGTATTTCTATGGGTGCTTTAAAATTCATACTTTAGCCACGATGTAAATAGCATGTCTGCATTTTTTCAATTTCAAGTAAATGGCATGAAAATTTTGTGGAAATATGATGACTTAGCAATATTAGACCATTCCCATTACAATTCTCTTCAGGATGCTTTCTTGGATGTTTTATACTGTGATGGCAATGCAAACTTCATTGAACTGAAAATCTGGCCCCTGCTCAAACAAAACCTCATTCTGGTAGATTATATTGTGTGGGAGTAATTGCAAAGAAAAACCTCTCCAAATACCTTGAACATCATCTCTTGAACATCTGTACACAATGAATGGAAATATATAACACTGGTTAACATAACATCCAGTTTTCATGAAAACAATTTTGCAATAACTTCCACTTTGGCAGAGTATGATGGACAACCCACACATTAGGAAGTATTTTTTCAAAATGAACATTGAAAGGTGGGCTTTTAGTCCCCATGGATAAGAATTTGACCTCCTAGTTGTTTATGCTCAATAAAGTCAATAAAAAATATAAAAGTCTCCTTTTTCTGGCTCCCCTGTAGATCAATGAAACTCTCATTTGATTTCTGCCCTGCCCTTTCTCCATCATTTGATGCTGTTGAATTTGTGGAAGCCCTGAATACCGTAAATGTAAATACTTCTAGCAAATAATGATATTTTTTTCAAGTGGCATTTAACAAATATACAGGGTGTCCACAAAATCCTTTATGTCTTCAAAATAGTATTACTCAGTATTGTACCAACTCTGTGAATGTTAACTATTCATGATGGATGGAGGAGGAATTTACGGGACTGCCATTTGTCATAATTAGGGCTGTCGTGATAGCAGTTTTCAAAACATCAATGCATCGGGACAGGGGGGGAGGTGCCAGAGGATTTGATCTTTTCTCACCTCAAACGGACGGAGGTTTGACTTCCATCATTTCTTGCCTCAATCGAGGCACAGTCCTCAATCTGTCTTCCATAACCTCACTCTTGTGGTCAGGGGGTACATGGGGAAGGTAACAAGTAATGAAACCTACCATGCCTCTAACTATCAAAGATGACATCCACTCATCGATGGAAGCATCAGGATAGCCCAATTTTTTGCTTCTTGCTGTTGAGAATCAGTTGCCAAGCCTGTTCACGTAATTTTTTCTTTTTCTTCGTTCTACACAGTTGTCTTTGGACATTAGCTCCGGCAGATGCTAAACCTGCTGATGGTGACACACCAGCAGTTGCTGAAACGGGTTGGTATCAGAAGAGCGAAATTCTGAAAGACGAACAAACGAGATGCAGAAAGCATGCTGAGTCTTCGAAAAAAGCGTTGAAAAGGCGAAGGAACGGAATGCAGACTAGTTAGAAAGTAGAAAGATTGGAAGATCAATAGACTCGGAAGACTGAATGCCATGGGCTGAAACTGGTTATATTTACCAGACTTCTCCCTCCGCACAAAGGTCTGCATGGGTCTAGGATACAAGTTCCAAGGCACTCGACTCTCCAGGTGGTAAACGATGGAGGCTCAGGTGACCCTCAAGTCTAGGAAATGGGGTAAAGTGCAAGAGAGTGGCCTGGCCTGTTGCTACGTTGAAGATGAAGAATTTGCGTTGAAAATTCAGATGCTGACCTGCCTTGCATTCGTAACTTTGGATGACATCAGCAAGGTGTTCCATGAGTTGCTCCTCGAAACCATGCCAGATATTGCCAGTCCAATTATGACATATTTTCGAGAGGCTTACATTGATGGCAGAAGGTCACGCGGAAGGACCCGAACTTCTCCGCTCTATAAACTTGCCTTATGGAATGTTCATCAGCATACTCTGGTGGGAGACCCTTGTACAACAAATTCAATTGAAGCATGGCACAGGTGAACGTCTTGCATGCTTACCGATCATATGAATATTTTCACCTTCATTCAGCGGCTCCAGGAAGAACAAGCAGTAACGGAACAGAAAATCGAAGCCGGAAACACCATTCGGAAAAAACGACAGACATCAAGAAAGACGAGCGGATACTCGAGCGAAGAGTATGGCAACCACCCGAACATGTCCTTCCTAAGAGGGTTGGCACACAATATTGCCCTGTGATTTTCCTCCTGAAGTTCACTTGACCACCTCTTGAAATTCATATGACTAACTTTTTGACTTGAGATGACTTGAAATTTCTACATTTCTACATTCAGCATGTCATTCGATCTTCCGTACCTTCGAGATTGAATTTGACATTCAAAATAAAAGTTCCCCATTCGGTATTCCGTGCCTTTCGATAAAAAATTCTACTTTCCGTCCTTTCACTCTTGGATGGATTCTGCATTTAGTTCCTTCTGTCCTCCAACCTTTCGAACTAATGTATTTCGACCATTAGATGCAGATTGGCCGAAACATTGGTACAGCCCTAGAAGCAACATTCATGTAAAAAAATTCACTTTGGATTCACCTTAAGTAAAGAGAAAAAATGCCCCAGGGCAAGTTAAAATGATTAATGAAAAAAAAAGCTTGAGGCTACAGGAATATAGAGGGGGAAACCAATGCATGTTTCGAAATCAAGGGAGTATAATAGCAGTCCACTTTCGCTGATGAAGATTGAGCCGAAAACATCGATACCTCCAACCATAGTGGTATAGATAGTTGATAGATCGATGCATTGATCTATCGTGACAGCCCCAATCATAATAAACAATTTCTTTTGATCTCTTCATTTAGGTGAGAGGGGTCAGATTAGACCCTAATGGAAACCTTGAAAATTGCTTCCACACTTTAACACATCCTTGGAAAGCCACCATGGATTTATTACACATTCACCATGTTGCATTAATATGGTTCCTGTTGCAGGTTTTTGCCATCATGTATGCAACAGAAGAAGGTTTTGAAGTCCCTGCTGATGAAGATGCCAACGCCTTTTCACCGACTGGTGGTGCTCCTGAAGAGTATTGAAGGATTCTGTCAACAGTTTGAAAGTTCCACATCCCAATTGGGATGACTCAAGAACTGAGAAATCCTGCTTGATCCATGTCATCTCCTCTCATCCTTTTTCTGTCCTACTTTTCTTCTTTATCTTCCCCTTGAAGTTCCTTCTTTTGTGATACAAATGGGATGAAATGGAAAATCTCAAATCGACTCTCCTGGCATTCTGATTTTCAGCTTTTGCGACTTTACTTCTCATCTACAGCCTGCACTTAGTGGGTTTTAAAAAACTGTGCATTCTACATTGGATGCCATTGCTTTTTTAATTGAATAAATTCTAGGCTGAAAGTTTAATTTTTTCATTTTCAGTAACCTTTAGCATAATTACCACAATTTTATACGGGAGCAGAACCGCTCAGTCTGTTGATAGCTGCCTGTCTTTCTAGAGGTTGCTATCATCATTCATCGAAAATGGAGCATGTGATCAGAAGTTTATTCAATGAAAATCAGCATCAAAGATGGGATGGATGATGATTACAATGGTGGTAACAATCAGGTGATGACAAGCCATAGTAGGAGCCACTACATCTACAATGTGCTTCCTTGCACTGAAATCAGTTGTTCCAAAGATGATTGGAAATCTCTAGAACTTTGCTCCTCCTCCCTCCAAGCTTCAAGTTCAAATTGCAAGTATAATAGAAAACTAATTTTGCATTTTATAGGATTTCCTTGATGTGAGGAAGTGTTTCTCACAGAAATGACACTTCAGGGATACACTAAACAATCACATCTGCCTTCCCAACATCTTCAAATGTAATAAAAAATCCCCTTTCACAGTTGAGGCAATTGCAGGACCAACTTGTCACCTAAAGTTGCTCCCACAATCTCTACACTTTGCCCAATTGGCAAAGCCAAATGGTTGTGCTATTATTAATATCAGCTCACTCTTGTGAATGTTACATTTTCATTCCACCCCATCCCCCATACTACATTTGGCTGGGCCTGGGGGCACAGAAGACCCTAGCTATGCCACCAAGTGGGTATGGTATGGGTATACAGGGTGTTTGTATTTAAACGCAACATGGATAAATTTTTGCCGCCTGTTTGTGGAATTCAGGGTGTGCCTTTCAGCTCACCGGGTTGCATATCTGGAAGGATTAAACCTATCCCTGGTGTGTTTCCTTGCAGATATGCAACCTGGTGGTCCTTTTAACATTTGCCGAACTCCACCAACAGGCAGCAAAATATTTCCTATATTGCGTTTAAATACAAACACCCTGTATATCTGTCATGGTGAAATGCTTCCCTGGGGGATGGGGGGGGTTTGGCATTTTTTCCCCCCATCTTGTTGTATTTCGAGTTTGAGTTAAACATGAATTCAAAACTCAAAATAGTAGCATAAACTTGAGAAAGTTGCCTTTCATTTCTTTCTTCAAAGCATTTCTTACATAAACACCAATTGTTACTCTCGAAAATCATTTCTGACTCTGGCGGTAAAAATTCTGCCTGAGAAATTCCCTACTATAAGGGGTTAAAGGAAAGGATAGGATAGCTGGAGCTTCCAATTGGCAATATAAGAAAAATCTTGTTGCAATTATATGCAAGTGCAAAACACTTTTTTTCTACAGCTGCTCAGAGGTAATAGGCACCTTCATTGCCTGTCTTTCTCATTTTACTAAACCAGTCATTAGGAACATAAGATCCTGATTTCTGCATGAAGCGTCTGGTTGCACTTTGCCGAGAGGACGGGCACTTAAGGCACTTCAGAATTCAATCAAATTTTTATCCTCCTTTCTTTCCTATTGAATTGCAACCATTTTGAGTTTCACAGATAGCTTTTCCACATTATACAGATTCTACTGACAGACTCAAGCAATATTTATTTATAAATATTTGAGTCTTGGGTTCTACACTGTTATACAAAAGCAAAAGGTCCATGACCAAAGAAAACAGCAATTTGTGCGCTCATGCAGCTGATTTTTCTAGCCTGGGTAGCCATAAGAGTCTGTATATAGCTATCAACATCAATGAGCCTATTGAAGCATGGGAATGTACCCAATCCCTATTGAAGAGCTTTTGAAAGTGATGTCCAGACTTTTCCACGGTTATAAAAGTTGTCCTTAAGACATAGCGGGAATGTTGCAATACTTCCTTTAGCATTATTTTCTTCAATAGGATTGTTCATTGACATTGTGAGATAGCACAGGATATAGCTATGACGTGCTGGTCTTGCAAGTCGGTAAAGGTACAGATGAATCTCGTATTTTTAAAAACATGCCGTGTTGTGTTTCTGACAATACCCATTTTTGCCCTTACATGATGGGACTTTTCCATCAAAAGTGGCTTTGACACTACACAGCACTCCTGCCTGCAAAAGGTGAAAAGGAACCTCTTTTTGGGAGCACCCAACCTGTAGCCTGTGTGCAGAGGGCATCCATTTCAGGTGCATAGCTACCAGACATTTCTCTTCAATGCCAACCTCTGGAATGATCTAAACCACTTTTTCTTAGTTTTAGAGAATTTAAATAATGAAAACTGTACCAAGAAAGTGATGCCAGAAAGCTGAAATTTTTGTACCCCCATAAAAATTCAATGAGGGCATAATTGGTATGTACAGCTATTCTGGTTAGAGATCTGAACATGGGCTTTCAAAAATCAACAGAATCTTGGCTGGATACATCCTTAACAAAACAGTCCTTCCAGGATCTTCTGCCACAGTAAGGATAGCATCACTTTCTCTGCTTTTAAATGTAGTCATCTTCCATTAAATGTTACTATTGCAATTACAAACATTATGACAGTCTCATCACAAAATTGAATGAAAATTCTGTTTTGGAACCAACAGTCATGATCAAGATAACAATCTCTGGTTCCATACTATTAAGTGAGTCTATATACACATCAGCCTTTATTTTGAGTTCTCAAAAACACCACTCACTCAATGAGTCTATTTTTTAACCTGAAAAATCAAAGTTTTATATAATTTCTTGAGCACAAAGGGCATGTGCATGGGGACAAGCATTGAAGAAAACTTGTAACAGAGAGCATTCATTAGAAGCTCAAGTACATTAACCTGTTACAAGACCTTGAACTGACATACCTCAGGTGCTCCCTCCATGTCAAGGATTTTCTGTTGCAAAAATCTTGCAATCCACAATTGAGGGAGTAACACCTGAATATCACCAGTCAAAACCTTTTCGGGCCATCACTGCTTTTTGGCTACAACAAATTTATTTATTTTTTTACCAGATAACCACTGTCTTATGGCCATCAACAAAATATTTAATGATGGAGATCAGTATTAGAAAAGAAAGCTCCAATATATGATTACCATTATGTCACAGGTACTGCTACTGTTACCATTACACAGCCCAGGCATTAGCACATTCTATTGAAAGTTGAGCATTATGGCATGCTGTGGCAAGTGTAGTACTCAAACGTTCACTCTGTATAATGTTTACAGTTTAATAAACCATTGTCAATCATGGAAACTGCAGTTCTAAGGCAATGCTTCATCGAGTGGCTAACAGAGTGCATCCTCATGAACTTGGGAAGAATGTGAGATACAAATAAGAAGGCACTTATCATTTCCAAACCTCAAAAGTTTGATAAATAACTCATCTTGATCACCCTGGAATAACATCAACAAATGGGAGGCAACCCAAAAAAAATTTCCAAGAAATTCCAATTTTCATAGAGGAAAGATGGGGGATGAGAAAGAATAGAAGAGGGTCAAGTCATGAGATCTTTGTCAAAGGAACATCTGGAATCACACTCCACGATTAGGAAGGTCCTTCACTTTATAAATGCGAACAATCCAATGCTCAGTTGTGTAGGCCTCTTCTAATACATCCAATTCAAAATCTTTGTTACCGATTTCTGCATTTCTCACTCGATCATAGCCAGGTGGTTTCCCTGCAAATCAAAAAGGGGTGACTCACGTGAACAGATTCACAAATAAAAAATTTAGAAAGTCCAGTTCACTTTGGAATAGAGATGGAACTGAACATAGGATCTATAAATCCAGTCACAGTTGAAATGGAAAAATGGGACTGACTTCAGTTTTAAGGTAGGCCAGAGTAAGCATGGCAGGGGAGAGGAAATTGGGTTGTCATTCCATCCCCCACCAAGGATATTTACAAGAAAAATGTTTTGAAAATTACTTGGTACATTCATTAAGGTACCCTTTGATTAATGATTGTCTGTACCATTGGACCAAGTAGAATAATTCTCCTGATTAAAATTGCCAAATATGGCAAAAACCAACTTCTTACAAGTTCTCTACTCCTATCACTAAATGTTCTTGGTTCTACCATATTAGTTGTATAAATGGGAAGGTAAAATTCAATTAACTCAAAAGAGTAGAACAATGGTTCTTTTTGTAGGAGCATGAAAAATGGAAAATGGACTTCTTTAAGCTGGAATAAAAAGGGGACCTTACTTGCCTCCATAATCCTTCAGACTTGTGCTTTCTTACAGTGACAACTAGTGTGACAACATTCAAAACAATGGTTAGCTACTAGAAAATAACTGATCAAGGTGCTGGGCATAGCAGTAACTCAAAAAGCAGTAAGGAAAGGGCTCAGAATTTATTTTCCATTTTTATTTTTTGTGACGACAGTAGTAGCCAAAACATTTTTTGTGCAACCCTCCCCCTTGGAATATAATGATGTCTGTCTTGTCATGCTTGCCCCATAGCATTACATTTCAAGGGCACCAAATTTTTGGGGGGGAAATATATTCCAAAGGGTTTATCAATTCAGAAAACTTGTCCTAGCGAAGGGTCTGACAGGTGAGATTAGATCTGTGTGATAGGCTGGAAGGAGGAAAGTTAGCTGTACTGATTTTGTAGCGATGTGCATTCTGTGATAAGTCACAAGTTATAGTTGATAGATGGAGTTCACTCCTTACCCAAGAAACAAGACACTGCTAATTCTGATGATTCTTAGGTGGCTCAAACAATGACATGAGCCAAACTAGGAGAAGATCATGAAGCTGGAATATATAATGCAAGAAACTTACCAGCTTCAGTATACATGCTGCCAAACCTATAGTAAGACATCTTATACATGAGGCAATTGAGAAGCTTTGGAGAACCCTCTTTGTCAACACGGAATTCCCCCTGGGGTGTGTAGTAGTCCCATTCCTTGATGTGCTGACCTCTGTCTGTGCTCCCACCAATACGTACCATCCAAAGGAACTTGTTGATGTCTAGAAGAGGATAACATGACATGCCAGTAACTTTTTCTTTCATAAATAATGCCATAATGAAACATATCAACTATTGCCTCCAGATCCTAAATGAAAGAAGTGGCATAACAGAGTTTGGTAAATATTATGCATAGGGCTGCCTTATATTGGTTTAAAAGAAATTCCACAGGAAGTCCACATGCAATGACAGGAATGTTGTTGGTTTTAACTTGATACTAGGTCATGACTTTGGGGAATTTCCTATGGAATGATCCTCCTTCCTTTCCCAAGAAAAAGGGCCAAGGACAATAAGCATGTTAAGGGGGGTCACAGGGTGTTGCCATTGAGGTTTGGTGATACCAGTCTTATTTCTCCCTTTCTGGTTGCAGAAGCCTCATTAAGAATTTAGGGTAGAGCCACATCATAATCCATGCCATCTCCTGCTACTTCTTAGGCCTACTGGCTAGGGAGCATCACACTTCAAGGAAACTTTCCCCATTTAGTTTTCCTTCCATCAAACCTGCCCCATGTAGCTTAGTAATCCAGGGCCCAAGCTTAAATGAAGCTCCCATATATACGTATCCTTCATCAATCGTGCAGTTTTATCTTCTGTAATCAGCCATTCATGTGTATCAGAGTAATCAGGTAGGGGCAGTATGAAGCTGGAAAACAATATAACAATATACACACATATCACAAATAGGATCAATATTGATAGATATAAAATCAGCACAGCCTTAATTAAACATGTCATTTACCATATTGACTCCAAAAAAAATTCAAGGCCAATTTCTTGAGTACATTTCCAGCAAAGCAGATATTAATTTGCAAATTTATTTAAAGAAAACTTGTGTTCTCATCTCTTTGAGGGCACTGCTTTAGGGTCATGATTCTCCTTGTAAGTTACAGGTTAATTTTTTTCAGAAGTTTGGGATTTTAAACCAGCTGGCATTTTCCACCTCACATAACCACTGCTACTTATTTGATTTTTTCACAGCAAAAATTTCCAATTATGAAGATTAACCCTTGAAATGCTGTTATGACCACATCTGTCACACAAACAAAACCTTCCAGCTAAGTAATTCAGCATTACAAGTGTTAAAGGACTTCTCTACAACATATAGTTCATTATACTCACTGTCTATGAATCTCAGGAACTATCAAGGAGTCAAAAGTGCCTCACAAGCAAGCTTGAGATTTGTTCTTGTAATCAATGTCAGCAATCTTTCCATAGGACACTTATAAGGAAAAAGAAACTTCCTTACTCACAATAAATACAGGGTGTCCATAAAGTGACTACCTATGGGCAACTTTTTCATACTGAATCTATGGGAACTAACTTTTTCATTTTTGTAGGCTGTTTATCATTAGACCTCGAAATGGTGTCACACTCTATTGTCACTGAAAATTCATTTACCAAACCCTTGTTTCAATTACAAGTTCAGACATATGGAGTGCAGCATTCTGAATTGTCACCCAGGGCAAATGACCTCCATGATCTCTGGATTTTGATCCCTAGGTTTTTTTATATCTCTGGAGTCACTTAAGCCTTTGAGGAGCAAGTTTTCTTCAACCTTTCAGGAGTATGGATATACCAGTATGTTCATGCTCCTCAAAGGGTTAAAAGGCATTGTTTACAAGGACAAGCCCACAGATCTGAACAACCTGAAAGAGAATAAGTCATATCTATAATGCCAGTAGCCAGAAAAGTGATAGAATTCTCATGGAAGGAACAATACAACTGCGAGAGCTCAGAAATGTCTGGAAATTGGTGGTCAACACATTGAGCCAATTTGTCAAGTAAATTCCTAATTTTTATGATTTTGAATTCCCAAAATGCTCTATTATTCAATTAATACTGTGATAACTGCAAGAAGTTGTTGCAATAGGGTGGAACAACAAAAATGTCCTCAAATCATTGTCTGAATTTCTCCTCCATTCAAATGAATTTTTAAAATCATGAAACACCAGATGTGGAAAATTAATCCTCAGCCATGCCAAAATGGAAGGATAAAAAGATCTGACACTATTTGGAGGTCGGTAAGTTGTCAGTCTACAAAAGTAAAGAAAATGGCTACTTCAGGGTATATAATAAAAAAGCTACTCAAAGGTAGTCACTTTACAGACACCCTGTATGTAAACATCACCTAACCAATAGAAAGCCATTGCCTCCTGTGTAGAAATTCCATCTGAAAAACTTTTCAAGAAATTTTGAGGCAGCATGCAAGCTGGTGAAGGCATTTTCACAAAAGACAACAACAAAGCCTACTTTTGAGATGTGCTTACACATGCTAGTAAAATCACATGGAAGTTATTTACATGATATCATCAAGCATTAATGCAAGATTGCAACGCAAAGAAAACTCTACTTCAAGGAAGCACTCTCACAAACAGATCAGTGAGAAGAATCCCTCATGTAAGTCACTTTCTGGCATTTGTAAGCAGACTCATGCAAATAATGGATCTCTAAGCAGATCTCTACCTGGATATTTGCCTAACTTCCTTTAATATCTAGCCATCACATTGAGCTTATAGTAAGCCTGAACAAGAAAATCAAGTTAATGTAGGTACATCCCTTTGCAGGTGTGAGACAGTCCATGTATATGCTGTGACCTTGAATAAAAAAGAGAGGCCCCATTCAACATTATTTACAACACTATCTCGAATAGAACAGCAAATATGAATATACAAATGGGGTAACCTAAATGCTTCTGCCCTGAGTTACAAAAGAAAACGTGCTAGACTTGTGAAGCAAAATTTTTTTTACAGCATTACCTCTCTGGACATCAACAATAGTGCCACTGATAAGACAGGGCTTCAATTCCGTGGGGAAATGTCCTTTTTCATAGTTGTCTAAAAATGCTATGACAGGTGAATTGAATTCATTTTCACCTTCATAGCTGCTTCAAAGGAAGTTTTGTTTTATATTGTACAGGATTAAATGAGTGGTTTCATTTCGATAAATAAAATGATATCAAATAAAATGGTTTTCCTTTAAAAAAAAAATTGCATCACTTCTCCGTATTCAAGTTTTGCCACTTTGAAATAATAAACAAATAAATATTATTTGGCTGGAGCAGAAAAAAAAAATTATTTAGGTATTGAAGAAGAAATGCAGTTAAAAACAATACAGGGTGATTCATAAGTCAGGTTACATAGGGAATGTCTTTATTCTGGGTGCTTCCGGTTAAACTCCTCAGCGATATGTCTGTAATTGCCATTAGCCGCCAACAACACCACCTCAATATGTTCTTCAATTGACAAAGACATCACTGCAAGCATTCACACACCTGCAACAATAATAAGGATTACCCCTATGTAACCTGACTTATGAATCACCCTGTAGTTAGTAATTGAAATTACCAAACAGGGGGAAGGCATTGGGGAACCAACTTTTGGCCTTCTCCAATCAATTCTACTACCTCAGGGCAGAAGCTTTTTGGATCATCCCTCATACTACTCATACTATATGGTGGCCCAGAAGTAATAGGGCAGTTAGTGGTACAATCAGCAGTCACTACAATTTTTTTATTATTTTATAATTTTATTTATTTATTATAATTTTGATTTTTAATTGTTTTTATTTTTATTTTAGAATCACTAAGTATTAAGTTTTGCAAATAAAAATTGTAGTGACTGCAGATTGTACCACTAACTGCCCTATTACTTCTGGGTCACCCTGTATATAGAAAAGGGCAGATAACTCTTTACCCTACATGGTTAATGTGTGAGAAAAACTAGACAATCATTATGTTACAGGGGATTCCAGAAACTTAAATTGCTATGAAGATTTATTATTGGAATCTCTTCCAATCAGTTCCTATACATTGGAGGGTGACATGCTATTTGAAATCTGAAACCTGGATGAGTCACTAAAAAAAAATGTGATAAAGTATATCAACATTGCACAGCCTAAGTAGCCAGAAATAACACCTCCCCAAGCCCTTTTGTTCTGCAAGGATATAAGAATAAATTTTCAATGCAAAGGGTAGATGAGTGCTTTTGGTCACCTTCACAAAATGTGCAATTTGGGGAAACTATAGTATTAATACTATAGTGTGTCCCATATGTCTAACTAATTTTATGCTCTAAATCTTTTTTATGTTTTGCAAGTCTAAACAACTTCAACTATCTAGATAAAGATATCTAAAGATATCTAAATAACTAGAAATTTTTTACCACTCTTTATTTGCATTAAATAAAGAGTGGTAAAAAATTTCTGCCTCATAGGGATTTATTTTCTGAGTTTGTAATTTGGTCCATGACATTGACCAGTTGAAAGACAACATTTGCAAAGCTTGTACTGTTGTCACTGGAGAGACCCTTGTACATGTGCACGACATCTGTCAATCCCTTAATAGTAACCACATGATAGTAACCAAATGATGAACCACAGATTAGTTGACTGCTCAAATCATTAGACTCTGTAGATGTTGAGGAAGGCCTTTGCACATGGCCCAAAGAAGTTGGAAAATGTCACTTCTGGAGTTGATTATTGCATTCTTGTTTAAAAAAATTGAGAACAATTGTGAGTTTTCTCAGATAAAAAATTACTCATGGGTTGTTAGGGCAAACACAATTTTCACAAAGTATGAAATAAATACCAATTCTGTATTTAAAATAAAAATAAAAATATTAAAAATAAAGTAAGCAGGACAGGTAGGTGGCACAGGTGCCTGTGTCAGGCAAGAGTCCCAACAGTTACCTGGAAAACTAATCAATCTTTTCTAGCCATTTTCATGATACAAAATTCCCTTCCCCAGTTTCTCAAGTAAAAAAAATTTAGGATTATGTGAAAATAGGCAAATTTTCCATTTTTGTTCCAGTATTCTTTATTCTATACATCTATTGCATTTAGAAGCATACAACTGAGACAATGTCGATTATACTAGTAACTGAGGGTGAGCAAGTTTCCTAGTAGTGCATATCCAGCCAAGTGATCAACAGTCAGGATTCTGGCCTTCATGACTTCTTCAGAGATAAAAAATTTGATCAGATAAAACAAAAAAAAAGAAAAATTGAGCTTTTATCTCTGGATGAGTCCAAGAGGAAATAAATAATTATGTGTACCTAATGATACCTTTTCAAAATGGCCAATAAGGACTCTCTACTTCAAAGTGTAAATTCATTTTGGACCAGTTCAGTCCTGTAAAGTTGGTCAACCATTGCAATACGTCATGTGTTGCATTTGAGAATTTCTCCTGGTTTGCCAGCTCATTTCTTTTTAAGCCCCTGTCTCATTGAAATCACTAGAAGGTTAATGTATCCAGCAACTTGACTTATTATTATTAGAGCTAAACTCTGTATTTACAATAGGAATCATGAGAAACACAATATTATAAACTGTATCCTCAATGACAACTAAAAGAATGCCAAGTGGACACTCACCATCAGAAGAATATCCAGTAAGTCCTCCAAAAATGACTAGGACATAATCTACATCAAGCTCTCGCATGATTTCATATGCCTTGTCTTCTGGGGAAGCCATGGCTTGACCCACACGTGAGATGTGAGTGTTATTCCAGGTATTGTTGTCAACCAATATTGTGCGATTCGCCATGGCTGTAATCTGATACCCATAGTCCCACCAGGACATCACTTTGGCATCCTGCAAAAATTAGCTCTTATAGATTTAAACCAATTTCACCATAACATGCAATGATCAAGCTAGAGAAGCATAAGTCATTATTTGCAATTAAGTGTCAACAAATGAAAAACTTTTCTATGCATCCAAAACTATTCTTCCTATGCATGAATGAATTAGTCTAAAGATCTCAGAATCTAAGACATTGCCCTATCAGAACTTTCCAAAGCATCATGGCATGTTTTCAACATTCTGAAGAAAGCATGTGAACTTTAATGGCTATAGGGCTTTTATTATCAGAAATGAATCTTTAACACGGTCCTTTGAATGTCATCCAAAGAACTTTTCTTTCTCCTCTCTTGACATGTTTCAGCACCTAGCTGAAAGCTTTTCACCACCAAAACATCCACCAGAAATCACAGAAAAACAGCTATCTTGACTTGCAGAACAAGCTCTGAAGAAGACTGTGGCAAAGCCTCTCACCTCAGGGGTATTCTGTCGTAGCCAGTAGTAGGCTTCTCGAAAGTCATCAAAGATGATACGAGACCCATCATGGGCTCGGGCCCCAAGAACAATGGAAGGGGATGAGTATGCCTCACTTGTAACCCATGTACAATGCATTGTGTATGTAAAGAACATCACCATCATAATTCCCAGGAATCCATAAGCAATCTGCCAAGACAGACACAGGAACTCTTCACTGATTAGAACATCATAGAAGCTAAATGAAAATGAAAACATTTAAGTCTTTCTCTCATGGAACATATAAAACTAAAGATTCAGAAAAAGTCTTTTTTTGAGCCCAAGTTCTTCTACTGACAATGCATAGAGGGAGCTAGCACTAGAAAGAGTCATCTTTATATCTGGCTCCATAAGAAATTAGGAATACAGTAACTGTATTTACTTCAAATCCAATGCAACAGACAAGAGTAACATCTTTCATAAAAGCCACTTTCATACATATTCTTTGTCAATCTGATCCTCCCATAAGATTTTATTTGAAAAGTCACCCTAAAGAGTAAGAAAAGCTACTTCATGGATTGATCAAGCCACATTTCATCGAAAAACATACTTTTTTTTTTTCAAAGAAAAATCTGAACTTGAAATACTGTTCAACCAATAAAAGCAAATCTACTTTAGGGAGAAGACAGTCAATGGCCACACCATCCACAATGCAAATAAACTCTAGCCATCTCTAACAAGAAGCCCATCCTGCAAAACTGGCTGAAGTCCCACGTCTGAGCCAAATTCCCCAAGGTTTATTCCAACGATATTTCTGCGAGTTCTTCAATGCTATTAGGCACAGACTACAGTGCAACATTATGCAGCAACAAAAGAGAGCAACAAACACTTATATACAAATGTAATATACAAGAAATATGAAACTGCAATCCTTTTCCCAGTTCATGTCTTATGATTAAAAACTGCTGCTATCCTTGAAACATGTCGGCCACATGCCTCTCAAAGAAAAAAAGAAAGAAACTACAAATGAAAGTATATTCCAGAGCAGTAGTCATAAACCTTCCCTAGTCATGGATCATAAAAGAATATGATCCAGACCGGTAAGAATAGAAAACTCACCTCAGTTCTCATGAAGTAGTTCCCTTCCCCCTTCTTCACCTTCTTCTCAGATGCAGAGACAGAGGGAATCGCATCCAGATTCTTGACATAATTAGAAAGCATGGAGGATGCAGCAATCCCAGAAAGGATGCACATGACAGGAGCCAAGACTAGCATCAGTCGCACCATCACGCCCTATCAATCCAGATACATCTATGTTCATGATGGAATTCAAGAATAGAATGAAAATGGTTTGCCCCAGAGAGTTCATTAAATTTCTACAGAAATGAATGAAGAAAATTCCAGAACAACTTACAGCAAAATATATGGCAGTAATGCCATACAAAATTATGAATATGTTGGCATCAGTGAGCTTTGTGAAGCAGAAGTAAATCCCAACAGGGAAGAGAAAGACCATAATCTGGAGGTCAAAGTAGAAGGATGACCAAGTTGTTGGTTGATGCTCTGACACACTAGCAATGATGGGAATGTTGTTCTTGGCATATGATGGATCCAGTAGTGAATAAAAGCGACCAGTCCAAGGGGAGATTTTCCCTGGCGTTAAAATCACAAAAACATATAAAAAGACAGGGATTTAATATGTTGCAGAGAGCAGGGAAAACCAATATATCAGATAGAAGCACTTCTAAAATAATCATTCAAAATGACCAAAAACTGCTGTCTAACACTGATACAAACAATCAGTTCTGACAAAAGCTAAAATATCACAAAAGTCACTTGACACTTCATAATGAATCAGCAATAATTTAAGACTTCTAATGTGGATTTCACGATGTGCCCTTGAGGTGTTCCCATAGAAAAAAAAAAACAAATGGGGAGATAAAGTGAATGAAGTAGTCATTCTATTATTCTTCTGCATTCTTTCAATACCTCAGAGCATGTTTTGATTATCTGGCAATGCGAGGGGTGTAGGGGACACCAGTCAATCTGAAGCCTAACATCCATATCATAAGGTTCTACAAATTCTAATTTTAATGCAGAACCAAGAGGTGGATAAGCTTCAGTGGAACAATGAACTTCTTACATTGCTCAATAAATCTCCCTCATTCTACTAGAAATCATGGGGGGGGGTATATGCACCCCATTCACTGATTCTGCAGCAGAGGCACTCTAGATGCAGCTAGTCACAGTTCAGTCAATGACAAGACAACATAGCAAACAAAATGTTATATGGTTAAAGGTTGGTCACTAGATCCAAGGATCCACTAGATCCATGGATGGGACACCATCCATGCCAAGTTTAAGTCATATGCCAGTCAAAAATGCTGATGGAAATTTCTATATTTAATGCTTCAAAACAAGGGTAAGATAATTAATATATGCTCATATAACAACATGATAAAGAAGTATGTCAAACAGAAGCTGCAAAAAATCCTATATTATATGATACAACTACTTCAGAAAAATGAGTTTGGGCCTACCTGTGATGGAAAGGATCATGACAAAGAGTCCACCCAAGGCAAGAACACCCATGATGAGGGATCGGAAGAGAACACTGAACTGTTCTTTTGACAGTTTGCTTCTCACATAGTCTAAAAATGCATGCAACTGCACCAACCCGAACACTCCAAAAGCCTACAAGTAACAGTGACACCACTTCAAGCCACTTGTAAATCTGAAGCTATCTACTCCATGGAGCTCATGACTAGGTTGTTCAACCAATAATGCAAACAAAATGAAAGATCCAGAGAAATGTACTTACAGCAAGATGCTCTGAGCTCTGAACTGGCTGGAACCCAACAAATGGGATTTGCATGGAGAGAATTGTTCCCAGGATGTAGAGGACAGAATAAGCAACATAAATGCGCTGAGAGAATCTTCCAGTGACCATCAAGGCAAGGACATGTATGGGTATGAGGTTCATGAGGAATACATATCCTCCCCATGATGAAACCTACATCCAAATTGAAGAATTAATGGCAAAAAACCCTAAGTTCTTTTGATCTCATTTAGTACTATTACCAGAATATGCACAATGTATATAATCTGTCAAGAAAACCTGTCACTTATTTTGTTTGACTGGATGAATATTTCATAAAGAGATATGCAAATTTGTAGCTCACATACCCTACCTTACTTTTTTGTTAGTTTATCTATGTGCAATCCATTTCAACTGCCCACTCCATTTATAAAGTCATTTCACAGAGCCCCCAAAGTCAAAGAAAAATGCAGGACATATGCAAACTTTCTATTCCATTAAAAAGTTACCCTTTCAACCTCTTAGCCAATATCCTCAAAGTCCTGCAGGTCACATTTATGACCCATCAATTTGTATTTGTAATAAAAAGAGCAGTCACTTCAATAACTCTTGCTGGCAAATTAGCAAAAACCATTAAGATATTGACAATTACAAAATAGTTAAAACTACTCCATATTAGGGTTACTATAAAAAGAAGCCAAACAAAATACAGTTCATTTAATACCATCTCCAAAATGGCAGATTTTGCACTGATGATCCTTGGGCATTATGAAAATACGTCTCCTACAACTATTGGTGACTGAAGGTCTGCACAACCCAGAAAGCACTGGCTTTAAAATCATAAGGGCAAATGGCACCCAACTTTTCTCAGACAAGGGAACAAAAGCTTCACCTTTGACAAAGCTCATGATGGGTTTCTCAATTTCAAGCTTTGCTTTGGCTTAATTGAGATTTTCTGAATTGCAGAAGCATATTGCATTGATCAGTCAACATGGTACCAGTTTTCTAACCCTACCATTTGCTTTTGAGTCAAGAAACATAGCATGAGAAAAACTGGAACAATGGAAAGAATGCCAGCATGATTAAGATTGCATTTGTGAAAGGACCTTTGATATTTGTGGTCTGGAGGGGCAAATAAGTTAAAAACCTCAATAAATGAAAAAAAAAATAAGACAAGGCATCGAGCAACATGATCAGCTGCCTTGGATGAATGCTTGAGATGTAAAATGCATCCTTAAACTGGAAAAAGTTGGTTTTTTTTTTCATTTACAGACTATGTCAAAGGGTCTTTTAGATGAGATAAATTCTTACCATGTAGAAGTAAGCAAGGGCAGCCATGACAGACCAGAAAAGAGATCCTGTCTTAACAGACTTTATCCACAAGTAGTAGGTGAGGAGCATGCAAAAGATTGCAATTCCTTCATTGTCATAGGAACCAGCAACAGAACGGGATATATAGCCCGGAACTATTGCGATAAAAACAGCTGCCGTCAGTCCAGCTCCTGAATCCTGAAAAACAGCAGTCAATTAGCTCTCAATAGCAATTACAACTCATAATACATCAGCATAACCATTGATGGTACAATGAAGCATTACAATCCATTAGCAGGCTGCAAAGTGAAGTGCCAGTATCAAAGTATGCAGGTGCATACATAATGTGTAAGTGATGGGACACCATAGAGCCCAGAAAACAAATGCAAGAGAAGTGGCTGAACTATATTTACTCCTCAATCTGCCAGTAATTGCTTCCATTCTCTCACTGCAAAATACTGCAGCATAGTACAGAATGAATAGCTCATCATGCATGGCTCTAAACCCAGCAACATGTCCTCTTCTGAGATCACCATCAACAGTTCATGTTGATGGATCATTGTTTTCAAAATCACAATCATACCCTCATAGTGATACTCAGCAATGAAACACACTGATCTATTTCATATAGAGAGGGGATTAACCAATGTACGTTTCGAAATCAAGGGAGTATAAGAACAGTCCACTTCCGGAGCATGCACCTGATGAGATCGAGCCGGAGACTGAAACTGACGATTAAAAAAAATATTCTATGGCATCCCCCCTTCTCCTTTCCCACTTCCTGTCTCTGATCCGACTTTTTTTTCCCCTTCCCGTCTTTCATATAGTCAGTCCCAGCATTTCCAGAATTTGATTGTGATGAGAAATTCCAAGCCCATGCAGGTCACGCCACTTCTTCCTTTCCCCGCCCAGACAGACTGTATTGTAGGTACAGCACTTGCCTCAATCCAATGGGACATTTCCCCTTTAAAATATTTTGCCGATGCATTGGGATGGTCGAAAAAAATATCAATATCTCCAACTATCAATAGTGGTATCGATGCATCTATCTATTGTGACAGCCCTAGTTACAAGCTGTTGAACTGCTTGCCAGCTTTTTTCAGCATCCCTGCCTAAGTCATGCAATGCCCATTTATAGGTGAATTAAAGGCATTTAGAGGTGGATCATTCCACCTCAAGTGGAGTGATTACCTGTGCTCAACCAACTGAGAATTCAATAAATTTTTCAATGGTAACTTTTCAAGGGACATTTGGATCCAGTTGATACTTGACAGAGAGGTTCATGAGTCTACAGGGGTTTTTTCACTTCTGCAAGATGGCGTTGTGTCCCGATGGTCGCTGTCGACCAGGTGACTGAGGGTGATTTAAAAAGGTTTAATTAATTCTTCAGCTATAAACTATGTAATACATGGCTCAAAGAATTGTTCAGAAAAAAAATCAAGACACTCTTTTCTAAACCTATATGTCCAATAAAGAGTTTATGAATCTCATATTTTTTACTCGAATGCATGAATCGTACTTTCTCTCCTTTGAAAGCAGTGGAACTTTTTTTTTTTTTAACCCCTTCCTTGCTGAGTTATAGCTGTTCAAAGTCATCCTGTGACTTTTGACTCACCCAGTACTTCCAGATTTGTTGTTCTCGCTGCTATATATACCCCCACTTTGACCGTATAGAACTTTTGAGAAAATCACTCTTGAAACTTCTGGAAATATAATTCTGGAAAGTTCCTGGGTTTGGCAATTTTTTTCTGCACTCCACTCCATTAAGTTTTTCAAAGCTGTTTAAATGTTGAACAGTCAACCCTCAATATAGTGTAATCCGATATAACGCCACTGTTTATCACCAACTCCTTCCCGAGAACAAATCTTCCCAATAGGTGCTCCCCCGTTATAGCACCACCTTCACTAGTTGCCATCCACCAACACCTTCACTTGCACAAACGTGTCATATTCTACACAAGTCTTACTCGATATTATGCCAAGCAGCATACTGTACCAGCCACAATAACAGCACTGCATATAAAATTTAAGGCTGCCAGCTGCTTCTTTTGATCTCATGATAGATAGCAAGATTGTGAGGGATATCTTAGCATTAGAATGGACCTCCAGGGACTAGAGGGGGGCATATAGGGTCACCGAATCTGGCCTAATCCTGTCTCTACTTTTGGGGAGTGGAAACGCCTCATTCAGATTCTATGCAGCTTCTCTAGCCAGCAGTTCATGTTTACTCACTATCCAGTGATGGGAAAAGAACAGTTTTATGTGAGAAGGAAAAATTGGAAGTGTGCTGTTAAGAGGCATATGCAGTTGGTCAGAAAAACTTTGTGACCAATTTTTTCTGTGTTTTGGGGCAATTATGTGAGCAGATGGTGCATAGGAGCTACACTTACTAAAATAAGAAATGACTGGATTCAATCATTTTTCAAAGCTGTGTAGTTGGAGTATTCTGCATGGATTCTGCATATCTATACTATATTTCATTGTGTTTGTCTATCCCTTATGTATGGCCATGCTTCAGATCCCAGTCCGACAAAACTTTGCATGGCTTCCTCATTTGGTCTGGGGATCATCAGAGGCTAGATGGCATTTCAAAATTCGAACCCCCCAGGGTACCTTGTTTAGTATATATTAGTACTTATATGGCCAATTCACTACTTACAGATCCCCCAAAGGAGTCAACATTTTGGTGGGTCAGTACAAAGTTGTAGAGGGACACCATGTTACTAATGAAAATTTCAGTTGCACCTCACAGTGCAAGTTTGTTTGCCTGGAGGGCAAACAAACCCACTAGTTTTGTATAAATTAGAAAAAAAATCTCAATTGTAAAGCCATGAGTTTCAATTTAGCAACACCCTTGAGATAGCACTAAAATCAGCTAAGAAAAACAGTGGCAGTATATCGAGAGTTGATAGTAGTTCAGTTTAGGGAAAAGTTCATCTTCAACCCTTCAGACAGTTTTCACATACGAGTCATTCCGTGTCAAATCAACACACTTTGAGAACATTTTTCAGGTGACCCCCCTCAGATTTGGCCTCCTTTCGTACCCTGTTATAGTCTTCTCCTTGAAACTCTGGTCCTAATTAAGCTAGAGAGCTCATCTTAGACTCATTTTTTAGTTCTTTTTCAGTCCTTTCCATTGGTATTGATCCATTTTGATGAATGCTAAAAGTTACCATTCAGTAAGGATGTCATGTTGATGACCTTTGACCTCACATTGTCAAAAACAACCCCCTTGAATTTTGATGAAAATTGGATAAATTGTAGGCAAGACATATGGCTACCTCTGTATCAAATTTTATCTTGGGCACTTGGTAATTTATGGAGATATCAGGCCATTTGCATGAAATTGATTAGGGTGAGAATTCAACATTATTATGGGCACCTATGGGAATGCATTTAACAGTTATTTCCATGGAATCCAAAGTAAAAATGAACATTGTAAACTTGATTCAATTTCATGCATACTGCATATGCATTTAATGCACAAGTAGTATTATGCCTATATTAAAGAAAGTTTCTACTTCCATGCTTGGAAGTGAAAAATAGTTCATATGCAGCATGACTTCAGCTGAGATATGAAGTTGGGCAAAGTGATTGCTGACACTGCTGAGCACAACATAACATAAATATACTGTATTTATCTGCTTTTAATTCAATCCCCTTTGTTGATGTTCATTATATAGAAAACTTGAGAGTAGCTACTTGGTCGTATATTTTGGAAGGATAATTGTGCTGAAGAATACACAGTTCTGAAAAACATGTGTACCATTGGTGAATACCTGAATTTACTGGACTTATGACCACAGAACACTGAAAAGTGTGGACACCTTCACCCTCATGGAAAAGGATCTTCTTATTCGAAGGAGCCAGGTGAAGAAAATAGAAAATGTGTGTGCTCATCATGCAGAACAGTTTCTAAGAACCTTTGAAATAAGAGAAAAATCCTGCTGTGACCCTTTTGGCATTCACACTGGCCAGTCAAGGAAGAGAAACTTGAGAACTATTGATGTAGAAACCTGTGATCAGTACTCAGCAGTTATCCTCCTCATTCCAGGAAAAAAATTGTGTACTAGTTGCAGGAAGATCCTTCCTGAAAAGCTCAGAGAAAGCCAGGAGTACCTTACAGCATCTTCATCCTCAACATCATCAGTGGCAACACCTGAGGCCATGGAAGATGACATCTTTCAACCAGGGCCATCAACTCAAATCAAGCGTCTCAATGAATCTCTGCAGATGATGGGAGAAACACCAGTGAAAGGTGAGAAAATGGCCCAGAAGAAATACCCTAAAGAAAAGAGAAGATAGCAGAAACAGTGAAGAAACATTTCAAATATATGTCGGCTAGTCACAATGAAGCCATTGGGTGTGGAAGTGACATCAGCTCTGATGAACCTTCCTGTAGCCAAACTGCAAAGTTTCTTAAAATTATGAATCAATTGAAAGAAAAATTACAGGAAAGGGAAAAGAGGAGTGAAAAAATTCAAATCTTGACCATGACTCCAAAAAGCTGGAGTGTGAGGAAGCTGGAGCAAGAATTTGGAATATCAAATTTCATGACAAGGAGTGTGAAGAAATTGGTCATGGAGAAGGGGATTCTTGCAACTCCCAACCCAAAACCAGGGAAGACCCTACCAACGCATGATGTTAATATTGTCCAGGACTTCTACTGCCTTGATGAAATTAGCAGGATGATGCCTGAAGTAAAGGACTTCGTCTCTGTGAAGGAAAGAGATGGGAGGCAGCAGAAGCAGAAGAGACTCATCCTTGGAATTTGAAAGAGATCTATGAGACATTCAAAGAGAAGAATCCACAACTCAAGATAGGCTTTTCCAAATTTGCTGAGCTGAGGCCTAAGAACTGTGTGCTGGCTAGAGCCAGTGGTACTCATGCTGTATGTGTTTGTATGATTCACCAGAATGTGAAACTAATGGTACAAGCTGTAAACTTCTCTTCTCTCACAGCAAGCAACACTTTCCAAATGAAGACATACCGTGATATCCTCTCCTTAACAACATGTTATCCTGCCTCTGATGAATTATCTGAATCAGTGTACCAATTGTCCTGGTACAGCAAGAATCAGAGCTCAGCTTCAAAAAGACTTTGATGACAGAATGATGGACTCCATCATCTTCAAACAATGGGTGTCAACAGATAGGTCTTCTCTGGACACAATGGTGAAAAGCACTGAGGAGTTTCTGGATTACTTCCTTGAAAAGATCATCATTATGAGAAAACATGATTTCATTGCCCAGCAGCAATCATCATTTCTTCAGGAGACAAAGGAAAACCTTGCTGAGGGTGAAGTCATTGTTCTTCTAGATTTTGCAGAGAACTACTCCTTTGTTCTTCAAGATGCTGCAAAAGGATTCCATTGGAATAATAATCAGGCTACAATTCATCCTTTTGTTTGCTATTTTAAGTAGCCTGACAAAGATGTGAATGATGGAAATGAACAGCAACACTAGCTTTGTCATCATATCCAACAGTCTTATACATGACACAGTCGCAGTTTATACCTTCCAGAAGTATCTCATTTCACTGTTGCATGAAGAGGAGGCAACAGTTGGCCCTATCAAGAAAATTACCTATTTCTCAGATGGTGCAGCTAGCTAGTGTGAAAATAAAAAGAATTTCTGCAACCTCTGCTTTCCCAAATTTTTGATTTTATAATTCCAGCAGTGGCACTTTTTTGCCACATCACATGGCAAAGGGATGGTGCGGGTGGTACAGTCAAAAGATTAGCTGCAAGAGTGAACCTCCAAAGACCATATGATCTGCAAATTCAGACCCCCCAAGATCTCTTTTTGTGGGCCAAAGAGAATCTGAGAACTATAAGGTTTCAGTTTGTCCTTGAGACAGAGATCAAAGAAACGCAGAAGAAGCTCCAAAGACGGTTTACAGGCATACAGGCAATTCCTGGAACACAGAGTCTTCATTGTTACATTAATCTATCTTCTGCTATCATCAGAGTGAAACAATTTTCAAAATCAAGGACATTTACAGATGTCAAGTTCAACACTCCAATGGAGATGTCATATTCGAGCATCAGAGGGTTTGTGACATGTGAATATGGTGGACATTGGTATCTTGCAAATGTTCTTGCAAAATTTGAAGACTGAGGAAATTCTTGTTCATTTCCTTCATCCACATGGTCCAGCCCCTTCATTTCCTCCTCACATCCTCATAAATCTGATGAACTTAGAGTACATCATAGTCAAGTCCTTTCACTCATGAATCCCTCAACAGAAACAGGACGTACGTACAAACTGTCCAATGAAGAGATGGTGGATGCATCAACATGTCTTCACAAGAACAAGAAATAGAGGGAATGTACCATCAAGATCTTTTGACTTGGTTCTGTGATTGGTGTACTGATTTCTTTTTATTGTGTTCCAGTTCTCTGTAGTGCATTGAACTGGAAGGCATTAATGAATGCAAGAATGTTATTGTAGCAATCACTACTTTTACTTGTTATTTTGGAACTTCTAGAGAGCCCAAAGTAAAATTTAACACAGAGGTAGCCATATGTCTTGCCTACAAACCAGCCAATTTTTTTTTATCAAAATCTAAAATGGTTGTTTTTTTGTAATGTGAGGTCAAAGGTCATTACCATGACCTCTTCACTAAAAGATAGCATTTATCATTTTGCCAAAAACTAGTCCAATCTCTGGAAAGGACATGAAAAGAGCTTTCAAACAATCCAAAGAAGAGGTCTCTAGCACAATTAGGGCAGAAGTTATGAAGAGAAGACTGTCTCAGGATGCGGCCAGAAGGCATTTAAGCCCAAATTCTCATGACCTCATATCTGAGGAACAAGAAGTCAAATGAACCCAATAATTGCTGTGAATCACTTTCTAATAGGTACAAATAAGTCTGCCAAATTTCATTCAAATCGGAGAAAGTCACCTTTTAACACCGTGTTGATTTGACACGGAATGACCTATACACCATATGATCATCACTTAGGCCAGGTCAAAACTTAGTGCTTGAAGGGTTAAAGTGTGTTATTCCAAAAATCTTATTCTTTCATGCAGTTCATCTTAATGCATCTTATGGCTATCAAGTCAAGACCACACAATTAGTATTCCAATAAGTGAAGTTGACTATGTATATTTCATATAAAATCATGCATGATTTTTTCATCTAGATGAGTAAAGGACAGACATTTGTAGGCCAGGTATGAAATTGAAGAATTTTGTCTACTATGAACTATTACAGGCAAACTAGAAAAGTGTTCCAAAGAAGCTCCTCCCCCATGTACATGTTTGAAGCAACTTACCTATTCTCACTTCCAATGCAGACTGGGCATCACTGCAGAGGAATACATGGAAGCACAACAATTCATCTCTCCCCAGTGGTGAGAATCAGTTGAAACTTGTTTAGGTTATATTCACAGAGGGTATAGTGTGCAGGGTTAAGATTATAAATTCTAATTCCTACTTCTTGAACACAAATCCAGCTTCTCATAATGCTACAAGATGTATCACACATACCTTGAGCTCCTTTGTGAGAAGGTAGGTAACAATGGTTGTAAGCCCAGAAAAAACTGGTGCAAGAAACACACATATCTCTCGTATGTGGATGGTGACATTGAGAAAATGGAGGATATGGTAGATAGCAGTTGATGTGAGCATCAAGCCAGGATAAATTGTTCCTGTGAAGAAAGAATGCATTCAATTTCCTTTGATGAGTCTTCTTTCCATATCAAGAAGGCATATTGAAAAGTCACATAGAGGACTACATCAGCATGGTCAGTAAAGTCCTCCTATGTCTAATGTGATTCTATACATGTGATGCTTCCTTCTCCATTACTGGCCTTGGTACTAAGTTTTATCCAGTCAATTCTATATATTCCACATTTTCTTGCTTCCTAACTAGAATAATGGAGCATCAAATGTATAGGTTAAATAGTGGCAAATGCTCACAGCTGAGTCTCTTGATTTTTAGCCTCATCAGTAACTGCAAATTGTCTGGGTGCTAAAACTACTTCAGAAAATGCAACAGTACATAAATAGGTTGTCTCTTGTTTTTTTTTTTGTAATAGCAGATCCAGAATTTGAAATGTCAAGGTGTCTTGAGGTACAAGGTTTATTTACCTGGACCATAAAGTTGCCCATGTGAAAGGAATTACTCATGGAAAAAATCTCATTTTGTCCATAGTCAACAATATTTGACTCAATCTTCTCTCATCACATCTTTTTTTAAACTGAGCCCTCTCTTGATCATATTAGGGGGGTATTACCCCTGCTTCTCCCTTCATTACCATGAATTCCATGGTGCAATCATGGTGAATTTAATATCAATGGAGAGTTCTCATCACATTTAATTCACTATACAATACTGGACAACTCTTGCTGAAGTCATGACAAGAGGAAAATGAAAGCAAGATATAAGGTTGCTCCTGTCTTTACATCTCATAGCTCCATTCTTTTCCGGAGCAGAATATTTCCACTGTTTGAGAGAATTTTTTCAAAGCAAGGAATAAATCCTGGTTTATTAGAGACCAACTGGTCTTTAGGATCAACAATACAAATGCAAGTTATAAAAATCGAATTTGATATCTTGTAACAAGACAATACTCTCAAAAATTAATCATTGTCTCCAAGTCTGATCACATGTCCAATTCTCAACTATACTTTTTAAATTTGCAATTCTACATCTTAAGTTTACCTCATATTCTCAAGTTCTCACAAAAAACTATCATAATGCTTCACAAACAAACAGGGATGACATTTTGCAAATAAGTTAATTAGCTGAAACCTTGCTTACAATAGTTCAACAGTTTTCTTAACATGTTAAGTACCATGTAACACACAGGCGTATGAACATAGGTTATTCTTACATCATGTTTTACCCCTCAGCAGTTAAAATGTTAAGCTCTTCTTACTGGTACTTGAAAAAAAAAAGTTCAAAATACAATATCCATACTCCTCAGCCATCAGATTGGATAAAAGTCCCAAATGTGAGTGCATATTGTAAAAGAATATAGAAACTAGGAACCCTTACCTCCAATGATCCTCCCAAGTGGATACCATGCCCTGTCATCAAACCAATTGTGAAACTTGTAGAACCCTTCATCAGCCAGAAACCATGTTGTCCGATAGTTGAAATATGGGTCAAATTCATGAATCACAGATTCAAAGCGAAGGACTGAAAACAGTCTGCTGGCAAAGGCTGCAAAAACAATAGCAAAAATTCGTTCCTGTAAGAGGATAATATCACACCATCATCATGAATCTGCAGATTATGATACTTTCCATAATGGAAATTTTTCACTTGCCAAAATTATAACCTATCATCCTAGCCTTGAGGCAATCGCCAATGATTCAAAGTACCTGAAAAAATAAGTAGTGACCAGCAAAGCCATTTATTTAGTTATCTTCTGATCAGTTTGAGACCATATCATCAGCAGATGAGTCCTAATCAAAATGTAAAAATTCCACTCTTAGCCAACTTGGCAATTGACCCCAGCCTATCTCTGAGTAATTTCTGAAGAGTTTAAATGGGATGGGATGCCAGAAGAATGATGAATGAATTTTCTGGTATAATGTCTCACAATTAATTTATTACATTTTTTACTAGAAAAAAAAAAGGCTCAATTGAAAGATCTAGTTCAGGGCTTTCCAAAAATGTATGGTGTGCAGTTTGCTCCACAAGGTGCAAATATGCATCCTCACAACTACAACACAAACACTTTACCATGGACCATTTTCCACAATATTAACATCATACTATGGAATGGTATATTACTTGAGACCTGTGTACATAAACCTCAGCCTATAGTGCATTAAGTTAAAAGTTGATGCAGTCTTACCAAGTACAGGGGCAAGGGATAAGATGAGAATCTTCAACAGAGTCTCTTGCTTCTCCAAGCTGATACGCAAAGACCGACTGGATAATCCAAATATAGGCATTTTGGAGCAAAGATATCAGGGTAGCACCAAACCTACATCTATAAAGTGGAATGCACCTACATAAGAGGGAAGCAAGAAAACAACATGGCAGGTTACATCAATAACTAAATCCATGCAGCCTATAGCTCAGGCTTCTGGAAGCAATAAATATAAGAGTTGACTTTCTTCCCAAATCATGACTCTTGCCAAAAATCTGTCTGAAATGCAGAAATAGCAGCCAAAATAAAGCATCCTAAAGACATCATAGAGGCATAAACTAAGGCTGTACTGATACAAGAATTTGCCTATTTGCCAATTCCCAATATCTGTTCTCAAAAGATGACCAATACCAATCTTTGTGCATGTCTATAGGATAGGTCTTTTTTGCAGAGTTAGTGTAATCAAGATGACATTAACCCTTTTGTGGGAAAATTTTTTCCCACATGTTTAAGTGACAAATTTCAGTACATTTTCTTTTTTCCATTTATGGAGGCTTTTATTTTGAGAAATTCCAATTCCCCCCCCCCCCAGCAAAAATTTTTCATATTTGTGGTGGGAACCTTTCCTGATCTTTATGGTCACCAGTATATAATGTGAGTGCAAAATAGTAGGAGAAATTCCTCCCAGAACACTGGGATCAAATGTTTTCTGGGAAGAATCCTTCCCACTGCCTATGAAAAAGTTGACTTCAATCTTCATCAGATCTACATTGAACATGAAGTGAAAAACCTCTACAATGACCCTTTTTTTAATATTAGAATCATAAGTTCCTCCAAAATCACAAATAGTGCTCCATACCAAAGGAAAATTAGCCATAAATATCAAATTCTGTTTTTACAAAAGGTGTAAGGAAGAGTCTCTCTGGTTTTGGTTCTGGTTCTGAAGAATCTCTTCTGGTTTTGGGCATTTGTTTGAATATATGTAACAGTACTGCTTCAGCATTCCACATGACTACAATTGGAAAAAGGGAAGAAAACAAAGACCTAGGCTAGGATAAACCATACATTCAGCATCGGCTGATCATGCTGCACATGCAAATGTATCTAGAGGCCTAAGCCTAACATTAACGTAAGGCCTCTGCACATTTAACAGAATCGGGCTCATTCAATGTTTGTTTTAGAAAAGTTCAACAGCAAGGTCTTCTTAGATGATTCAATGGGAATGCAGCAGCTTCCCACACATTCTCCTACATCTGCTGCCATTTAGTAAGAAGCAGTCACACTCCTGACTGTGCATAGCTTATGGCCACATACTTTCAAGTTTCATGTTCCATTCTTTGTAATAAATACAGATCACGTCTACCACTGTCTCCTTGGAGGAGTTCAGCGGTCTCACCAAATGCCAGGAAATTGAAATAGGGAGAAGAGATGTGATGCATGTTCAATGTACAAAAAATATCAGATTGGACCCCAAAGATCAGATTCACCCATTCCATGAAAAACACCTGGATTGGCCGATGTCTGATCTCCAATCTAAGGATCAGTACAGCCCTAGTAATAACCCTTGTAATGCCATTGTGACAGCATCTGTCACACGGAAAACCTTCCAATATTGCTGTTGTGACAGGGATGGATAGTATGCTAGATGCATGATTTGGCCTTACAAGGATTAGGGTAAAACCATCTAACCATCTAGACCAGCAGTTCCCAAACTGTGGGTTGTGAGAGGCCTCAAAGTGGGTCATGTACATTTTCCCAGTATAAAAAATCACAACATCCACATCCGCTCAGGATGAAACATGCCCCGTAGAAAATATCAGTTTTCTTCGTGTCATAATTACCTTGAAAATACCTCGTTCCAGATTCCTGTGGATCAAGAGACTTTCTGTATGTCAGCAAGCAGGTTGTGTTTCAAAGAAGTCTGGGAACCACTGATCTAGAACATTCCCTTGAAGGCCTACTAGGCCAAGGTTCGTAGAAACTTTTCCCCGCATCTTTTCGATGGAGCTTTTTGATAAAGCGCCGAATATACATCAGTAAAAGGGAGATTGAGAAACACTGGCCTATAGGAACATCAATGCAAGATCACGTCATAAAGTTCCACACGACGAAACGGTTATGTTCCTCTTCCTCAGTTGGTTTTGAACCCAGGTCCCTTGTCATGGGAATCAAGATTGGTACCTATCGAGAAACTAATCTACCTACTCATCACCAATCTAACCCGTGGAGAGGCCTGCCAGTCTAATGTTAGATTACACCTATGATTTATACTAACTTAAAACTTCCTCTCCATCACCTTCAGGCAAGCAGTTCACAAATAACACCAAAGTTAAAAGCGACTAGAGGAGGATAACCAGCAGTTGGGTTAGGTACAAGGGCCTAGGTCTCACGTTGCTAATACCGGTACATGGAAGAAACGTCAGCAATCTCCACACCAGCGTGGCGGCGTGGTCAGCGCACAGTAAAGTGCGGAATGGGGAACATAGAAAACAAGGTTGAAATATCAACGTTTTAATCATAACCTTTTAAATGCATAACCTGTCAAATCCTGATATCGTTTGATTTACCAAAAATTAAGGAAGGATGAATGTGAGCCTCGTAGCATCGAGTCAATTGTCGGCCCAATCGTCATTCCGTCAAAAGAATGGCTCACATAAGTTGTCGTGATTGGGAGTACTGATGGCAGAAGTTATTTTCGCTGAGAACCAGAATCCTTTTCCTACTTAAAAAAAAAAGGCGGGACATGCAGCGGACACATAACAACGGACGTATTGCGATATACAGTACATACAGAGAAGAAAGGGGTACCTACTCAGCACAGGCACGTCGCCCAGTTCTGCTCCTTCGAGTAGGGATGTCATTCTCCGGTCATCCACGCAGGGGGCAAGGATGACAAATTCTTCCCCCCCCCCCCCCACCTCCCCACTTTTTCGGGTGGGAGCAAAGGATGCCTTTTGCCCCCTTTTCCGCACCTCTTTCCAGTTATATGCTATATCTTCATTCAAAATTTAAGGTTTATTCAGAGTTGCCCGTGATTAAATTTTGTTACAACTTTGAGTGACCTTCAACCTTGTTACAGAAAGATAACAGGACAATATCTCTCCTAGAAGAGCCTTCGTGCAAATATGCCAAATTTTGTCCAGTTTTGTTCATCTCACATATTATTGCAAAATGATGATTCTTGGGGATGTGGTCCGGGGGCAAAAATTCTGAACTCTCATTCCTCATTTCCCATAGTCACAATTTCGAAAATATTTACAGGTATTCGATACCCCCTTCCTAAGGAAACCTACATGCCAAATGTAATCAAAATCCGGGAGAGCAACTTTCTCAACGTGTCAATTCTGCTGGAATTCCTCTTCATGGCACCGCAACCTCCTGACTTCCTTGAGAAAATGAAAAGGAATCTCATTGAAACTCGTACCCTTTCCTGCTCTAAGCTTCCATATCTCACTATTGCCCTTTCCTCTTACATGACAATAATCGCAAGAAACGCAAAGGAGACCTTGGTCATTACCGATACTTCGAATTTACTTGTGAAAATGGAAACAATATATCAGGGCTGGCCAAACTGTGGCACCGGAACAGTTCAAGTTTGGTTCGCTGTGAAATGCTGGGTGAAGAGCAGTGGTGTAAAATTGGAGTACTGGCGGGAGAAAATGAATGCGTAAAGCGACGTTTGCTTTCCACTTTTGACATGTAAGCCTCACTTAACTAACTGGGTTCTATTTTTGCATCTAAAGCAATTGTAATGCACATGTGAATTTTTGCTCACCTAAGTTTTCAGTGTGCATATACAGTTAGAACTGTCACTTCATTGTTCTCATATCTGATGGATACACTTGAAGCTGAAAAGTTACCTTTTTATATCCATGGATAAGAATACAGTCATTGCTCATTATCATGAAGTATGCTTCAACAAAAAACACTATTTAACTAAAAATTTATCAACATTTGGTTTCCCCAGCCTCATGTACAAATTATAAAACATTGTAACAAATTATGCTATTATGAAATATACCTTGTTACAAAGTAATTTTCTTCTATTGATCGTCATAAACAAGCTTTCATAACGAAATCACAGAATTTTCATGCCAGTGCTGTCCCATAACAAGCTGATAATGAAGCAGGAACACAGTTTTAATAGTGGCAATATACAAGGGGAGGTGCAAAAGTAGCGAGACTTTGTAATTATTCAGGCAGGACTTCTTTTTATACCTTTGTCCGAATATAGACCCTTTATTTCTCAATGTAGTCTTCCTGCCTCAATACACATTTTTCTCATCTGTAGTTCCATTTATTGAAAGATAGACAACAAAGAAAGAAAAAAGCACAAGTCTCACTACTTTTGCATCCCCCTTCATACATATCACCTTCACACATGAGCAGACAATCAGTTGTGCATTTCATTTGTTGTGCCCATTCCCAAAGCAATACTGTACAGTGTAATGTAGTTTCTACTTCATCTTCAGTTATAGCAAATATTTTATTTTATTTTTCAAGATGATGTCATTAAATTTCAACGAAAATACATTATAACGAAGGGAAAACAATCCCCCTTTGAATTTCGTGATAGCAAGCATCGACTGTAATTGCCTTTTACATAGAAAATGGTCAGCAAGCCAGCCACACAAAAGAAAGAATGCAGACAAGAATCCATCGCAGAGTAACAGAGTCAAAGGGAGGTAAAAAAAAAAATGTATTCACTGTGAAAGATGATGAGGCAGCCAGCACAACAGACACTCATGAATCATAGCTCAATCTCTCCAAGATATACCTGCTTGTCGCTTGACACCGACAAAACTGCAATGGCAACATCAGAATTGTATCACTTCATCTAATTGGAACATGAAATACATCCTATGTTGAAGAATTCCTATTTTTTCATTAAAGTATGATTGGAAATGACAGAAAATGAAAATTCTCTTCTCCTCAGATATTTAGACATTATTTGAAACAGATGAAACACGTGAGAACTCACGAATTGGCTCCCTTGGATGGAAGACAACTTCATTGACAGAGCCTGTGTGGCCAGGCAACTTATACAATATCCTCCGGCTGTTCACATCCCAAACATGAACAAACTTGTCTGCAGAGCCTGCTGCTACCTGCATTCCATTTGGAGACCAGCTGCATCGCAGCAAATTCTGCATAATGAACCATCACCAAGGAAGATAAGTTCATCATTATTTGGTTTCAGAGTTTTGCATAATACCAATATTAGGAAAAATTATTTTTAAGTATAGACTTGAGTTTCTTCATTAAAGAGTATTGGATTTTAGCTTTAATTAAGCATTTTGACTAAAATTGGCAATAATTTCAGTGTAGTTTTTGTCTGTGCCTAAAGCAAAACCTCTTCTACTCTTACAATTAGCAGTCTCTAATAGAAAAACATAAGCTATCAGCCCCAAAAACCTATCTTGGTTTCCTTCCTCCTATCCCATAACTTACTGAGACACTTGTTTAATATACAGTGTCTCAGAATTAGGTGAACATAGGGTTTTGTATTTTGTACTTCTGCATCCCACCACATGGTGGCAGCACATGTCCAACATGGTTTATTACAGTCTTGTTTGAATTGTAGGGTTTTGCCCTAAGGCAGTGGAGGGTTTAATTGCTGTCCTCTTGGTGACCTGAGAGCAAAAGTGAAAGGTATAAGGAGTACCCAAACAATAGGATACTAAGGGGCTCCTTCAAGGGGCCTCCTAGATTTCCAGATTTAATGTTGCAGGACGAGAGTTTCATAGTTCACTCTTATATTTAGATTCTTTTATCACATAGTAGATAGGAGTCTCCACAAGTCAAAGACTTCAACCTCAAGATATACACTGAAAATTAAAAAAAAACATGGAAAAAATGTTCAACCAAGAATTCAGTTTTCAATTAAAAAATTCAAGTCCCAAAAATTTAACAATCAATATTCAAACCTCAGCCAATCATCCCATACAGGGTGGCTGAAGAGTCACTGTACCCCTATGGACCTAACGTGTCCGTGTGGTCCAAACAGAGCTGGATGTGTCGCCAGGTCCTTTGTGACATCTGCAGCATTTGGGGTGTAACACAGGTGAAGGCATCTTCCACAGTGGTACATAACTCATTATTGCTGTTATACCACTACATGAGCTGTCCTTCACACTGCCAAGGGAAAATGCTTGTTTCTCCCATGCTAATAAGGTTGCTTTACACAGAGGTGGCTTACCAAAACATGCCTGGAATGCTGCAATCACCTGTTTGGTGTGCTGTCTCTCATGTACCCACACACTTGCCACTAAGTGCTCCTCAATGGTGTAGCTACTGGTGTTCGCCATGGTTAACTGCCAAAACTGAAACTGCTGAGCTATCACAGAAGTCGCCTAGCCAGTTGTGCATGCACTATTTTGTACCAGGCCCACATGCTGCTGTGTTGAGCATGCATGTGAGATGTGCATATGGGTATTTTTAGATCTCTATTCACTAAATATATGAAAAGGTAGATAGGGGTTCAGTGACTTTTAGACCACCCTGTATATGTTCATTCATTTTTCATTCAAGCCAAGCTTCCCAATTAGTGTTGCTTCTTTCTGTAACCTCACATAAGTTCATCCCAATAAAAAAGAAAAAAGAGAAGTGGATCTTGATTTTGCAATTTTTCATGGCTCACTTCCATCCATTGAATGACACTGTTACTGTTCTCATTGGTTGCTTAGCTTTGTCCAGGTTTTCAAGATCATCTCATCAATAAAAGTTCAGAAACCTTAAATGAGAAAGGCCTTCACCTCAATAAAACTGATATAAAATAAAAGTGGTACAGACAAAAAAAGGATCTGATCAATGCATATGACCAAAATGAATTGAAAATTTTACCCAACTACATTGTTCCATAGTCTATTCGGAGATTGAATGAATCCTCATTATGATCTTGTTCAAAATAAATAGTACAGGAAGCTGGACTAATTTAGGAGGCAAAACAGCAGAGTTTCATTTGGCTGTCTACACATACCTTTTCAAAGCTATGAGCATGTCCTGAAAATATCTTCACCATACGATCAGCTGGGGCAAATGGTCTGATATCCCATATCCTTAAAGTATTATCCATGGAATTAGTGAGGAGTAGATTGCCATCAGAGCTCAAACTCATCCCTGTCACACTGTCTGTGTGACCTCTGAGTCTCATGGTTAGACTAGATTTCCTCAGATCCCACACCTAGAAAAACCAGATGAAGAATGAGATGGAATGTCAAATGAAAGCAGCAGCAAGCAAATACTTCTTAAAATAAAAGAAAGTGACTCACCTTGATATCATTATCAATCCCAGAACTATAAATATGGTCAGAGGTGTCATTGAACGAGACAGCAGTGACTGGATATGTACATTGCAGGGAAAGTATGGCACCCTTCCGCCGAGAATCCCACATTTTCACTGTGCAATCATCTGAACCACTCACAATGAGTGGAGGACCTCGTCTGGCCACACCACAGCTATTCACAAAGCTTGTGTGTCCTATTAGTAGAATGAAGTTATCTTAGATGCTAGTTGCAAACATTCATCACATCTTAGTGGACGTAATTCATAACTTGATGATCTGAGATTCTATATTCTTTGTTCACAACTCAACAATCAGATAATAAATAAAAAAATTAAACAGGATTATCTTGAACCAAATGTGGACATACCTCTAGTTTTGGAGAAGGAAGAAAATGAGAAATCTAAATTTGGCTCATAAACCTGATATTCCATTCCCAAAGATGTTTGCAATGACATATCACTTGGTAATCAGGATATCATAATTTTTATCAGATTTACAATGGTTTTTTTTTCTTGGATTGACATAGCCATCACAGCTCTGCTATCCTTGGCTGTAGTAGTCTTCCCTCTTGACTTTTGAGACATATAGGCTTGCAAAATTTCCCTTGATATACCTAGACCTACTAGTAATGAACATGATCAAGTGGCTCACCTTTCATCTTCTTCAGCCTGGCACCAGTTTGGACATCCCACATGCCAATGGTTTTATCAGTACTTGCACTATAAAGCGTGTTTCCATCAGGTGAAAACTGCACCTCTAGGATGGCACCAGAATGCCCAGGTAGTACAGCAAAATTATTGCATTCACCATACACATTCCAAAAGACTGTAAAAAGAAAAGTTAACACCTTTAGTCCCATGCCCATCATAGTACGGGCAAATCAGGTAGGGCACTGAAATAGCCAGGGCTGAAAGCAAAAATGGCTTTGGAGAGATGGCTTAAAATCAATCAATAATGCACATCAACTCACACAGCTGTCGGTCATATCCAGCAGTAACCAGGAATTGACCTTCGGGGTGAAACTTTCCACAGAAGACATCAGCTTCATGACCAGTGAGCAGCATAATTGGGGATAACAAGCTAGATGTTCTTGGTGGACCCTAAAATTAATTAAAAACCCATGAAAAAATATGACACTTGAGTGATACTATATCATATAACAATGTGTTAGATTGGGCAGCTACTCTACATGAAATGGGATGCAAAATAGTGTTGTTTCTGGTACTTGCAGAGATCTATCCAAGATAGCCATCCACAAACAATGAAATTAATTTTTCTCCAATCTTTCTGGATCATGGATATTATAGAGCTGAATTACCAGCTGAATTTGGCTCAAGCGTGTTTCAACTCACAGTAGCAGCAACTGAAGTAGACTGATCAGATGACACGAGGTCCAGCTTCCCTCTTTTAGGGACTGACACCACGGCCAGGTCGTCTCCCGGCCTTTTTGCTCCCGCTGTCAAAGGCATTCTCCTTGCTCAGGGCTAATGCTTAAAATGGTTCAGGCTTCTCCTACTGCAAAGACCAATTTTTATTTATTTTTATTCTGCCTCTAGGCACGGGTCCTAAGCCTACATAGTCTGAGTCTAACTTTAAGCCGGATGACTAGTCTAATTAGCATTTTTAGTCTCCCGCATCGAGGCGTCGGCTCGAACTCGAACCTATCCGACCTGCGATTCGGTCACAATTTCGAATTCTCCAGTCATGGGCTCATTTCCATCACGCTTTCTACACAAAAACGTTACACCTAACAAGTTAGAAGATTTTCGGCCTAGGTTCGTTTGTGCGCGTCGACATGATTGTCAGGATCAGGGTTGTCCCATAGCTGTGAGATTCTAGAATGATACGTGAACCGCGTGTATAAAAAATAAAATAATAATAATACACTTTTCAAATTGAATTCATGCCCCCTGAGTTGTGGAGAACGGAGAAAGCACTAAGTTCCTCATTTATACTTCATCACGAAACTGCCAAGGGGTCACATCTGCAATCGATGGAGACATTCTTGAAGGGGGGGGGGGGTATGAATTAAATTCGAAAACAGTGTAAGGGTCTCTCATTTTAGCCAGCTTTTCTAGATAATTCTGTGCCTGAAAGTTAAAAAGTTGCCCTTATAAGCAGGGCTAGAATAGGGTGTAATAATAATAAGCAGGGCCGGACGCACCTAGGGGGAACGCGTCACCCTTCCACTCCTTGGCACAATGTCGTGAAGGGGTGGGGGTGACTCGTGACGAAATCTTGCTATTTCGGTTTACCTTTACCTCAATTTTCACCTCGTCCTTGTCACGGCGACCTGACCCCCCCTTCCCATGAGGCACTCCTAAGCGGACACCTTGTTTGCCTGTTTGGTAATCTGGCCCTTCTTACAAGTGGAACTGTACATATACAAAATAATAGGAAAATAGGAAAGAAGCTGTCGTCAGAACATCAGTTTTGGTTTTCTGGAAGAAACTCATATCTAGTTCAGTGACTCATTATTCACAGTGCGCCTAGGGTAAGTGCTGCGAATGTCGGCACTGGGGGTAATCTCGGCACTTTGCAATCATCAAAATTCTGCTTCCACTGCTAATCCCCTAGGTACGGGAGAATGGATATTCTCAGACGGTAGGAATAATTTTGTCAAGATGTACTGTACTTGGAACAGCCATATTTGCTGTTGCAGTTTTCTCGCAGCGGCTACTTTCTCTAAGCGCACTCCGAAAATCCTGGAAAATCTTGTGATTTTGCTAAGCTTTTGTAAATTCCGTTCTTCTCTTCCACTCTAAGTATTGGTTCTCTAGGTATCAGGTCGTTGCAACCATTATGAGTCCGTTGTAAAGGACAGAGATATATAGGTGTGCCGAGATTCCCGACAGGGTGGTGCAGTCTATACCAGCAAGTTTGCTGAGCTTGCCAACATCTTACCCAACTTCACCTTTGACCCAGGCCTCGGAAAGGAAAGGCACGGGGCACTCGAGGTTTGTAGTACAAGAAGGTTTTTAATAAAGGTATGACCCGACCCAACGTGAACGACGAAGCTCCATTACGAAAACCACCAAACAAGGTGGAAGTGAAAAAATTGCTTAGAGGGCCGACACTCGCAGCGCTCACCCTACTCCCTTCTGGAGTGGTCAGTGTCGTGGACAAATAGCATTCGAGTATCTTAGATTAAAATATTTCCTTATTACCCCTTGCGAATTTTGCTTAAGCTACGTAAGAACTCCGTAGCACCAGAGGTTTGATAAATTCCAGTTAAAGCTTTTCTCTTCTTACGAAGAAAAAAGTTAGTCAGAATGTTTTGCGAGTAAGGCCTCTGACCTACCATTGGGTATGTCGCTGATTCAGCGGCGTAGCTTTGGGGTGCCAAGGAGGGCACGTACCCCCACCCCCCGTTTTTCAAGAAAAGAAACAAAAAAATATGAAAAAGGCTCATAAAAGGTGTCCCACAGTTCCATGCCCCCCCTACACACGCACACTTTTTCCAGCCACGCTCCGCTTATGCGCTGATTGATATATTTGCTAATTCTGATGTGGCCATACCCTATAGTCCTAAAAGGAGCTAGACTAAGATACCAAAGTACTGATATGGTAGCACACGAAGCCTTCCATCAGGAAGGATATCCTGTTGGAAGAGTGTGATGCTTCACCACAGTCAGTGCGGGGAAGAGGTAAGTGGGTGGCAGCAGAACTCTTAAATGACACTGAGGGCGGAGTCCTCATTCTGGCCCTGACAATGGTACCATGCTCACTCTACCTACTATTTTATGGTTCGTGTTCTCAATGGGACAGCGGCACTTTTGGAAGGCTTCCATGTTGAACTCTTTAAGAGGAAAATCTAAGTTAGTGATTAAGTTTCCTGCGGTTTTTTCGTTGGTCTTTCTACTCCTACTATTCCAATGATCATCCGCAGGCCCGCCCTGAGGAGGGGGGGATTGGGAAAAATCTGCCCCTGGCCTCGCGTATCAAGAGGCCACAATGTGATCTCCAAAGGGTCTCAAGGTGACCTCCGGTTAATTTTTGGCCCCAGGCTACCCAAGCAACACAATCTAAATCACGTCTAAGCGATGTTACAGCAACGTCATTTAGCTCAAGTCACGTTGCAGCAACGTTGCATGGACGTCACGCGTTGCTTGGGTAGTTACCTCTGGGCCTGGAAACCTCTGGGCCGGCCTGATCAAATGATCAAGTTTGCGGCAATGATTGAAACGCAGTAATGTTCTCCATGTGATTCTGGGTTCCTAATCTGGAAAGTCGTCTGCATAATTAGCGTATCGCAGGTGTGTAACACCCCAAGTGAAAATCAAGGCTGGCAATGATCGCACTCTCTCACTGTTCGAGTCAATTATCAAGTCACTGAAATTAAAAGGAAAGAATTGTTTACAACCCCATGGTTATGAACCCGCATATGCCTTACCCTTCTGTAAGCAGATTTAATATGCACCCTTGAGAAATTTTCGTGGAAAAACGTCACATACCGTCATATACCGTACCTTTAAACGCACTAACACTGGGAGGTTTGATAAATTTGAGGATATGAAAATGAAATTTGAGGATATGAAAATGAGTCATTTCGATTTCGCTGAGAATTATAGATTTGGCTTTGGGCTCCAATGGCTCGAGGTTAAAATGCACGTGGTCTCTATGAGCTCCTAAAACGGATGAGAAGGCGCGCTAAAATTTTCGTAGCTGGAGAAAGCCTGGGTTGGATAATTTTTCCTCCTCACCTATTACGTCATCAATGACTCGAAGCTAGCAGGCGGCGGGCTGCGATGGATAAGACCAGTCGTCAAGGTTTACCTCTTTAAGCATCTGTGTGATGACTGCATTATCCGTGGAGCCATGATGAGCGGGAGTAGGGTTGTAGGCCCCGCTGGCTATAGACATGGGCTTAACATTAATATTATTTGTAGGGTATTATATGTTGTTAGGCCTACCGTTACTCAAAGTGATAGAAGCAACTGAGATGGTGTAATTAGAATTCCTGTAGGCCCCTGGAGGAAAGCGTTATTTGGTGAAGGCAAAGTGGGGTTAATGCAAAACTTCCTCAACTTCGTATGTCATGTAATGTTTGATGCTTATTGGCCATTCAAAAAGATTTCGACGCCTATGGAAGCCTTCTACCCAGTCACGGGAATGACGTTTGTATAACGTTAGCCGTGCCCATCAATGAGTGACTATGCGGTTCCAACTTCCTTAAGCGGGTGGAATCAAGTTACTATGAGCAAATGGCTAGAGCCAAGAAACTTAGCAAGTGGACGCCTAGGCCTTTGGGTGAAATTGGCACTCAATGAATGCCTTCACTCCAGAGCAAAAGCTGGTTTTCATGCACGTAATGCGGTGCATATTTTTTCTTTCAGACCCTTAACACTGGCAGCTTGGGACGAAAATTATTGTGGAGGAACCCAATTTCCATTAGTGTTTCCAGTATCATTGATCATGTTCCACTTAAGTATGGACACTAAGCCCCTGATTCTCAATGTTCAGGAGAGGAGACCCTTTCCAAGCAAGTAATTGGAAGAAGGAAAGAAGGGCTCATTCATGGGGAGAAAGTGCTGGGTCTAAAACTGCTAGGATGAGGCTATCAAATGAATAAGCCAACATCTAGAATTAAGAGAATACTTTCTATTTTCCATTTTTGACATGTATCCATGGCCAGTTCTATGTATGCATTGTTAAACTGGATTATTTGGCATTGAGCGAGGGGGAAGGAGGGAAGAGAAAGGGTTGATGCACCACCCAATTTTGGAAATTTCAGGTTTTATGGGTAGAAGCCAGTTGCAGAACATATGCTTCTTGAAGCCAAAATGAGCAGGAACATAGGCAATGAGAGTGAGAGAGTTGCTTGACAACATAATGGGTGGATATGCCCCCTAACGTCCCTATGAAACTTTGAACATTGAAAAGAGCAAGAGCAAGAGCTTTGTTGCAGTTTCTTTCTTTCTTTCTTTCTTTGTCTTGTTGGGGAAGTGGAAGAGCAATTAGTTGTTTTAGCTGACTAACAGGCATGGTTGAAATGAATTTAATATTAAGGGTAAAGATTTATTTTTTATTATATCGAAACTGGTTCCAAGTATTGATTATTTTTAGAAATGGGTTGTTATGGAGCTTACCAGAATAAATGGATAAAGACACATGCATTGGGCAGGAACCATTGAGAAAATGCAATGATGCACAATCGTTTTTCCATTCCTGTGTGAAAGACCAAGGACTTGTCAAAGTGAACATATTTTGGGAAATTATGGGTCAGTTGGGTTAGAAAAGGCTTGTGGCCCTAGGCTACTGTTATTTTGTGATTCAACTGGCCCCTTGTTCCCCAAAATAGGCTCATATTCTCACTCTTTAAGCCTATGTCAAAGGAATTCAGTTCACTCAGTCTATACATTTTTCTTCTTCCCTGATGTGTTTTAGAATTGTGACCAAGGTCCATGCAAGATCAGTTAGGTTTTTGTTTAGCATAAATATAAACAGCTGATGGTACTAATCAGTGTGAGTTTCATGGGAAGGGAAGAATGGGAGTGGACAGTGAATTTTATATGGGGTATCTGCTACACTGCTCCTTCATGGGAAGAATGGATGCCAACCTAGCATGAGAATGGCATAGAGCAGTGCTTCTCAGCCTTTTTGATTTCATGGCACACTTTTGAGTTGGCTCTATCCTTATGTCATACTGAACCAAATTTCACAATGTCTATGTGAATAATTTTTTTATCACCCATTAGTCAATTCGACCGACATTCATCAGTCATAGCTTCAAAATAATAAAAGTGGTGTTCTTTCTTTTCCTACAATTTTGAAAATGCTGTGGCACATCAAGGACATTGTCGTGGCACACCAGTTGCAAAGCACTGGCATAGAGGGCCAAACTATGGATAAAGGTAATAGAATATTGTGACTGAATTGACTTCAGTGAGTTGCTACTTTATGATATGGGAGGGATGCTTTTGCACATAGTCTCATCCACCCCTTCTTGAAGTTTGCCTTTGATCATTTACCTGAACTAAATTATTCTATGAATAAACTCATTAATGAGAACACATGCATAGTGTTCCACACCCATTGATAGATCCACTTCCCTTTGGACCTAAGAGTATATCTTTAGTGTTTGCTCTTTTTTTTTATTTTTTTATCTCTTCCAGGTATAGACTTGAAAGGGAAAAAAAGGGAGCCTGATATGAGAAAAGCCCAAACTTTGTCTGGATCTACACAACTGGGAGTAATTACTTACAAAGATCCTTGATCTACACCATGGCATTCTCATGGACTTATCAGCACATCAAGCTAGGCTCCTTGCATCAATTTCTGCAAGTCCCAGTCATAGCGAGACTCTGTCTTAGCAGAACATCAACAGACCTTCCCAAGAAGTCTGTATTCATTAGCCAGTGCCACAATGTTTATACAAACTTGGCTCTTGAGGACTGGTTCTATAAGAATTACAAGTTTGAGAATCAAGTTGCTCTAATGCTGTGGTGGAACAATCCCTGTGTTGTCATTGGAAGACATCAGAATCCCTGGCTTGAAGCTGATACAAAATACCTGAAGATGAATAACATCATGGTTGCCAGAAGAAATAGTGGAGGGGGAGCTGTCTATCATGATGAAGGAAACCTTAACTGCACTTTCTTTACTTCCAGAAATTCTTACAATAGGAAGAATAATCTGCAGATGCTATGTGAAGCTCTTTGGAAGACATGGGGAATTGATGCAGAAGTCTCTGCACGAGATGACATTGTTTTACATGGGAAAAAGGTAGGTTGATGGTATTCCTAATAAGCATTAATGAGCTTAAGACATTTTTATTTTGGCACATCCCTAAACTGAAGATAAAAGTGGAATTGTTATACTACACTTATAAACCCAGACCTGTACAAAATCAGTGTTATGAGAAGGTGTTAGATATACATGAACTAATTATTTTCAATATTGACCCAAACTAACTGCAGTGTCTCTCCAAATTATTAATAGAAAAGTAAGTATTTATTACACAGCAACAGAAGCACAGGGACACTCACAAGAGCACTCATCTTCTCACTGCCTTTAGCATGATAATGACAACAATGCTGGCAAACATGTGGGATAAACTTGCACATCACTATGCGCTTTGCCGGGCAGTATAAGGTGGATATGTTGAGAGGTAAATAAAATTACTGGCTTGATGTGTGTGACTCAAGTTTGATAATTCTGTGACAAATACTTCTTGTGTAATGAATATTTATTTTTTATGAATAATTTTGAGACACACTGTGTATGGGGTGTGCTATGAAGTGGATGTTGTGAGTATTATCGATCATTTTTAACTTTGCCATGTAAGTGGCTAAGGTGAAACCTTCAGCATTTTGAATTCTGATCCATTTCCTTTACACATGCATCAGAGTTCTCAGCTTCATTTGATGAACCTAACCTCAGTGTGGCTGATGAAATGCCAGCAGCTTCTCAAAATGCAGAGGTCAAAGGCAATAAAACACATTAGGGAATTTAAAATCTGGCAAGACCTCCTGATCCACACAATCAAGTCCCCCAAATCCAAGGCATTCAGTGCCCCCATGTGATTTACCTAGTCTTGCCTAGATATGATGCTAAGAGAAGAAACTCTCTCTATTCCTTGACCTGCTTGGAGGCTTGAAGTTGTCAAGTGATCAGGTAACTCAGGATACTGCAAATGAAGTTCATAAGAAGCAGTTTCTAGACTTTCAAGTAGCAATTTACTATTTGTCTATTTTGTGTGAATACCTATTTTAGCTGGTTCTGAGAGGTGGATTTCTTCTCTTCAATTTTCTGGGAATGAAGGAATAAGTGAAAAGGCCAAAGCATGTAATAGTGTACATGATCAGAACAAGAGAAAAATGTTAAGCAGTGACCAAAATCCCCTATGAAATGAGTAGGAAAGAAACATAACCAGAATAAATAATTGTTTCATCTGCACAGAATCTCTGATGAGATAAAGGAACAAAAAATAAAAGGTAGACCAAAGGGAAATAGTCTCCAACTTGAAATTTTAGAAAGTGCTCTGACAAGGTTTGTGCATGATTGCATTTAAGTCAACATCCATATTATTAACCATATTTAGGTGTCTGGGACAGCAGCCAAGCTTGGGAGAGAGAATGCTTATCATCACTGTACTCTTCTTGTGGATTCAGACAAGGATCTGATGACTCAATCTTTGCATGTGGGGAGAGTAAGTTGACCCTTGGCATAATTTTATTCAATTGTATATCCAATGTTAGTGATATACAACCTTTATTCTTGAAAGGGCCAAATTGAGGTTAGGTTCTGGGGCTGCAGATACTACCATAGGGTCTGCCATATCTGTTTATTGATGAGGGACTTGATAAGCAGCCCAACTAGTGTGTGTAGGGTACAGTTATGCTGAAAAGTTGTCTTGCACCCAATGCAAATGCTGCAATGTATTGGAGTTAGTCAGTGGCAGCTCCAGTTGTGAGGGAGGTGATGGACTATTTATATTTTCAGCCTTCATTTTATTAATCATAGGTTTGAGATTACATATATTTAAAATAATAGAGATTGAAGGCATCAAGGGGTTACATCAGGGTTCTGTGGCCACAGATTGTGCATCACTGCCATAGATTTATCATTTCAATTGTCTACTTTCACAACTTGGGATTGGGTATGATGTTCATACAGACACAGTTTGAAACAAGAGCAACAGAGAGCACTACTTCCCAAGTGACGTGTCTAAGTGATTGGCATCCTGAGGTGACTATTGAGGATGTGATGAAGGCAATAGGACGAGAATTTCTTCAAGGAACATATGTGGAGGGCACCTCAACAGGCTTCCATCTGATTCATCCAACCAACTTTTGGTTTCATGGTAAGAGAAACTGATGTCAATGCTCTAGGTTGGTGGTTCTCAACCTTCTCAAACATGTGACTCACAGGGAGTATTCTTAGGTATTGTACAACTATCTCTCTTTGTAGTGACGTGTAGACCTCTATCTGTAAGTCTGTAAGTTTTGCTGCAGTCATAAGAAGTTTTGTTATTCTTTGATATTATCCCTAACTCCTTGTGACCCTCTTTGTGCCCTGCCATGACCCTATTTGCCCACAGTTTGAATACTGTCCCAGACCACAATTGAAAAAATGTAATAATAATGTGTCCATTCATCTCTTGCATTATTATTAGAAGACTTATCAGGTTCTTGTGGTATTTGCAGGGTTAAGTGAAATGAAGGAGCACTTAATGAGTTGGGATTGGATTTATGGGATGACACCAGATTTCAAGGAGGAGGTCTCCATACTTTTCCCATCAGTTGGACCAATTTCATCTGTTGTCACTGCTTCTGTTCATGTTCACAAAGGTTCCTTTCTCTGCTCTCCTTTGCCACTAGTAGTGTGCTGTGAAGAAAAAATTTTAATTGCACAGAGATGCTGAATGAGATGTGAACCCATGGAGGAATTAGGGGTTGTGATTTATTTTTCCCTTCAGGACTCATTGCAGAAGTAAAAATAGGAGTTCATTCTGGTGAAAGCAGAGACATTCACCAATACCAGGAAGTGATGGAGACCCTGAAGGGCCGTGCTTACCGGGCTAGGATCCTCCAAGACTCCATTACCAATATACTCAAGGGACTTCCGTTGCCTACAGATGAGGAGATAGATGCTGGCCAAGTTCTTGGAGCCACGGTGGAAGGAGAATCCAATGTCCAGGCTCCTGGCTTCCTTGTCTCTCTTTAGCTTTTCCCCTGGTCATGGTCACTGTGATACTATTACTCTTCCCCCATGTGTTTTTATCATGAGGTAATTACTTAAACCTGTTCAGTTATCAGCTTGCTGTACACAATTTGCCTTTAACATTCTCAGAGATTTTTTGAAGATATTTTGATTGACAAGATTGTAAAAACTTTCTCTTTATGATTGTCTTTGTGATTGCTGTGATGCAAACTATGGGTGCTGCAATGGGTACTACTTACTTTTGCCCAAGTCCATGACATTCAACAATGAGGCATCTGCTAATGACTCCCATATCATTCCAATGCATTGGGTCTTTTCATTTCTTCATGCAATCTTTGATGCCTTTCAACCACATCAGAATCAAGTAAAGATCTCAGCCATTTGCAATACATCAGGGGTTCCCAACATAAGTGAGGACTGGGAACAGTGGCATAGGTGGACGCATTCCAAACAGAGTTGGGGGGGGGGGGGCCCCGCCTCGCTACGCCACTGATTGGGAGACACAAGGGCACCACTCAAGAACTTAAGGAGCCATGCCACCAAACTAACAAATATGGAAATTTGACCTGAAAATTATCCTGTGACATGTATTTCATATTTAATTTATTTTTAAATATCATTTGACTATCAATGATAATTGCATTGACCCTATGCGTCACGGAATAATTTTTTTTTTACAGGGGTCGTTCAGAAGTAATGCCTCCTATTTTATTTCTCCTTATTGATTGATTCCCCTTATAGATTGCTCAAAGCTCTTTTGAGGCATGGTAGTTTCATTCTTTTACCCTGTAAGCTTGAAGGTAGAGAATTTTTTATGACCATCCCAGCCAAGTTTACCATCAAGCGCTTAACCCCGCATGAATAATATTGCTGGCAAGGGAAACAATATATTTGGTTTCTTTTATTTTACGCGGCTTGGGAAACACCTACGTGCATTTTAAGCATATTATCTGGTATGGCATTTAAATTGAAATTATAACGATGATAAAACTTTAATGAAATCATTCAACTTCCTTAGTTGCACCATCAACCAAATATGCATTTTCCGTCGTGCGTTTCTCGACATATCTTCATCGCTTTCTTAATCCAACTCGTGAGGAGCTGGGAAAAGGCTGAGAAAAGAATTTCTGAAAATCAGCCCATCCTTCAAAACTTTCTTTGCCTTCAAGTCCTCCCTAATCTATATAATAAAATATACCTTGGTGGTCGGAGGCATGCGCGCGCGCACATATGACACACGCTTGTGCACACAACGCGATCGCGTGTGCTCTCCCATAGCCATAGTAACAGATACACGCAACGTGGCCAAAGGCCACTAACGTAGGGAAACGTGCGCGGCGGGCAGCGATGTGAGTAACGTGAGGCCGCCTATAAAAGCCCACTTACCACATTGTCCTACAAAGCGACGATTTAAGGCAACGTCTTGATCTTTAGGTTACCCTTTCGTCTTCGCTCGGCGTCAGTTCCTCGTCCTTTGCCATGACGATTAACGAAGCGCAGGGGCAAACCTTCAAAAAAATTATTGGTGTTTTTGCCACATCCTATCTTCTCACAAGGCCAACCAGTGGCGAATATAGGGGGAGGGGAAAAGGCGACCCCCCCCCCATGGCTATTTTCGTATTCATTGCCTTCAAATTCTTCCGTGCTTTTGCACGGGCTACCTACTAGGTTTTTTTATGACCTGTTGAGCCGCGCAGGGACGCCCCTGCCACATTGTAAATGCATCCACTCTTGCTACGTTGTGAACATATTATCAAATGATTAATTATTACTATTATAGCATTTTGAAGAAAAAAATTATTTAATACGTTTAGCGGACATACTTTTCAGTAACCCAATCGTGCCCCAAGGTTTCATTCAGAACCTCCGATTGATTCTCAAGATTTTTCCTAGCTATAAACTTTTTTGGAGTGACGGATATTTTGACTTAAGCAGAAGATTCTATTCAATGATATGTTTACATGTTGTCTTTCTAGTATTTTAAACAATTTTAGAGGTATTCTTCGTAAATCATTCATCGTACCGAGAGACGCTATTAGCTGATGAGTGAAGGTCAACATTTTTTCCCTTCAGTTCGCTTTCCGCTTGGCGAGTGGGAAGATATATTGTAAATTCCATTCCTGAGGACCTCGAGAAAGCAATGCATGAGGCGATGGCCAACAGTCGGAGTGTGTATCTTGCTGCCAAGCACTTTGGGTTGCCGTATGACGAAAAACAACCTGGACAACCATGGAAACTATAAGAAGATAGGTTGATGATATGCCCTAACTTGACAAAAGCGGAAATCGAAGTGAAGTTGGTGAAATAAGTGCCAAACATTGGTTGAACCTGCATGAGAATGACGTCAAGGAAACGGAAGTCTCCGCTAGAGAAGGGGGAAACGTTAGGGACGTTTAGTTTCTTTTACGAATTAATCATTTACAGGGTATTTCGAAAGTTTCTGACCTACTAAATAAAGACGGAGACGAGATTAACGGGAACATATTGCTAATAATTACATTCTACGCGGCCAAGAATATCCCAGATACCAACTCCTACATCGGATCAGCGTCCTGGATCTCGCAACCAACCGACGGATGACACTCGTTGCGTTGGTTTCTCACTCCACATCGCACCCTGGTAATGACTGACGCCCGTTATTTGGGGTGGGGCTGACGCAGAGCACTCTGCTGGAACCTGTACCACAGGTGCCGCGTGTTGAAGTAGTTCCTTGGTAAATTCTTCTAAACCCGCACCATAGTCTCTTGCATGAGCGACTCGTGATATTCACCGCTAGTGTATTCCTAATGGAGGTAGGGTAGCCCCGGGCCTACCTTGCCTCCATTTACGAACTACTACTGCTGAATATCACGAGCCGCCACTGGTCTCTTGGATGGCACAGAACGCGAAGCAAGCCAGGTGGGGTGGCATGGGGCTCCGTCCTGCATCGGTGCAGCCTTTCTTCGTCTGAGCAGATCGCCCGGTTCTTCATCTAACTCGTGTAGATTATCAGGATGTAGCTGGCATAGCATTTAGTCACATTCTGTGTGAGTGGGTCAGAATCTTGGAACACCCTGTACATGCAGGAGGCTTGCAGAGGAAGATAGGGCCAAGAGTTGCCACAGATTTGTCCCGAAGAGGGACGGGGGACGACGTCCAGTTTTTTTCATGCAATATTGAACAATCCATGTTGTGGAGCTGCCATACCATACGGCAAATTATTTTAATTAATTATTTATTTATTCATCCCGTCCTGCTTCATTTCGTGCGTTGTTCCCTCTCTCGAGAATTTCGTGCCTCCATTTACAGGGTGTCCACTAAGTCCTGTCACCACCTGTGGCAAAAATTTAACCATAATTTTATTATGAACATGGGGGCGACAGGACTTTGTGGACGTCTTGTACGGTGGTTTGCGAGCCCTACTGCGCCAAATATAAAGAAAGGGGGCATTCGTGCACTTCTCAGCCGGATGGGAAAGACTCTTCGGTTCAAGTCAGGGCAATAAACGTGAAATCCCACTGCTGATAGCAAGGAAGAAGATTGAATGCTGCCTACCGAGTATTTCGTCGTGAAGTAACTCTGTCACAAGTGCAAACTGCCATCTGTTGACTCACTGTGGAACTGACTTGCTATTGACGGCAGCTGCTATCTGGTGGCAGAACTTCAGACAGAAGGAACTCACATACATACAAATCAACGATCTTGATATTCAGTTTAAAAAGTCTCACATTCGACGTTTTCTGTCGGACGGAATGTAAGTAGTTTAACTCCTCAGTCCTGAATTATGTGCTAGACATGGAAAAAATGTCATTTACTTTTTGGGCTTCAACAAGCCTTATATAACATAAAAGTGCTTTTAATATGGTTTCCTCGAGTAAAATTAAATATTTATTTCAATTATTTAAATAAATTAAATTAATGTATAAAATAATGTTAATTAATTAGTTTAGCTAGTACTCATATCCCTATTTTACGTCGTGCTTCCCAGCATTTCTGTACTACTTTCCATTATCTAGCTTACAAAAATAGAAAAAATTTTCCTGGGAAAGAAATGTCCTAGCTGAAATAAATGTAAATGATGACACCATGTTTGAAGTGCCAGAGGAAATACAGGGTGGACCAAAAATAAGGTAGCTGAAAATGAGTTTTTGTTTCATTTCAGGGCAACATTGGATAATTATCATGCCTCAATATTCTGTTGAGGAGCGTGTATGGATTGTCGAATACAATTTCGAAGCTATGATGCAGGCCAAATACAGTTCAAATGTGTGTATAAAATAAATAAAATCATCCTTAATTAAATTGTAGTTTCGGTTACCTTTTTTTTGGCCCACCCTGTATTACTGTGGACTGCTGTCATCTTGACATGTGGTGAACTACTACAGCATAAACAAGGACTCAGAATCCCGCCATGGCCTCAAAGGTCATGTATTCCTACGTAGCCCCATGACATGCGAAGAAAATGCAGGACTTCTAAGTCCCGCCAGGACCAAAAGGGTTAAAGGAAAAATGTGTTGTTCGGAGGTGCTAGTCCATAGACATTATTTGTTTCAACCGGAAGTGTTTGACCCTAAACATGTTTTTAATATTTTGATCGATATTTTTGAGTGCCCTGTATTTCAGTTCTTGGCGACACTAAGTACATCGCTATGGTCAGTCTAGGCAGTTGATACCACATATGTTGAAATCTGACCGATCGTTTTTGTTAAGGCATCCAGGTTATTTTGTTGCAGTAGTCCCCAAACTTTTTAAGATGAGTCTCTTTTTTAATTATTGCATTTACTTTTCAGCTCTTGCAGTGCTCGTTCAGTATTAGGCACCCCGAAAACGCAACCTGGTGCTGAAGACGATTCCAAACCAGCTTTATGCCCTCGGATTGGTTTAATACCTAACGGACATTACTTTCAGTACCCTCGATACGAAGAGTTCAGTACTTGAGACCTTCCAAGCGTCCATCGATCCCTCATTTGTTGGAATGGGTTCAGTGCTTTTCCACGAGGTCTTCTCTCGGTTCCTCTTTCTGTGCCCGGTCGCCAGAAGCACCAAACCGTCTCCAAATGCTGGACCGTTACAGATGAACCTCGCGTGGCACTCGTTTACCGCGGTGAAGGAAGCTAATCGATTTGAACTCGATGCGTGAAAGTATGTTTTGAAGGAGGGAATTTTTATGGAACGGGCATTACGATTCGTTGCGCAACGCTTCTTGGAACTGAGTCAGGATTCCCAAGGGAAACTCGTCCGCAGGATCAGCATTCCCGGAGGCCCTGGGCGAATGGTATCCAGCAGAGAAAACTGCTGAAGTGAAAGTAGATTCAGTGACTTAGGCTCCTCAGCCGTGTGATGCCCTTGATCGATCCTTTCCAGCGTAGGGAAAGAGCAGAAACCCCTGTAGCTCACTTCCCATCCCGTCGAGAGGCCCGAGGAATCCCTCGACCTCCTCTGTTTCCCTGGCGCAAAAGATGCACGTTATCTGAGTGGATCTTTCGATTCTCTCATCTTCGTCGCCTTCAAATGTAACAGTGGGAACATTTTCATTAGATCCCCCTGATATCGTCCGTCCGTATCGTTTTGACTGCATCCCCATTTCGTTTGCTGATGGGGAGGGATTGTTTAAGAATTGAAACTACATTAAAATTCTCAGCTGGACAATGAAGAATTTGCAATTCATCATCATAATATCCTGTNCGGGACCCCCCCCCCCCCCCCCCAACGGACTTTTCCCCCAAAATACATGATGTACCAAAAGTAGAGTCGGGATTTTTACGATGCACTATCAGAAAAGAAAGCGAAGTAGAATGAAGTCAATATACTTACGACACTCTTGAGTGTCAGGGGTTATATTACGTAAATGTGTTCCATCTCGTAAGCAACATTCACGGGCACGGATCACGGCTGCCTCCATCCCTATGGCAAGGACTTTCTGGGAGAGTCTCAATGACATCCCTAACGTTGTCTAGCGATGCTACTAGTCGTCGAGTCCCGGACTTGATAACATATGCCATCCTGTTGGAACCATAGGTCCCTCACGGAAAGGTTATAGTACTGCAATGCATACGATTGCTGCCTGCGAGATGGAACACATTTGCTAGGCATTATTTCTCACGTGTAACGCGAGCGTGAATATCACTTGATAATTGTGTAATTTAGCTCCTGACCCTCAGGAGTGTCGCAAGAATATTAACTTTGCTTTTTTTTAAACGGAAATACAACATTCAAATCCTAACTCTGCTTTTGGGACACCCGTACTATTTTGAATCAGAACGAAAAGGAAGATGTAAGGGCAGCTAAAGCCCATTCTTGCAGAGGTTGGGAGTGGCGTCTGGGGTCTTCCTTCATATTGCGTTGATTTTAATCCGATTACTGACCCTGCTACACCTATTTGTATTGTGTTTTTTTTTCTGAATAGAAATACTCGACGATTCGCTCAATATCTTTGCCACTCGATGTTGGCATGTTCTAATTCAATAATGTTTTATAGTACCATCTCGTCACAGCAAATTAATTTGTCTATTAAACTAGGTGCGCACGTTCTTCAAGAACATGAGCTCACCCATATGATTGTAACTGAAGAGGGATTTTTATCCCATAACTTCATAAATCCCCCTTATACATAAGGTGTGACATCGTACCTTCCCGGATTAACTCAATGGGGTTTACTTTTGTAAAAGTTGAAATGGCTATTCAAACTCATTGTACGAACCAGTTGCATGTAATCCGCTCCAAGTCACATTCTAAATTGCAAATACTTGAAAACACCGATTTCTATTAATCTTAGAACAGTACCGCCTTCAAATTGACTTTTTATTTTCTCGACCTAGCATATTCCATCACATTACAAAAATGTTACATTTCGTGCATGCACGTTCGAGGACAAACGAGATTTGCCACAGAGGCGTCATCCAGCAGGCCTACCACAAAATAAAGAGCTCAGGTGAAAAAAGTTTTCTCAATGAGACTTCCACAGGATTTCCTCCTCGTTTCGTGAGCATGGGAGGGTAGCGTGAGAGATCGCATCCGTGTGAGACCGTGTCACACAATCATCTTACACTTTTCGAACGATAGACTATTGGAGCACGTGAAAGCTACTTCGAAACGGAGAAAGGCCGTCTCGGAGACTAACCTCCATTTCCATCTGAAGAAACAGAGGAAGTCTATAGCGATGAAAGCTTACTTTATTCAGGAAGAGTTCTAGCTTCCATATCCAGCTCGCTCTCAGTCTCAAAAATGACAATCGACACAAAATGACATACAAACTCACACATTCGTATACAACATGCGCGCGTGACACACATCCACATCACCTGATTTTACGACGTCTACAAACAGGGACATCGTTGAGGCAAATAGAAAGAGGTGGAAGCGTAACCGCGGAAAAGGCTTCAGACTGGGATCATTATATTACATGGGGAGAGAGAGGGAAAAAGATGATCACGCGGGGATTTCTCGGAGTGCGTTGTTCAGCACTCTTTGAACGAGAGCAGAGATCCTTTCGCTGATTTCAGGCTTGATCTCCTGCAGGATCTCTCGCCCCGTCTCTCGATCGTTCACCACTGTGTTGATGATGCCCGCTGAAAGAACAGAGGGGAACCGTCATCACTTGCCTGGCCTTTTAATGAAGTGACTTCGAAGTTAGACTGCACCTACCAAACGGATCGCCATTCTGGCTCTTGAATTCCATCTTTCGACCTTGAAGGTCAAAGTCGATGGCGATGTCGTCGACTCGATAACGTCCATTCACTTCCCGGATGGTCCCCCCTCCTTGTGCCCTCACGAAATCTGCCAACAGAGACATGCTATCACCCATCTCCATCTCGTCACATCTCAAAGTGAAATGCGTCGAGCTTCGAAGTTCCCGATTCGATGCCGCTGCTTTTTCTACCGATTCCTCTTGCGCCCCAGAAGGGCTTTCCGAGAACAAGGAAACGGCACCTCTTCACCATGAGATTTCTCTTGCCCCGCGAGGCCTTCTCCAACCACTGCTATCATCAGTAGACAGAGTGAAAATGGGCGATTCATTCACTCATACCACATGCATCGATATTGAAGTGCCATCGGATGAAAGTGAGAATATTGGGAGCAGCCACAGAATTCATTTAACACGTTGACGACCAGCCTATTTTTGCTTGTCCGCCTCGTGGGACAAAATCTGCATCCTGGCATCAGGACGCATTGTCGCCAACGTGTTAATCACTTATTGGAAAGTCAATGAGGGGGGGGGGCGTCCAAATTAGGCAAAGCATGCTACCTCCTTCTCTCTGGTGTCAATTATGAATTATACGCAGGGTGAGGGCAATGCGAATTCACATATACATCATATGATAAGATATTCCAGAGTAATAATGAAATGGGTTTCTGAGAATCCCATGACTTTCATGAAGTGAAATAAAGATGAACCTAAGCAAGAAGCGTACATGAAGGTTTCCTTGTGGTTAGAATGGATGTGACGGGTTAACTCGTCGTTACACCTATGCATTCTTCTTATGTTCATTGTGCTTATACCACTGCATTTCCAGCGAGGTCACAGGGAAATTGGGAAAGAGACGAGATAATTCGTATGAAATTAGAATTGCTGTGGACACCACGATTTTGTTGACGTCCGCCCTGACGCTTTCAAGTCAGGAGAGAACACAGGATTTTTGGTTGGGGGGCTAAGTATTAGTGCAGCTGAATGCCAAGATGATTGGAGTTCCCAGCGTCCAATTCCCCCCCCCCCCCCCCCATACGCCACTGTTTCAGATAGGATTTGAGAATGTACTTATGCATACGCAGACAAGAGTGGCTACACTGGCTGCACGAAGTGAGCTGCCTGTTAGCCCAAGGTAAACAGCGGATGTGATTGTAGCTTTGTCCGAAGAAGAGCATGGAAGAGCAGTGTGATTCTGGTGGCGGAAGATACAGACATTGGAGAAATCTATCGACGAACGTGTGCAGTACATGGTAAAGGCTGTTTGTCACAATCTGCCGTTTGAGGACTGAAGCCAACGCTTCCGACAGGATGCTATCAGAATGCCTCAATCTTCGACTGAACTACTTTGGAATCCAAGGGGTACACACCCATCCGATAAGCTTGATCATTCTCACGGACGAGGATGTGCAAAGATTCTCGCATGCACGTGCTCGCGCAGTAATTCCAAGGAAAGGCGTCAGTTGTCCTTGATCAACCGATATGCTTTCGCGGCATCGGAATCTGAAATAACCTCGTGTGCCTAGCCTTGTCATGGCACGTCCTTCACACACTTCCTGCCCTATCGTTATTGGCACCAACACGCGGTGGATTGCAATAAGTAACCTTCACCATATACTGCATACGTTTGCCGATAGATTTCAACAGAGTATTTTTCCCTTCCGTCATCAGATACTGCATTATACTTCTACTGTGCTCTTTGAACGCGCCCGGTATCTCACCCACCATTTTATTTTGGCTACAGCGCAACGTACCACATGCGGAGATTTTCACCAACGTGAGTACGGATGAAAAAGCACATTCCCTAGCACTGCTTGGAAGTGCGGAATGTTACCTACATAACCACAGCCTTCACAGCAGTTTTCTTAGTTTCATATGACACCCTCGTATTTTGAATTAATGAATTCGCCACAAGTGTTCCTTAAGTAACCACAACTATAAAGCGTATTCCTTGCATGCACAAGGATGCCAATTCAAGCTCTTCCATGCTCGTTGCTGCGTTTAGTCCCTATACCCGACAGGTCTCATATCTATCATCACTCCATTTTTTGGAGGCCCTGGGATAATACGAGAAATGTACATCAGCTGATCGGTATCCTAAGATTAGGAGTAAATTGTTCATTTTCCTTTCTTGTTCCTGTCGTTCCAGGTTAGAATATCTCAAACTTAAATAATGGATGTTGTTCTTGGGAACGGAAAAGAGCTAAAGCTGAGGAAAATTAATAGACCCATTCTAGTTCTGTACTTAATGGTTTCATGTCAGGAATTCGTTAAAATGTTACAATTGTGTATGTTTTGCAGACGAGGATAAATGAGAAAGCTTATACAGTATTATCTTCCTAAGGCTCAATGATAAAAAATAATTTCCCATTTACCGGAGATTAAAGCGGTGTGCCAACCTCTGCTCCTGTGTCAAGGCTGTGTATTAAGCAAAAGTAAAGTAGGGAAGATGAGAGATGAGGCCGAAGTCCACAATGCTGGCTCATTAACTATATTCAGTGAGGTTGTCTATCTCTTCATGAACTGAAGCTAATACCTAAAAAGTCTAGTAGGAGTACTAGGAAAAGAAATGCAACTTCAAAGCGCATAATGCTTTATATAAACTGACAATAACTTCCTCCTCCCCTGACCTTTCTTTGCACATGCCTCTTCTACACCTGGCAACGCTTGAAATCTCATGGCAAAATATTGATTGCTTCTCCCTCCTCTGACAAGATTCAGTTCAAGCAAAGCAGGCAAGCTCCAGGTGCTGTTTACAACTGTGACACAATTATGCGAATTATTCCGATTGGCGCTGACTGTACTTTTACTCTGCATTAATTTAGTATTTTTTCGCTGTACGCCTCTTAAGTCAGGCTCGGAAGTACCCCACCCCACTTTTTTTTTCCAATATTGATTTTATTATTATTATAAAAAAAACGCTTTCTGGGCATCATAAGTTCACAACCTCACAAGCCCCTCCCTGTGTATCGATTTTGATTACCATCAGTAAAACTCGCCTCTTTCACAGTTGACCCAGTTTCAAGTCAATTGGTTCCCTGAACGATTTTGGGGGGTTTGATGAGAATTTAATTCTGAACAGGCGAACAGAGTGGAATTTTATGCTTCAACTGCAGTTCCACTCGATAATATTTCTGGAAAAGCAGGGTCGGCCGATTCTGAAGCTGTGGGGTGAAAAGCATAAAAAAAATATATGGACATTTTTATTGCAACAAAATGTCAAATTTGACTTATTAGAAATTTATTTTTTTTAATCCTCACCCCCCCCTTTTTTATTTATCAAAAGTTGGATTAACGAGAAATGAGAGTCACGGTGAACTCACCAAATTCAGCTTCGAAGATCCCCTCACTTAATGTCAGTGGTCGTACGGGGAAGAAAAAGCTGAGGAAATTGGTGGTCATCTTGTATTGGCCGACTATATGCATGGAGGGAATCAACATCCTCAGTCCCAGCCGACCTGTCTTCGTGTCCACCCTGAGAAAACAGCCATATCTCACATACATGGTACAATACGTGAGACCCACAGAACGAAGGAAACAAGTGCAGAAGTTATAAGTAGCGATATTACCAAGAATGGGGCGGAATGCGTCCCTGCCTTATTTTATCACAATCTTGCCCTATGCCATTCTCGAATACCTCTGTATCATTTGAAGACAAAAGGGGTACGAGACGAAGCACATATAGAATCTCTTTTTGGGAAACAGGTCCACCCTGGCATTAAACTTGCGCCATTCCCCAATTTCAGTTGTAATACCCATCATACGGTCACGATTGCATTCGGCCAGTACTAAGATTGAAACGAACGGTATAACACAATAAAATCATTCTCCATTTTCAGCTTGACTTGCCAGTTCCACAATGGACCGACGATTCGTCGACGCCAGCTGTAATAGTTTTCCCGTTGTCTAGTCTTTTAACTTGACAGAACCAAAACGGCTATCCGTCAACCGGAGAGATCAATTTCGCATTCGTCCTCTCGTCATGTTGAATGCTGGATAAGGTGCCGCTCTGGGATTCCATCGTGTTCCGTGCCATTCGCAGCAGATGCGATTTAAAGCAGATTCGAGGCTTGAGACTTGCGAATCGGTTGAGCTGCGGACGAACTGTTCCCGGATTGAAACATGACAAATATAGGACAGTGTGATGATGCTGGTTCTAACGTAAGTGTCTCCAACTTGGTGAACAGTGGGGGCCACGGGTGCGGTCCTCGACAGCTTTCGCGAGTCGCACCAACCATCGGATAGGCATTCGATACCGAAATGCAACCGTATCCCTATGCCAGCAAGCCACCATAGTTTCCAGCTTGAACTGGATAGATTTAATTTACTCGATTCCCATATGTATGTTTCTGTTACAGACTAACTATATTCTTTACCGAGAATTATCCTCGGAATGACGGTCGAAATGGAAATGAGAATCGAGCCGCATCAGGAGGGCAAGCGAACCACGCTTTGGGAACCCTCTGCTCAAATCGATTCGTTGAAGCCAGCAACTTACCGAATCGGGAACTGAAAATCCAGACCGGAACGCGAATGTTCTCAGCGCGAAATAGGTGGGGTGAACCTCTCCGCTATTTCTAATCGTGAAGAACAACGCACTTCCATCAAACGAAGCGCCGTAGCCTTGTGAAAGAGACAAGTACAGGAGATTTATTATACGTACTACAGGAATGTGGTATTGCCACCTAAAATGACAATGATTCCTTAGTCGTACGTTAGAGAGTTCTCACCTTCGTCCGTGTTTCAGGAAACCGGTTGAAATCGAGCATCTCTTCCTATCGGTTCGGTCGGGGAGCCTCAATTGCCATCGACCAGTGTCCGCTTTTATCGCGCATATCGTTTGTTCCCATATCGAGTCGGTGAAGCACAGTACTTCCAGTACCCCTAGCCCCCCTTCTCGGACGCACGAGATGTCCCAATGCGGTCCCCGATATTTTATAATCGTCCTCGCTGGACGAAAACATTCTCTCGTTCTCTCGACTCATTGGACGGCGTGTTTCTAGCTACGGGCGTGCGTCATCCGTCACCTTGACATGGAAGGGGCAGGGGAACGAGTGAAAGCAAACGGGTCGGATGTGCGACAAGTGGCTACAGTAAATAAAGGAGAGATCTTGTCTCGCATGGAGAAAAGATCCGGCACTCGCCCTATTCACACCGGATTGCATAACCCGAACCCGTTCTTTTCCCAAACCCCCATTTCCTTCCCTTTATTTTGTTTCGAAGTAAGAGCTCGCACCGAGGTGACGAATTGACGGAATCATCCGCGAACTGGTTCTTACTTCATCCGCACGATTCGCGACGCCCCGAGAGAAATACGTACGTCAGGTCGAGGTTCCTCTCGTTGACGGCGCGGCCGACGCCGGTCACTTGGATGTCGGTGAAGTTCCCGTCGAATCCCGTGTTATCGTTGAGTCGAATGATGGGAATGAACAGGGGATCCAAAGGAGGGACGTTCAATTCCGGGATTCCAGCCGGCAATCGATCGGATTCCGAGATCAAGATCCCTTTGAGGCAGGGACCCAACTCTCCGTTCGGCGATCTGCCACTCCGACACCCGCGGATCCCCTGACCTGGAAATTTCATGCACTCGTCTTTATGATATTCCACGCTCCGGGCCGGGAATCGACCGGTCGTCCTTAACCCCATCGCATTGACCTTGAAGTTAATCCACATTTCGTCATGTTCCCCATCGCCAGAGGGGAAACCTGTCCCGAGCGCTATCAGGGAATCGGGTTTCATCAGAAAGAAACACGGGTTTCAACTTTACTTTCAGTCGCAGTCCGCTTGAGGTCAAACTGCGGTCGATTCGATGGCCCAGTTGACCGAAACGATGACTGGACTGACGCGAAACTGGGATTCTCGAATCCCTCTTCCAATCGTAGTTCCTCAACTTTCGACAGGGGAACACCGTACTCGTCAAGTTTCGTACATTACATGAATACTGTACATCTCCGATATGAAGCAACGAGAACGAACTGTCTGGAACGAGGGACCCAAACCTCGTCACCTTTGAGGCAACGGCGACAATACCACTTCTCGATACCAGTAATGACTGAAAAGTGCACCAACAAAATTTCTCGGCCGCTTGGGAATCCTACAGGAAAAATCTATTTTTATTTGACTTTATTGGTTGACATGCCTTCCTCTGTCTCCTCTCGTCTGTTCAACCGGGCGCAGATGCATTCTAGACATTAACTCTGCTTTTAAATGCTGCTCAGTTGAGTTAAACTAATGCGGTACATTGCATCGCATCGGTTGCGAATAATGACTCATTCTTTAACTCGATGTCATGACTCTTAACTCTCCTCCAGTTAAATTCTCGTGGACATATTTCGCCTTGTGCATGCCCTAAGTGCCTCGAATGTATCCTTTATGTACTTCTCTGATAATGTTTTCACTCGCACTTAGACGAGACAGAAGGTAATCCTTCCAATTTTGGGAGGATTTGTTCAAAACAGACAAACGGTAAAATAGTTTTTGTTGCTGATCAATTGAAGAAAGATGGTTCTGATCCGTTTCATCAGACACATAGTTGAAACTTTGAGAACATTTCACTGCACCTTCCATCCACGAGTATGGGAAATGTAAAGCCCATGCCATGTCCCATCTCGGAGATTTCAGCCGTGTCATCCGCCGATTGAATCAGCTTGCTCTACATCGAAACCATTTCGTAGATATGCTCCAAACTTCTTCGCGCTCTTTACCTTGCGATCGTTTTTATGTTTCATTTACAATTATATCGTCTGGTACAATTATGCGCCCTCAGCTCCACTATTGCATTCCCTTCTCATCTTCCTTAGAGTAAGGCGTTGTTTTAACCCTTATCCGGGCAAGGTATTTTTGTGACACAAACGGGCAAGGCCAAACATTTTTAGAATTTTTTTCCTTAGAAGCAAATCCAAACTTTAAAAGTTCGTTTCTGAATCTATGGATGACTGTCTATGAAACCCATATAAAATTTTCAGAGAGTAATGAAATGAAATATACCCTGGGGAGTCCAATGGACCCCCCTTGCCCGGATAAGGGTTAAAGACTCGACGGGATCCAACGTCAAGCGACACGATTCATTCAAGTCAATGAAGGTAACGACTAAGGCGTTGCGGTATGCGCTGAATTCCACGGTAAGTATACCGTTGCTCAATACCGGTGATACCACCAAGAAACGGGGGTGGGGGACTACCTCAGTTCCGATCTCCCAGAAAAAGCCCCACGAAGAGGGGGGAATCTTCCTATTGTGATGGCATCGAGCTAGTCGCACATCCGCATTTGTCATTCGATTAAATGGCAAGGGGATTCGTCCGTTTCAACCCAAACGAATGGATTCTGTTGGCATGCCTAGACTTACCTGGGCCTGGCCTTACTCCCACATCCTCGGAAGACACGGCGAAGATATCGAGTGAACCAGGCACACAGAGCAGAGGCCACAGTCAAGGCGCAAGTCGAACCCACAAATTACCGATCTCGGTCTTGGGGTCAGGATTAAATACACTCCGAGACTTCCAGGAAGGCTTCGGCTTTCCTGGGTCGTTGGGCGTCCCCGTGGATCCAGATGGGGAGGATAGTTGACATTGGATTTTATTTTTAGAAATAGCTCTTTGGATATGGCGCTGCGGCAACGGTATGAGAGGCAGTATCTATACCGTGGCGACGGTATGATCATGGGCGATATTCCACGGTTTTCATACTGTGGCGGTAATACCGAAAAATGATGAAGAGGTCGGTATGATTATCATGAGAACCGAATACCACGGTATGATGAAAATACCGGTATACCGCAACGCCCTAGTAACGACCCCCTTTTTTTTTTTATAGACCGTCCTCCGCACCTTGGCCTTAGCTAGGATGAAAACACTGAAAATGGAACGGGGGCGTTTCGAAGACCGATTTACCACTGCTCTAACTCACTTGGCCGAATAACCTGTTTCGCCAGGGGCCTAGTTTCTGGGAAGGTCGTCAGCCATCCGAGACCTGTTGTCATCGGTCGAACTCAAGGTCCTTCGCATCCGACGGCCTTCGAGACGTCACACTCGGTTCGGCATCGAGTAAATGCGGTGTGGCTGCGTTTCACAATGACTTTATTGTTGTTATAATAAATAACAAGAGGAGGAAAACGGCGAGCACGTTGGTGTTCCACGAACGGAAAGTGCTCTGCGACCGCATCTACGGATGGAAACGACTTCGTGAAATGGCAATCTCGATTTCGCGATCGGACTTCCATCAAAGGAAAACTCGTTAGAAGGACCAGAGATATATTCCTCTACGGCAGGAGTGTACAACTCAAAATACTGTGAGGGCCATTTGCGATTTTCATTCACATACCGCGGGCTGCAGTCTGGCTGACCGTAGCAGTGGCCAAGAGGGCAGGAGCCATAGTAAGACTTTTTACGCCGCCAGTCGCGGCAGGCAGCGACCAGGGGCCTCGCGGGCCGTATGTTGTGCGCTCCTGCTCTAGGAAATGCCACTCAAAACTTTTCGGTAGCTGGGTACTTATCTTTACTACGCAAAACGATACCCTTGATACGAAACAGTCCTGCAAAGAGGTCTCGTCGACGAAGGGATTTCCTGCTCGACATCCTGAAGCCAGGAAAATACCTGACACTGTCAGGCTGCATCGGAAGCGGATTTTTGTCACTATACTGTAGCATTCCGATATTGGCAACGAGCTCACTTCTATTTAGGATTTCAAATCCGTCAACACACGAACTGCTAGCGTTTATTTCTTTTCTACCATCGCTCGTCTATATAGAGCTGATAGGAACTTTCACACTCCCGCCCAACACTTCTCCTTAGCTACTGAGGGGCTTGTTGCTAGGTTGCTTTGGACACCGATCGAAATGGAAGTGGAAAATTAAAAAAATGTATGAAAACGTGAGGCAAATTTTGGCGCATGGAGAACTACGTCTACTGTCGCAGCCGTAATCGACAAAAACCATATTATCTCAAACACTGAAAATTAAACAGTACTGCGCAATGTATCCTTTATTGCAGACTTAGCAGGGGCTTTGCATTTTTTGCATTTTTTGCCTTTGCATTTGCAGGGACTGCAAGCAATTGCTGACGGCAGCTAACAACATATTTGACGATAACAACTGAAACTGGCTGTATTCTATGGTTATGGATAATACTCATAACTATGAAGTTGAGAGTTTAACTTCGAGAGTGCTTCATCCCACTCATAATTTTTTCTTATTTTCCCTCGGTCCTCCTCGACGGATGCCGTCAGTCACTTCGTACTGCTCCTGAAGAAACGTGAGAGAAAGTCCGTAAGAGAAGGGACGGATACCATGCACCCACACACCCGACCCGCGCTGGTTTCCCTCGGGACCCAGAGAGTCCTTGAAGTGCAGTGTCGGAGATGACCCGGAGCCAGTTCGGTTCAAGGCATCTCCTCCATTCATCATCGCCAGAGCTCGTGGACGGCCTGGGCTACCACTCTCATTATCTCGACGCAACGGTAATTCTTGTCGCTTTCCTTCCCCTTCCAAGGTCGTTCGAGGATCTCGACATAATCCATCGCGCGTTGGACTCAAAACGTTGGGCAACCGAACTACGCCTTCTCTATTCTGGACGTGCCGTTCCCACGTTGCACAAGGGGTAAATAACCGAAATAAGGGGGGAGGGTCTGTTGGATGAAAGGTCGTCTGGTTCTACATTGAACCCAGCGGCGTGGCGTCGGCGGGATCCGGGAGGAGGGCACGTGCCCCCCCCCCCCCCCCCCCCCCCCCCCCCCCCCCCCCCCCCCCCCCCCCCCCCCCCCCCCCCCCCCCCNAAATTAACAAACCGATGTCATGCGCAATTTAATCGGTATCGGTTTTCGCTGGCCCATCCTGTATATTCTCGTGTCGGGAATCTTGTGATTTTCCACGAGGCCTCGCCTTCGACGACGCGTGCAGACGAGAAAGTGAACCGGCGAGAAGCCTCGATCGACTCCACTCGCGACCCCCGACGATTTCAGGACACTTCCCCCCCCCCCCCCCCCCCCCAATCCCCCGTTATTGCTAAATTAAATCCTCGAAGACGAGATGCCGATCCAGTGGATTGCATCACCTCGGATCCCTCTTGCCCCCAGACGCGAACCGACGTGAAACTTTAAGGATAGATTCATCTGATGGCAAAAAGACCGAAAAGGATGCCGTGGAAGGATCGACGGAATGAGAAATCAGGCCGCTTTTCCTTCTGGAATCCACTTTCGTACCGTTCCTACGCCGCTTCTCGTCGGAAAACCGTCAGTATTTAGCCTCGAAACGATATGCCATCTGCCCCAGACGCGGAAGGGACGACGAGCATCGAAGAAAAAAGGAATATACTGTATATATACATTTAGCTCTCTGACGAACGCACCCCGAACTCCGTTTCCGACGATCTCGATCGGCTCGAGGCTTTTAGGTCCTCGGGCGACCGAGCGACCTTGGACGAAGATCACCGACGGGTTTCGTTCGGACCGTGCCGGCTCTCTCCGGCCTCGTCCTATCTTGGGGGGATTTTCGTTTCCACCAAAAAAGGTGCGGGCACGTTCGAGATGCCACGGCGGATCGTCGGAGCCGCGGGGAAGCGAGAGGCACTAAATTCCTTTCGGTTCGAGGTGGGACCTGGTGCGAGTCGACGCGAGAGAGATGGAGATGGCCTTGAAGATGGAGAGACTATTT